AGCCAGAGTGATCACACTGTTGAGGAAGGCTTCCAGAGATTGGGATGGTAGTTTGGTGCGTTTGGTGTTGTCGAGCTCCAACAGTGCTGTGGCCTCGGCTATGATTTGGGTGGCGTGCTCGAGGTGGTTGGGGGGCTGGATCCCCAACACTGGCCAGACAGCTCCACTAACCATGACTTCTGGGTACTGGGCGATAGCCAGAGGCCTGGTTAATAGGTTGGTCCAGGTTTAAGGTCAATTAAGCTTCTGCTTAGCGAGAAATTCTAAAAATTCGCTCTGCGCTGAGGGTAGTTGTTTTTCTGATTGGTCCAAGGACGACATCCGTCGGCATAGCATTCCTCCGTCAATATCCCGGAATGTTCAATTTAATCTCAAGAACTTCTTACAAGCGTTAGCAAATACCATTACTTTCCTTATATTGAACAGAAAGTCGTCCTCACTAGGATACCAGCATGGAACCCATCGAGGACCAAAAAGTACAACCCCCCGAAGCCACTCATTTTCGCCACGGAACTGACATCTCGTAGAAAAAAAAACTCGCCCGGGTTCGCGAGAACCAGCGCAAAAGCCGTGCTAGAAAGCAAGAATATACGCGCGAGCTAAAACAGAAGCTTACTTCATTTAAAGAACAGGCGCATCAGAAAGATATTGAGCATCGATTGACGGTTCAGAGACTAGAAGCCGAGAACGGACGGTTGAAATCTCTTCTGGTTGCTGCGGGTGTGCCCGGGAGTGTTGTCGGGGGGTATTTGCGGACGACGGGGGAGAACGAGATTTGTCGGAAGGTTGCGATCCCGGCTTTGAAGAGGCCTAGGTCTGGGGAGTCGCAGTGTCAGAGTAGGCGTTCTTCAGAAAAGGAAACGAGTAGCAATGCGGGTTGTTGTGGGAAGCCGGATCAATCGATTTCTATCAGTAACCCGGAGGTAAACCCTGATATTAGGATGGACATTGTTCGTCCATCCGTGTCTCTGAGGAGCCAGATATGCGGGAGTGTGGTGGATGATCCGTCATTCCCTACTAATGAAGATGTTCTAAATACCACTCTTTGTGCGATTGCGGAAGAGCTGATCAGCCAGTACAATACCCGAGGGGTCGATCTGGCAGTCATACAGAAGAAACTCTGTATTGGTTTTACGAAGAGTTGTGCTACGGGGGAAGAATGCAGAGTGCAAAACCATATTCTTTTTCAGGTTCTGGATGAGATCAATGGTGATTGATCGACCTCATTGTGGAGGAAATTATTTTACGATATTCCGGTGGTTTCCAACTATGCTGCCCACTTATTTCGCTTCGCAACCCATTTTACGGCATAGACCAGGCCCAGCAGCACGGGCACTTCAACTAGAGGTCCAACTGTCGCAGCTAGTGCTTGATCACTATCCACGCCAAAAGTTGCGATGGCCACTGCAATCGCCAGCTCGAAGTTGTTGCTCGCAGCTGTGAAGCTTTGCGTACACGATAGTCGATATCCGAAGCCGCACCAGTGCGTCACCAGCAGCGTGATCAAGAAGATAACGGCGAAATAGACAACAAGCGGCGCGGCCACTCGTAGCACCGACACGATCTGATGAACCACTCGTCGGCCTTGGGAAGCAAAAAGAACTATGATTGTGAACAAGAGTCCGATCAACGACAACGGACCGATCCACTGGACGAATTTCTTCTCGTACCACTCCTTGTTGATCAGGAATATCAGAGTGACGCGAGTAACGATGGCTGCACCCAAGGGGATGCCGAGGAAGACCCCGACGCTTTTGGCGACTAGCGAGTAGTCGATATTAAAGCCGCTATCTGCGCCACCGATGACGCGCACGAAGAATATCGCAAGCGGAGCGAATAAGACCATCTGCAGGATCGAATTGATGGCGACGAGAATGGCGCAGTATTCGTTATCGCCGCCGGCGAGGCCTGTCCATACGAGTACCTAACTGTGTCAGCAGACAAACCAATATTGCATTTATATGGGAGTGGAACTAACCATCGCAATGCATCGCGCAATGCCAACCAAGATCAAACCCTCCCTGAGACCTCTTTCGTCTGGTAGGAACGCCCATGCCAGCGCAAGCTGTATCAATTTAGCACATCAACACAACAAATATCAGCCATGAATGAAGACAAACCATGAAAAACGGCGCAATAATCCAATTCACCACGACACTGAACCCGACCTGGACCCAAAGCGCTTTCTGGCGAAATGACCGATGGAGTGTCTCGTACCGCACATTGCACAGAATAGGATACATCATCACCAGCATACCAACAGCTTTTCACGTTAGCTGTCACTTCACCTTCTCTCTTTCCGGTATAAGGGCATACCAATAGGTATAGAAACGCCAACGAACTTTCCCCGCTCCAATGCCTCCCTGGTATCAGGCACAAAGCTACCCAAAATAATTCCAATTGCCATGGCGAGGAATATCCAAAGAGCTAGGAACTTGTCGGGGAGTCTAAGCTGCCTAAATGCAGAACTTGGTTGGTCGTTGTCCGGAGGGTCATCATTGCTGTTTTCTTTGCACGGGGTGCAGGATTCTGGATCCTCTGTAGAGTGATGTTGCACTTTATCTTTTGCTGGAGCCATCTGAGCAATCAAGATTGATTTTTTTCTTGATCCGATAGAATGTCTTGGTTAAATCTCTATTATAGATTTCTACTTTTACCGTCTACTTTAGGATTTAAAATGGTTGGCCAATCAGCGTCAAGCAGTGACATTCACAGATCACGTGAATATCTGCAGTTTGAGCTTATGCCTGAGGCAGGGAGTGTGTTTTTCTGTGCCCTAAATCCTAGACCCTAGGATCCCTTATATTGACCTCCTCTGATGCTCTCATTCATCGAGGGTGTATAACACTACTGCACAAGTGGCCAATGTAGTGTGTTTCCATTATTCCGTATGCGGAGAGTCGCGAGTCAAGATGCCCGCTAAACAACGTCATCTCCCCATCAGCCCATGAGCTAGCTCCCCCCGAAACAACCCAAAACAAATTCCCCAGCTTTATTATTCAACTAACCGAATCATCAACCTGAATATCTCCTGTACTATCTTACAGATAGCATCATGGTCTCAACGCGCCAACAAAAGCGCTCTTTTCCCTCCCCACCGCGCACGCGCTCCCCGTCCCCTCGCACACCCACCACAGCCGACAAATTCGTCCACACTCCCTCAACCGCCATAACCCTCTGGCTCATATTCTCCATTCCGCTCGTTCTCTGGGACTCCGGGTACGTGCTCCTCCGCCCGCACAGCATGCCCGGCAACAGTCTGCATTCCCCGTTGTGGACACCCTACGCGCTATACGGGACTATCGACTACATCTACGGCTGGCCGGCGTTTAACGCGCGGAATGGGTTTACGGCTGCGCAAACTGTGGTAAATTTGTTTGAGTCTGCCGGGTATTGCTATTATTTGTGGGTTGTTTGGAGGTATGGAGTTTCGGTTTCGGCGGGGAGTGAGAGGGATAAGGGGGTTTTATCGTGTTTGACGGATGAGAGGGTTGTTGCGGGGAGGGTTGGGGCTACTGCGCTGCTGATTGCGTATAGTGCGTCTGTTATGACGTTGGGAAAGACGGTTTTGTATTGTGAGTTATACTTATTTACCTTGGCCAATTGGGCATATTGCTGACATGAGTAGGGTTGAACGAGGCATTCTCCGGCTTTGAGAACATTGGTCACAATGACCTTTTTACTTTGGTCTTTTTGTGGATTATTCCTAAGTATGTTTCTCTTTCTCATTTCACCTTCCGGCAGTTGCTGATGGTGAGTAGCGGTCTGTGGATTATCTTTCCGAGTTACAATATCTATGTTATGGGATCGGAGATTGCGGCTACATTGGAGAATGCGTCTATTAAGGGTAAACGGTCGAAATCTTCATAGTCGTATGTGGTCATATGGTAGTAAATTGCGGAGAGATTCGTTGAGGAACACTGATTGCTTCTATGATGGCCGAAAATAAGAGTGCCGTGGTGGACTGTCGTTTTATGTTGAACCAATCCGACTGCAAAACTCTTGAATTTTAATGCTGCTATAAGGTTCTCTCGGGGATCATGTTTGTCTGGTGAGGGAATTTATGATGGGTATACAACCCCATCATGATACGTTGATGTAAATCAGCCTGGCAGGATGTTGATTATCTAGGGCTGTTAGTTATGCGGCAGGTGACTGCGCCGCCACGTTGGCGCATCATGTATTAATTGGATAACCTCTGACATCAAATCAATCATCCTTCCTACGGCATTACTATCGTTCGCTTCCATGTCACATTTTGGATTATCCGACCCTCCAAGTTGAATCATCCACCCGCAAGAATGTGATGCTGAAAGCCTGCGAGGCTGGCAACCTCCCAACATCACAGCAATTATTTCAACTCTATGACATGAAGCAGGGCACTCAGCCTACTTGGGAGGAGCAAGAGGATAGTCCTCTCAGAACCTGAAAAATGATCGAAATTGCTATTATCAACGGCCAAGTCCCGATAGTGGCATATATCCTCTTTGTATACTCCGCAGGTCCAATCGAATGCGAACTAGTTGTCCAAGCGACCATCGACCATCCATGTATGGAGATCATGAAATTGGCTCATCGGAACTAGCCTGGGATTCTCAACCTTGGGTTTGACACGATGCAAACTTTCCTATCGAGTGCATGTTACATGCCTTCTGATCCAGACCACCTTGCGCCTATTCATTATCTTCTGGACAATAGCGCCTCACCAAACAAGGTCAATCCATGGATTGAACGCTCCCATGCCAGAACTGTGGTGGGACCAGTCATTTTGAGGTGATTGAGAAGATGGTCTATCGAGGTGTTGTGATCGCGTGCGTTCTTTTTCGGGAAGCATTCAAAAAACAACACCTTGATGTTCTGCAATTGTTTTTGAGAAGGGGAGATTTTATAGTAATGTTCCTCATCGGGAGTTGCTTGGATCAGCATGGGGATCTGGAAATGATGCAATAATCTCGATAGTGGAGGCTAGAATTGCGAAGCAAGAAAGGGTGGCTAACAAGTCTCGACGGACGAGCTGATGGCAGTTTTGGAAGCTGAAATCTGGCAACGACAAGGCTACTTGATACAATTGTTCATAAAGAATATATATAAGAATGCAGTATCTTTTGCAGAGTATTAACTAGAACAAATGGCTTGCTGCTGAAGCTCGTCCGTGACTTTGGATGCAGTGTCCTATAAAAGCAGTAGCCAACTCTATTCCCAACTTATGCTTACAGCAGAACTGTTATTCACAGTGCTAAGAAGATGGCCTTCGCGGTTGTCTTGCTTGGATTCAATGCCGAGACTGTCGAACGGTTCTGTTCGATCGTGTGGAAGGAATGACCTTATCCAGTAAGCCGGGTATTGTGATCGCAGGAGTTGAATTCGACTAGTTGGATGGCCTTGCCCTGTTAAGAGCAGCTTCGTCTATGAAAACAAAGCTCAAAACACAATGAAAGGAGCATCTAGGAATATAGGGAGGGCTTGGAGGAATATCTTGTAGGACCCTTTTTCTGACGGCCGAGAAGCATAGGATTAGTAATCCGCGCCGCCGAGCTGCCTCCGGGTTCCCCATATTATCCACCCGCACCATTACCACCGACCGACTCAACCCGTCGCTCTCTCCCCAGACCACTTTGAACCTGATCTACAGAGCTAGAAAAGCTCCGGTTTGGGGGTTGATCCCATTTCAATTACGCAAACCCCTCCCAACGATGCCCCCAGTGTTGTCGTTGGGGTATCCGAACCCGTCATGATCCCACCCGAATCCGAAGAATCGCCCTTGGGCTTCACAGGCGCCTCAACTACATACAGCCAGCACGACGATGCCGCTGCCCAGGCCGAAGATCTGGACTCTCAGAGCCCCGCGAGCTCGCGCGACCCCGGTAGCGTTCAGACCGTAAACGACACCGCAACATCAGCCCCCGAGCACCGGGATGACGCGCAAGGTAGCAACAGCAATACCGCACAAAGTAATAATCAAGAAGAAGGCGACAAGCCCTCGTGGAGCGAGATGAAGACCAAGGCTGGGAAAGAGAGGAAGCGTTTACCGCTGGCTTGTATCGCATGTCGGCGCAAGAAAATTCGCTGCTCAGGCGAGAAGCCCGCGTGCAAACATTGTTCACGGTCTCGCATTCCCTGCGTCTACAAGGTTACCACGAGGAAGGCGGCCCCGCGGACGGATTATATGGCTATGTTGGATAAACGGTTGAAGAGGATGGAGGATCGTGTTATTAAGACGATTCCTAAGGAAGAGACGAGGGATATGGCTGCCATCGGGCGGTCTGTGGTTAGGCCTCCGGCTCCCGGGCAGCCAACTTCGAAGAGTCAGAAGAAACGGTCTGCGGATGAAGCGTTTGCGTCGGAGTTGGATGACTGGACGCGTGAGGAGCGCAGGGCGCCGCAAGATACATTTCCTATGAGCAAGTCGGGTGATGGCGGATCCAGCCTTTTGACCGAGGGAGCCGAGTTTTTGCCATCCTTGGAAATCCAAGAACATCTTGCAGAAGTGTTTTTCGACTGTGTATACGGACAGTCGTATCTTTTACTTCACAAGCCTAGTTTTATGCGCAGATTACGAGCCGGGTCTGTTCCCCCGGCATTGAGTCTCGCTGTCTGTGCCGTCTCCGCTCGATTCTCGACGCATCCGCAACTCAACTCAGAGCCTCCATTCTTGCGAGGGGAGAACTGGGCAAACCCTGCCGCTGCGATCGCGTTGAGTCGTCATGATGAACCGAATATCACCATATTGACCGTGTTCTTGTTACTGGGATTGCACGAATTTGGAACCTGTCATGGTGGACGAAGTTGGTCTTTCGGTGGTCAGGCTCTGAGGATGGCATACGCATTGCAACTACACAGGGAACTTGATTACGATCCGCTTTTACAACATAGCAATGGCAATGGGTCACAACTAAGTTTCACCGATAGGGAGATTCGACGGCGTACCATGTGGGCCTGCTTGTTGATGGATCGATACAATTCCTCCGGTAGTCAACGTCCGCCAATAGGGAATGAAAAATTCCTGCATATCCAACTTCCCATCAAGGAGTCACATTTTCACATGGAAATTCCAGGGCCGACGGAGGACCTGGACGGAAATGTTCCCAACCCAGTCCCAGATGACATAGGACAGCTGTCCAATGCTAAAGAAAACATGGGTGTTTCGGCCTACATAATTAAGACTGTAGTCATCTGGGGACGCATTGTCGACTACTTGAATCTCGGGGGAAAGAGAAAGGATCCTCATCCTCTGTGGTCGCCGGAGTCTGGGTACACGCGCCTCAAGCGACAAATCGACGAGTTCTCCGCAAGCCTCCCAAGCCATCTTTTGTTCACCTATGAGAACCTCCAGATACATGCGGCAGAACGAATCGCAAACCAATTCCTTTTTCTACATATCATCATCCACCAGAACATCCTCTTCTTGAACCAGTTTGCGATTCCGCTTTCTCCCGGAGGGCGGCCTCCCAGAGATATGCCCAAGGCTTTCTTAAGCAACGCAGGACGAGCAGCAGTGGAGGCTGCGCATCATATCTCTGTCCTAATTGACCGTGCGTCGGCTTATCCACTCACTGTACCCTTTGCAGGATACTGTGCGTACTCTGCCAGTACGGTCCATATCTGGGGAATATTCTCCAAGAACGCGCAGCTGGAGGCTCGGTCCAAAGAGAATTTACGGCATACCTATCGATACCTGAACAAGATGAAGAAGTACTGGGGTATGTTTCACTACATGGTAGAAAGTGCAAAGGATCGATACCGGCAATTCGCAGACGCTGCCATCAAGGGCACTGTTGCTATGAATGACGGCGGCAAGTTGACCGCCATGTTCCAATACGGTGATTGGTTCGACAAGTATCCTCATGGAGTATCACGAATGCACTGGGAGGACCCTGGTGCGAAACAAAAAGAGACAGGCGACGATGCGGTTATGGGTCAGAAGCCAGACCTACAGAGTGTCGAAGACTTCTTCGCCAGCCTGTCTCCTACACCGCAGACCGCGGTTCCTCGCAGGTCGCATTCAAGAAAGAGCAGCCGTCTCGATAGCGCCAGCTCCGAACACCCACCTCGACCACAATCAACAGTCGACGTGAACATGGAAAGCTCGCCCGGGATGTTGGGGACATCTGGAGCCGGATTCCCCCAACCGGCCATGTACAACCACGGCCGCGCGCAGGCATTCGGGCCCTCTCCACTGGATTTCAACATCCCATCCGACCAACTTCCCCAACTTGACCGACAATTTGTCTACGGCTCCTTTGCCGGATTCGACCCAGCCTCCTTCGAAGCACCACAACCGCCACCAGCGGATAACCCACCAATAACTCCATCCGCAACGAACGGCGTGGAACCCCCACCCCACCAGGATGCCGCCATTTTCACCGGCCAACTCGACCCGAGCGCGCCCTCAGGTGCAGGCGAGTATTACCAACCCAGCGCATGGTTCCTGCCATTTAACCTCGAACCGATCACCCCAGCACCAGGTATGGAACAACCCCCCGGCGCCGGCGGAGGCGGCGGTGATATGTTCGGTAATCCAGGTTTGCCCATGGGAACATACGACTTTGGCATGAGCGGGATGAAACGCGATCCCCATATATGATTCATCGTTCTTATACGTTTCCTATTCTGTAACAACCGTACTATGTGATATTGATATGGCGTGCTTGTTTTATTTGATCAACTACTATTGTATAAGGGGTTTAGCAGGAGCTGGTTGGACGGATTGGAAAAGACTAGGAGTTTTTTATGAGCTCGCATGGTTCTGTTTATAAGTTATTTTTGGATATCATCGCAATAATATATGTTGATGAATACTCACTCCTCTTCCATTGTTCTGCTTCTGAATGGTTGTGCATAATTTACGATGTGGAGTTGTACATATTGATAGAACTCAATTCTGCCAAGTCCTTCAACAACTAGCATCGTTGGTCTAGTGGTAGAATTCGTCGTTGCCATCGACGAGGCCCGTGTTCGATTCACGGACGATGCATTCTTTTTTTGCTCTTTTTTTGTTCGCACCTTCACATCTTTGTTTTGTTTAAATAACTAACATCTTTTCTTTTTTTTTTTTTTTTTTTTTTTTTTTAATCTCTCAGGTTTTTCATCAATATGCGCCAGATTTCCCATATTTATCGCTTGACGATACTGTCTTGGTGCGCGAGTGGAATGCAACTGGTTTGTAGATATATATACCTCGGAGCAGGTATTATTGTGTATTGTTACCCTCAAGGCAGTCAAACAATGAACCAACAATTATTAGACCATCTGCCTCCTATTCAAATCTTGTATTTCTTGTTCTAGCATCTTCCAATATGGGCCGTATACCTTCCCACAGACAGCCCAAGATATTGAATGGATAACTGACATGAGTTTCCATGTTGAGGTAGATTCGCGGACGATTTCTATGTATTCCAACGGATTATTATAAGTCGAATTTTGTTATGGTATTAATATGTGAAAGCCACAAGGCAATGATACAAGTCGAACCAATAGTTATGACTAGGTTACCTGCTCGAAATTTTCCCATCGATGCTAGCATATGGTAAATTATCTGCTCTTCAAAGTACCTATCAGGATACATCGCCATCCTCTCAAGATAAACGGAGAACCACTATATTGTTATCTGAACCCACCATTGAAACCATTCGCAGAAGAAAAGCTCGCCTTACCCATAGAAAACCAACTCCATATCTACGCACAGTGCAGAAAGGCCATCTTCGTGCTACGCTCAATATCCCTGTATCTTCCTGATACTAGGATACAGAGTGTCCTATATGATAAGGAGTCGAAGGATATTACAGTGCTTGATTTGAGGAAGTCGGGGACTGTAGACTCAGAAGAGGAACCGAGAAGGTTAGATAATGTCGAGTTGGAGCTCATCTTTGGGGGGGAGATGGCGGCTGAGTTGAAGGGGTTGTATGATGGACGGAGCCAGAGTGAGATTTCTGACTCTGTATGTTTTGTACTTTGGATTAGTTATGCGCTTGGATTGGCTGCTTTGACTAGTTAACCACTCGTATTCTACCGCGAAATAGATTAAGATTGCTCATTCGTACCACGCTCCGAGATGAAGCACGAATGTCATCACAGCTGACCTCGCAATGATGCATTTTCACCCAGCCCATTGTATACATCGCATTTTCCAAGCACTTTCCTATTGTTCAAACGGATAATACAACCCATTATCCAATTGGAACTACCCTATTTCAATCTAATTTCTCTCATTGTGACGTCCCTGCCGTTACAAACCTTGCACGCCCCTTAGACCCCATTCCTATATAGCCCAATCTTCCCCTCCCAAGCCATGCATACCAAAATTGCCATAATGGCCATTCGAGTCCTCACCAAGCAATTCTTCCCCCCAGTTTCAGCCTCATTCAACCGCACAGTAACCCAATCCCCCATCATGGGCACCCCACGCATCATCAACGCCATTAAACAGGACCATCGTGAGATCGAGTCTTACTATGACCGCATCACAAAGTCAAACGATAAGAACGAGCAGACTCAGTACCAGAATTTGTTCACATGGGAACTTGCCAGACATTCTATTGGCGAGGAGTTGGTTGTTTATCCGGCGTTTGAGAAACATATCAAAGATGGTGTTGCTCTTGCGGATAAGGATCGGAAGGAACATCAATCCGTAAGCCCTACCTTTACCCTCTCTTCGATAAAAACAAACGCAGAGGCTAATGCTCGCACCGCTCGCAAAACAGGTAAAAGAACAGCTCAAAAAGTTCCAAAACCTCAAACCCACCGACCCAACCTTCCTCCCGACAATCCAATCCCTAATGAAAGACCTCTCCCAGCACATCCACGAAGAAGAAACTTCCGACCTGCCCCAACTCGAAGCCGCGCTGTCCGATGAAGACAGCCGCAGTATGAGCAAGACGTTCGGACGGACGAAGATGTTTGTGCCGTCGCGGAGCCATCCAAGTGCGCCGAGTAAGCCGCCCTATGAAACGGCGGTAGGGCTCATGACGGCGCCGATTGATCATTTGGCAGATATGTTTCGGCAGTGGCCGGATACGGCGACGATGCCGAATCCTAGTACTAAGTGAGGCCTCTTGGGGGTCGGGGGTGGGCTTGTGGGGGTAATGTGCCAATGATGTTTTGAAGGGTTTATTACATTGTAATTGTGAATGGCAAATCTCTACTCTCTCACTGGTCTGTTGCAATTGAATGATGACAAAATTATACACGGAGTTATACTCCATGCCTTCCACATGGAGAATGTGGGTATATTTACCGAATGAGCCAATGGGACTCGTAAACCCCGCGGAAGTTAACCTTGGCAGCTTATTTTGTCACCATGTCATAATGCTGTATCGAAACAAGCATCACTTGAATTATTCCACTACGGCGTGGGTGCGTAAAATGACTAGGCATTAGCAGTTTTTAAAGAGAAACCCCACCGCGAGACAGAAAGATGCGAGGAATTGACCTAATACTCGGAAGCTAACTATGCACTATGCGGTGATATCACCATGAACAATAGTCAAAATCTTGATTTCAAATGTACAATCCCTCAATGGCCGCTCAGTGTAAGTGTGCGAAGACGGAAAAGGAAGCCAGCTGCGTAGTCAAATCCTGGAACGCATAGCCGGGACTTGGTTTCAATTCGATCTGGCTCATGTGAATGGCAGACCGGAAGCGACCTACCATCACAAATCTTGCTAGTATCATTGGCGGAACATCTTGATGATATCAAACCACCGATTCGTAAGAGTTTATCGAGCATACCGATCACCCAACACCAACGAATGTCACCGTGACGCTCCCCCGCGTCATCGCAATGTGCCCTGTAATCCGGAGTAGAACGTCAGTAGCATGTCCTAGATATAATATCAGCAAGCCAATTCTGTTTCCTTTCTCTCCATCGTCTAATTTCTCATCTAGCATACCATTCAATTGAAAATGGCATCCGTTATCGCCGGCGGCCTGCACAAGGTCCAAGAAGCGGTGCAGAACACTGCATCCAAGAACAAGAAGATGGTCGATCTGCAGCAAGACACTGCAAACGTTCACACAAAGCTCCCCATCACCACCGACCATGGCACGAAGATGGAAAATGCCGATAACTGGCTCAAGATCGTGAACGATGGAAAGAGGACTGGCCCGTCGTTGTTGGAGGATCAGATTGCTAGAGAGCGGGTATGTATCTTCTCCCGTGAATACAATGTGCAAGCAGAGGCTGATTGACTAGATCCACCGCTTCGATCACGAGCGTATTCCCGAGCGTGTCGTGCATGCACGTGGCACAGGCGCGTTTGGTAACTTCAAGCTTAAGGAGAGTATTGAGGATCTCACGCACGCGGGAGTCTTGACGGATACGTCGAGGAACACGCCTGTTTTTGTGCGCTTTTCTACTGTCCAAGGGAGCAAGGGAAGTGCGGACACGGTGCGTGACGTTCGGGGTTTCGCAGTTAAGCTTTACACGGATGAGGGAAACTGGGATATTGTTGGAAACAACATTCCCGTTTTTCCTATTCAGGAGGCGTTTAAGTTTCCGGATTTTGGTGAGTTTTGCCCAGATTATTGAATTGCGATAGATAGCTGACAGTGGTAGTTCACGCGGTCAAGCCAGAGCCACAAAACGAAGTCCCCCAGGCGCAAACAGCACACAACAACTTCTGGGACTTTGTGTACTTGCACCCCGAAGCCACGCATTTCTTCATGTGGGCGATGTCTGATCGCGCGATTCCGCGGTCTTACCGCATGATGCAGGGATTCGGAGTGAATACTTTCTCCCTGATCAACGCGCAAGGAAAGCGCCATTTTGTCAAGTTTCACTGGATCCCGCATCTGGGTGTGCACTCGCTCGTCTGGGACGAGGCACTAAAGCTTGGTGGTCAGGATCCGGACTTCCACCGCAAGGATTTGATGGAAGCCATTGACAACAAGGCGTATCCGAAGTGGGACTTTGCTATCCAGGCCATTCCTGAAGAGAACCAGGATGATTTCGACTTTGATATTCTGGATGCCTCAAAGGTTTGGCCCGAAGAGCTTGTCCCGTTACGCGTTGTTGGAGAGCTAGAATTGAACCGCAATGTGGACGAGTTTTTCCCGCAAACGGAGCAGGTTGCCTTTTGTACTAGCCATATTGTTCCCGGCGTTGATTTCTCCGATGACCCATTGCTGCAAGGCCGGAATTTTTCCTACTTCGATACACAGATCAGCCGTTTGGGAATCAACTGGGAGGAGCTTCCTATCAACCGTCCCGTGTGCCCCGTGTTCAACTTCAACCGCGATGGCCAGATGCGTCACCGTATCACGCAGGGAACTGTTAACTACTGGCCCAACCGCTTCGAAGCGGCGCCGCCAGCCAAACCAGGCGAGGGAGGTTTCGAGAGCTATCCGCAACAGACTGTGGGTATCAAGAAGCGCGGCTTGAGCGACAAGTTCCGCGAGCACCACAACCAAGCTCAACTATTCTACAACTCCATGTCTCCGGTCGAGCAACTCCACATGAAGAAGGCCTTTAGCTTCGAGCTAGACCACTGCGATGACCCCACCGTCTACGAACGCCTTGCCGGCCACCGTCTCGCCGAAATTGACCTAGATCTTGCACAGACAGTCGCTGAACTGGTCGGTGCCACAATCCCCTCCAAGCAACTCCGCCAAAACCACGGCAAGAAAGCCTACCATCTTTCCCAAACCGACTTCACCCCTCAAAAGCCCACAATCGCCAGCCGCCGCATCGCCATCCTCATTGGCGACGGCTACGACCCTGTCGCCTTCTCCGCCATCAAAACCGCCATCCTAGCCGCCAGCGCCCTTCCCTTTATCATCGGCACCCGCCGCTCTGCCATCTATGCCGAAGGCGAGAATAAAACCAACTCCAAGGGTGTCATCCCAGACCACCAATACGACGGTCAGCGATCAACCATGTTCGACGCAACGTTTATCCCCGGCGGCTCGCACGTCAAACAACTCCAGAACAACAACCAGCTGCGCTACTGGGTGCAGGAGTCTTTTGGGCACTTAAAGGCCATTGGGGCCACGGGTGAAGCGACGGATTTTGTGAGACAGAATTTGGCGACTGTGGATGGGTTGCAGGTTGCTACGCCGGCGAAGGCGGAGCCGTTGGATTGGTATGGGGTGGTTACTGCTAGGGCTGTGCAGAAGCCGGAGACGTTTAGGGAGGGGGTGAGGATTGCAAGAGATGCGCCGGATTTTGTGGGTAAGTTTTTCTATGCAGTTGCGCAACATAGGAACTTTCCGAGGGAGATGGATGGGTTTAGTACGCAGGTTGCATTTTAATCTTGTCCGGGTAATCTGGTTAGGAAGTTAGTATAGTAATTCATAATTATGCGGATGAGCATATCGCCCTTATGACTGCCATGGAAACAGCCAGAGTCTCATGGCCATAAGAAAGTACTCGGGGTATATCCAGTATGGAATAATTTGTCCGGCGGTCTCCGAGATCCCAAGCGGTTGAGTTTTCCGTCCTGAAGGGCTAATTTATATTTCGCTGTTCGGGGAACAGCGCTCCTTTATTTCGATGACCATGCCGGATACCGGTCGAAGGTTGATATGCAAACCACGATATTTCAAGAGTCTCGTATACGGTTTCAGCCGTTTGCCGTAAGCCGTGAGTGTGCCTTGTCAAAAAAAGATCCATAGATCCCTCCACTAAGTGGAGCAATAAAAGTGTTGGCGCTGTAACTGGCGAATGAAACTGTATACTTGGTGCATTGGTTACGATAGTCATATCCTTATATGGGATCGATTGTCAGTGAAATATGAATCCAAGCGAGTCTGTGACTTAGGGACATGAGGGGGAAAAATTAAAGCTTCATCCTGTTCCGGGAGCTCGATACTCTCTTCAATCATTCCCAATCGATCGCTTTTGCGTTATCCATTGACCAAGACACTAAAATGTTATTGCAGAGATCGTTCCTCGCAATTGCCCTTGCATGCACCGCTGCTGCTGCAAGTGAGCGGACCTGTTATTATCCCAATGGACATGAAGCTTCGGGTAATGTGCCGTGTACAGATAGTCAGTATACGTCGTGCTGTGGCGAGAATGTCATTTGTTTGAGCAATGGGTATTGTATGGATGTTGAATCACAGCCCTATACGATGTCGCAAAGTGCCTGCACTGATAGCAGTTGGGCCGCTGATTGCCCGTCCCAATGTGCTGGCTGTGAGTTGCCAATCCTCTAACACACGTGCGAAAATGCTAACTAAGCAATAGCATCGGACTACCCCGACACCGGCTGCGCCATCGTCCTCTTCTATGCCAACAGCACCCAGGCAGACTATTATTGCAACGCAATCGTCAGCGACGGAACCGATGCCGCCTGTTCAAACGGCCAAACACCCTTCACAATCCCCGACGGCAAAGTCGTCATCGGTCGTGCGCTGCTGTCGAATTCGAGCACAACGAGTAAAGTCAATGCGACTTGCGTGTTGCCTACTACAACGGTATCTCCCTTGAGCAATAATAAGAGAGACGTGGCTATCGGGGCAGGAGTTGGTGTGCCGCTTGGTGTGTTGCTACTGACGGCATTGGCCTGGGCGTTGTTTGAGCGGAAGAGGCGGTATGCGATGGTAAATTCGGCTGCTGCTGCGGGTGCGGTGGCTGTGCCTAGTGCTTCATATCCTGTGCAGATGCAGCAGCCGGTTTTGGAAATGGACAGATGGCAGATTATCCGGCCCCGGGAATGGAGGGGCTGCGGACGCAGGAATTGGATGGGGCTAAGTATGTGCAGCTGCAGGAGTTGGAGGGACGGGCGCCTAGTTGATAGGCTATTTCTGGGAGTTTCTGATTTGTTTGTTTGTGCTCTATACCCTTAATAGTCATTGATGAGGTGGGGAGCATTTGGTTCTGGATGTTTTTTATATATAATGCCGGTTTGTTACTGGACATACTACTAATGACGGATTAATTGAGAATTGAGACTGACATGTCATCAAAGAGCAATTCTTACCTGCAGCAATGTGTACAGAAGTACTTTGTACCTTGAAGGATGAATATGGTTTGCTGTACACGGGATGCTTATTCTTGAAGTCTGAGCGAGGTACGCAAAATGAGGCCACGCCTCCTGCCGAATGCAGTTGCAGAAGCCAATAGATCGAAGGTGATTTGGTCTTGTAGGTATGTGACAAATGCACCAGGGCGTAAAAAGAGTAGTCCTTCAGAGCACAAACAATTACAAACGGGTATTTTCGGGATTCGATAAGCAACTTCTGGAGTGCCAGAGCCGACTATTCTTGATCAGATATCCTACTGCTCACACTTTGTCTTTGCACCAATGCATGAAGAGTACCCTGAAGGATGAATACGGTTCGCCATACATAACGTACTTTGGATTTTGAGCAAGTTTGCGGATTAGGCCACGACTCCCGCAGAATGCAGATATAAAAGCTAATAGATGTACCAAGATTAGGCTTATGCTATTTCTCTGGAACATTCCAGCAGCAGGGCGAACTCCAAGGCACAAAAAAGCTCTGGGATTGGCAACCAGGCATCTTTGAATGCAGTCTGCTCACCCGAAGAATCAGAATTAGTCTTTCCCGACTAGATACCCTGTTGCTGACATGGGCCAGTGTGTCTCATGCTTGCTTTGTTTGTTTCATTCTGTACCTTGAAGGCACCAGGATGAATACGGTTTGTTGCATACAGCATCCCTATTTCGGGTATGGGTGACTTGACTACAGGATAGCCACACCTTGCAGGATGACATGGAATACTCAACAGACGCGTCAAGCGTGACCTAGTTGTAGGGACAAAAGCACAAACAAGCACAAAAACGCAATAGCACAACATCCTTAATGCAGTCTCCGGTGCCTGAAGAGTTGGCTGAGTCCCTGCCGGTACCCTATTGTTCCATAGTCAGCATATCCCTCCTGCTGTATACTGGCTAATCAATAGGCATGACTCCCGGTACATAGTCGATGTACCTGCAGATCACTCGATCGGGGTGCCGACCAACTTCCCTTCGCGAAATAATACATGTTATCCCATCCGGATCATTGCTTCTTCCGAAGTATGCCCAATTCCCCGCGATTGCCGAGTTGGGCTCATTTAATCTGCCGAGCTGACATGCTTGTTATTACATATAGGAGCCTTATTTCTATCTAAAAATGGCATTTAAATCAGACATTTTGGAAGACAATAGCATCAAAGTTGAACTCGGCAAAACGTGAAAATGCTGCAGCCGATTTACGCCCTTCAGACGGGACCACCACATTCCACACCCCCGGTGCCTGAGTGGGGACATCTCCCACTGGACATTTACATGTTGGTGGGCTCGGCTCCACGGTAACCTTATGATTCTGCAACAGTTGGCACTAACTAGGTCTTGGGTCCAGGAGCAATGGCACATGCCCCATCCGCATTCTGCGTGGGAAACCGTCCAAGGGCGCTGCCGTCGTTTGGCGCGACAGTTTATGCAACTCGGTGCGATTGGCAGAGAGGTAAGTCTTTCTCCTTGAAAGGTTGCGCGGACGATGTTGAACATAGATCTGGTATTCCGTAGCCCTACATCAGACGTACTAATCCCAAATCTCCACTCTACTCCCCCGCACGGCCGACAGAGGAACAGATAGAGCATATCCTCCGCCCATACCGTCCAGATGGCCTCCGCCGCTTCTGCCCCGCGGGGGGAATAAACCCCATTTGGATGCGTACCTGCTACGACCCCGATGGCCCCGATGCGCACGACTCAATCTGGAGGGAATTCATGTGCGAAAAATATCAAGCAGCAGGTCCCGGATCACTCATTTTCAACGATCAAAACACGTTCGGAACCGACAACCTCGGCTTGGCACTGGAGGCATTTCCCGAACGAGTTATAAATACCTCCAGACCCGAGTATGCACATGTACGAGAAGCTGCGCTGCAGCATTTGCGCGGGGGAGATACCGGTCCCTGGACCAGACTTGAAAGCAATTTCGAAGATATACTCGACCAGGATGAAATAGACGCAATAGTTATCCGGGAGCGATTTGTCTCGTACCATATCGCTTGTATCGTCACGTATATCATGGTCGAAGACATTACCACCCTGATGGGCGATGGGTTGCTGCTTGCTTTCTTGGATGACATGGGCAATGTTGTGCGCCAGGACCGCGTGGGTCCGGAGCAGGTTGATAATTTCGAGACCAAGTGGAGGACTGGACGGTGGAAGTATTTTGTTGAGAGACATATTCAGGAGGTCGGTCCGGCTTATTTGAATGGAGGCGTGCGTGGTCCGCCGTATTGGTAACCACGATGCCTCTCTCATTCTTTATTTAGGGTCTCTGTTTCTATGTATTTGTAAAATGTCAAACATCATATTCAATATATTGCATGAATCCAATCTACACAACTGCAATGAACCCTAACAGCCATCAGTAGCCATATCATAATGCACAGAACAGCTGCATTCCAAAATAATATTAATACAGACAAACAATAATAGTCTTCCAGCCAAGTCTCACCGTTATTTTTCATAACCATTCGGATCCACCGTCCCCCTAAGCCTATATGCAGACCCTGCATACTTGGATACAGCGGCATTCTCGGCGGGTGAGAACGCCCAAATCAACAATTTCTGCATAGAGCCGGAAGGCAAAATGGAAGAACGCCTTATGTAAAGCGCTTGCCATGGCTTTCACGGCAAGACTCTGGCTTGTGGGTCGTAAACAGCACGACGGCCCTTCAAAAGACTTTCGATTTCATAAGCGTAGAGTGTCCTCCACACGTAATTTCAAATTGTTTCCCTCTAGCGTATTCAGAAAGTGGCTAATCGTGCCGACAGCCTCTGACAGGCTCAGAGGTTCTTGATGCTCTCGGTCCTCATCCGATTCCACTCACTCGAACCAGAACTAAGAGCTTCTCCTGCGCTTGTAACGGAGGCTGTAGAAATTATTAGGTATAATACGAAGCTGTGTGCGAAAATTCTTTTTGAGATTTGGCCAAGGATAAGTTGAGCAGTGAATATTATGTGAGCCACGTAGCCGTATTATGATTTGTAGATTAAGGCATACAGCTCTTATGCAGCTAATCACGGCGATTTCTCCGAGATGAAAGTGCAAGCCTTTCCCTGGCATCACGTAACCGTCTATTTCCAGAGCTGACAAGCAAAGTCCTCCCTCCGGTATACCCCTAATCTACAGCCAGGCGGGACATAGCGACTTCGTATATCTTCCGATATGGGGCATAAGTCAAAATCCCACAAGAATTCCCATATCCGTGGAGTCTGCCTGGGGTTGTGGGGAGGTATAAACTTCTCCAGTTTTCCCCATGTCTCAAAACACCATGATCTTAAATTACATTGATACATGATCAAAATGTCACCACAGCCAGGCCTAACGCCAGGTTCCACCACAAACAACGGCAAAGATGCCCGGCTCCAGCATGGCACCTACGACCAGATCGAAATCGCATCCAATCCTCAAATCCTCACCGAAGCCGACTGTTACCTCGACCTTGGCTACTCATTTCCCAACCTCAAGAAATGGACAATTATTATCGTCATCTTCCTCGTCCAAACATCCATGAACTTCAACACTAGTCTTTACTCCAACGCTGTGTCCGGTATCTCAGAAGAGTTCAATGTGAGCAAACAAGCAGCACGATGTGGAGCTATGATATTTCTCATACTCTATGCCTTCGGGTGCGAGCTCTGGGCTCCCTGGAGTGAGGAGTTGGGTCGGAAGCCCATCCTGCAGTTGAGTTTATTTCTCGTAAATATCTGGCAGATTCCTGTTGGGATTGCCCCGAACTTCGCGACAATTATGGTTGGGAGAGCTTTGGGTGGTATATCTACAGCTGGAGGGTCGGTGACACTGGGGATGATAGCGGACCTCTGGGAGGCGGATGACCAGCAGTATGCAGTGGCATGTGTGGTCTTTTCCTCCGTGGGCGGCTCGGTGCTCGGGCCTGTTGTCGGGGGATTTGTGGAGGCTTACCTCCCATGGAGGTGGAATATCTGGATTCAACTCATTTTCGGTGGCTTTGTTCAGCTAGCACACCTAATCCTTGTGCCAGAGACCAGGACATCGATACTGATCGACCGGGTTGCAAGGCAACGACGTGCAAAGGGTGAGAACGTATATGGTCCTGGCGAGGCTATATCTTTCAAAGACCGGTTCTCTACACAGGAAATCCTCACCACCTGGATCAGACCTTTTCGTATGTTTCTCACTGAGCCGATCGTGGCAGCCTTGTCCTTGCTCAGCGGTTTCACCGATGCTCTGATCTTCATCTTCATCCAATCCTTCGCCCTCGTATACGAGCAATGGAACTTTAGCACCGTGGCCGTCGGTCTATCTTTCATTCCTATCATAGTCGGATACATAGTCACCTGGATAATCTTTATACCCGTCATCCGACGCAACACCCGCGAACGCCAAACAAAGCCGGACGATGAACGAGCACAGTACGAATCACGCCTCTGGATTCTCCTTTATGCGGCCCCCTGCCTTCCCATCGGACTAATTGGATTTGCGTGGACTTCTCTCCCACAAACACACTGGATTGGAACCATGTTTTTCTCAGCGCTAGTTGGTATCGCGAACTTCAGCATATTCATGGCTACGATTGACTATATGATTTGTGCTTATGGTCCTTATTCTGCGTCTGCTACGGGAGGGAATGGCTTTGCAAGGGACTTTTTGGCGGGTGTGTTGACGGTTCCTGCGACGCCATTTTATCAAAGTACGTTTAATTTCGTTCATCAGATGCTCTCATATTGACAACTTACTATAGATATCGGTGGTAAATACCACTTGGAATATGCGTCCACTATTCTATGTAAGTTTCTCTTCCCGTTTACACTTCACGAACTCCAGTTAATCATGGTACCAGTCTGCATCTCAGTGCTGCTCGTCGCTACGGTATATGTGATCTACTTCTACGGGCCAATCCTCCGAAAACGGTCACTGTTCGCACAGCAACTGATGGACAGGAGGGCGGAAATGCAGACTCAGATTCGATCTGCGGCTGCGTCGCGGGCCAATTCTCGTCGGAACTCGGCGGTTTGAAGAAATATTGTACCAGAAGCCTTCAAGGTGATGTACTAGCTAGTTGTGACGTGTAGTGGCAGTGGTAGTGGGTAGGAAGATTAGTTGTAGGTTAGTTTTGAACAATAGAATGTGAAATTTGTGTCATCGGAACGCCTTTAGTGAAAATACTCAGAATAACGAGAATAATGAGTCATAGCTATTGACAATCTCACTAAGGTAATAGAGGGATGCATACCGAACCAGCTCGCTATAATTCGGAGGACACCCCCGAAGCTCAGTGCTGTGATGATGTGTCGTCGTCGTCGTCGAGAAGCTCGGAACCGTACCTGAAGAAGTATGATAAAGCGCGGGGATTGGCTCGGTGTTTTCTCCGAAGGATTCTCCCAAATTTACTACATGCATGGAGATAACCCCGACATCCTGCTTCAACCACACCTCGATGTTCCTAAGTTGTTCGTGAGTTGCTCCTGAATAAAACATTTGGCCCGAGGAGCTCGGTGGTATACCCGTGGGGAATTCTACGATGTGCAAGTGATCCGAACCGACTCTTGGTATAAGTATCTCTGAACGTACTACCCCATTTGTTCAACAACAACCGAAAAAAGACAACCTCACAAAATGACTGTCATCCAACAAAAGCCCCAAAACCTCGCTATTCATACCAACCCCGACCATGACCTGCGGGTGGTGGAATGCGAAATCCCTAAGCTCCGCCCCGACGAGTGCCTGGTGCACGTTCGCGCGACGGGAATCTGCGGCTCTGACGTTCACTTCTGGAAACATGGACACATAGGGCCTATGATTGTGACAGATGATAATGGATTGGGGCACGAGAGTGCCGGTGTGGTTTTGCAGGTTGGCGAAGAAGTGACGCGGTTCAAGCCAGGTAAGACATCTTTCACTTCCATACCTATAGTCCGAAGGTATACTGATAATGTAAAGGCGATCGCGTGGCAATGGAATGCGGCGTCCCCTGCTCAAAGCCAACCTGTGATTTCTGCCGCACAGGCCGGTACCACGCCTGTCCCGACGTTATTTTCTTCTCAACACCCCCGCATCACGGTACTTTGCGCCGATACCACGCCCACCCGGAGGCCTGGCTGCACCACATCCCCGACCACATCACCTTCGAGGAAGGTGCACTTCTGGAGCCGTTGACTGTCGCGCTTGCCGGAATTGATCGATCGGGACTCCGACTTGCCGACCCTGTGGTTATCTGTGGCGCTGGACCTATTGGTCTTGTTACTCTGTTGGCTGCGAACGCAGCCGGCGCGGCGCCAATTGTGATTACTGATATTGATCAGAACCGTCTTGCTAAGGCCAAGGAACTCGTGCCGCGCGTGCAGCCGGTGGCCGTGTCCAAGGGCGAGAGTTCGCAAAAACTCGGACAGCGAATTGTCGAGGAACTCGGACAGGAGGCGAAGCTCGTATTAGAATGCACGGGTGTCGAGAGTAGTGTGCATGCTGGTATTTATGTAAGTTTTTGCTGTACCTTCTCAGCCTGATTTGCATCAGTTACTAACTCAACTGTTCAGGCAACCCGCTTCGGAGGCACAGTCTTCGTCATCGGTGTCGGAAAGGACTTCCAGAACATCCCTTTCATGCACATGTCGGCCAAGGAGATTGATCTGAAGTTCCAATATCGCTATCACGACATCTATCCCAAGTCAATTGCTCTGGCGGCTGCGGGAATAATTGATCTTAAGCCGTTAGTGTCTCATCGTTTCAAGTTGGAAGATGGGCTGAAGGCGTTTGACACGGCGAGTAACCCTGGGTCGGGGGCGATTAAGGTGCAGATTTTGGACGATTAGATAGATATAGATAGACTTATATAAAAATTTCTTGTTCTTGTTCAATTTTCTACTATGAAATTCTCGAGTGGATGTTCCAGACTACAAAATAAGGATATGTTTATTTCACTCAACGTTAGCCTGCTAATCCAAGTTCTGGGATATTTTATACTTGCTCTTTCTATTGAGTTAACAGAGCCAATGAAATATCTTCCAGTGTTCTAGGTGAATAATAAGGAGAATAGTTCACACAGCTAGAAGCAGCACCGGCTTCAATACACAACACCGCCGGACACATCACTGTCTCCAACTGGGGCAGGTAATATTGCCTCGCGACTTAATCCTATCTTTAAGATCATGCCTTGAAGAATAGATCACTAACTGAATTAAAAATCTGGGAGCTAATAGCCTTCAATCTAAATGTACTCTATTTCACTGCACCCATATCTATCGCTCTATCTCAAGTATACAACATCCCCCCATTGGCACAAATAACATCCCCTGTAACCCACCTCGACCTCTCCTGCGACAAGAAAAGCACAATATCCCCAATATCATCCACAGTCCCACACCTCTGTCCCGCCGGAACTTTCTTATTCTGCTCCTCCATTCGTGCCAAGTGCACCGGCCCAGCTGCCTGGTACATATCTGTATCAACAGGACCCGGATTCACGGCATTCACAGTGACGCCGTAGCTATGGCCCAGCTCCGTGGCCCAGACGCGAGTGAGACCCTCGACGGCAGCTTTACTGGCCGCGTACACAGATTGCGTGGGATATCCGCCGCGCGCGGAGATGGAGGAGAGATTGACAATGCGGCCGCCACGGGGCTTGGGGAGGTGAGGAAGGACAGCTTGTGTCATGAAGATCACAGCGCGCACGTTGATGTCCATCATGCGCGTGTATGCGTCTAACGTGACATCGCCAAGGGGTCTGTTGTCGCCTACGCCCGCATTGTTGACAAGGATATCAATTGTATCGGTATGGAAAGCGTCTAGTGTGGCTTTGATGATGGTGGCGGGAGCGCTTGTGTCGGCCATGTCGGCTTGGATGGAGATGGCTTCTTTGTTGTCATTGCGGAGGGAGGTTACGAGTGCGTCTGCAGCAGTGTGGGAGGATGGTGAGACGTAGTTGAATGCGACCTTGGATATTTGTTAGAATGAGTTATTCAGTAGACGAAGTTGAGATAGGGTTGCGTCATACCTTCGCACCTTCTTGGCTCAGGCTGCGGACGATGCCAGCGCCGATTCCACGGGCACCTCCGGTAACGATAGCGACTTTGCCTTGCAGGGACATGGTGATAGTAAACAGGGTATGGTATATCCAGACACACAGGTACAATGAAGCGCGAATGGCCAATTTATTGCTCAATCATTCGTAGTTAATGACCGAACACCTAGCGGACCGCCGTCGGAGCTACATCCGAGCAAGTGTTAGGGTTAAGTCTCCGCAATTTCTCCGTGGCGAGTCTCGGCGCTAACCCCGCATCTACCGAAACCGCATTCCCCAAGTTTTTCTCTCCGTCAAACAATCCACTGCAGTGAAAATGACGGACGTACAACGCACACGACACGTCCTGCGCAAGTCGTATGCTTGCGATGAGTGCAAGCGGCGCAAGATTCGATGCTCGGGGGATGAGAATTGCGCCAACTGCAAGCGCGATATCAAACTTTGCCGGTATTCCTCGCCTTCTCAGAGGCTATCAACTTTGCAGAGGTAGTACCTGACTCGTAGCATTTTGATGTAACATACTTATCGAAAACAGGCGTCTCCATGAATTGGAACGCGTCAAAGCAGACATGGAGCGGGCATGGGCTGTCTACCTCCCATCAGTCGATTTGCATGAAGCATTGCAAACAATCCGCCTCCAAAACGACAATAACGAAGCCATTCCAGCCGACCAAAAACGGTCAAAGCACCACAACGATGTCACTCATTCAACGGAGCAACCTCCGACCAGCTTTGCAGAGCACAGTAACGCCGAGGACTACGAGTTTGACGAATCGCAGGATTTTGACAACTCCACCGACGGCATGGGGTTCCTGACTGTCGATCCGCACAAGGCCGGATACACGGGCCCACAGTCGGGGGTTGCTGCGCTGAAGTTTCTTCAGTCGCTTCCGTTGTATTTGCCGCTGAGTAGTTTTACTCCGGGGTCTTCGCTGGATGACGAGGAGGATGATACGTCTGCTGCTGCGGTGCAGAGGAGACGGGCTGAGATTAATCGGTTTTTGGATGATTATTTTGAGTATTATCATCCTGCTTACCCTATTTTGCACGAGGGAACATTCCGCGCGCGTGTTTCAGGTACACCCACATTCTCCTGTATTCCCGTTAAAAGATAGCCAGTATTCTAACGGCGACAGGCGCACTGGCCAAACCCCGCGATGGATCATGGCCTTTACTATACAACATCGTCCTTGCAATCGGAGCGTTCGTCGGCGACTCCAATGCAACCAAAGCCGACGTGCCCTATTTCAAAGAAGCCCGAAAGCATCTATCAATGGACGTGCTGGAGAAAGGGTCTCTGAGTTATGTACAGGGCATTGTGCTTATGGCCAACTACCTGCAAAAGCGCAACAAGCCTAACGCAGGCTTTATCCTGATCGGAATCGGCTTCAGCATGGCGCTAGCCATCGGCCTACATCGCGAATTCGGCATGCCGAGTACTTCGCCATTCACCATGGAGATCCGTCGCCGCGTATGGTGGACGTTATTCGTATTTGTATCCGGCGTCCAGCTTATCCTAGGCCGACCGGCCGTGTCGCTGGTCGGGGTAACAGTCCACCTACCGGCCAACGTGGACGACCACGACCTTGCTGTCGACATGGACGCGCTCCCTGAATGCGGCACAGGACCAACCATCACATCCTGTCTGATCGCGCAGGTTAACCTGGCCAAGATTGCGAACGCCGTGCAGGTTGAGCTACTAACGCACCACCTACCCACATACCAAAAAGCCGCAGCCCTGGAACAGCGCATCTCAGCATGGTATCATGAGCTCCCATCACACTTCAGCCTCGACGTCCCTCTTGAGCCCCGCTTCGATATTCCACGACGGGTACTCCTTTGGCGATCTTTCCACCTCCGTATCGTCATCAACCGCCCATTCCTTTTCCAGCGCATCGCAGCCAAATCCGATCTCGCGACTTCGTCAGGTCCCATAGCATCCTGTCTAGCTGCGACAGATGAGTGCGTAACGTCTATCTGTGGATTTCTCGAGTCAACTGATAACCGTCGCCGCGGACTGACATGGTATGCGACCTGCTGGCTGCTCACGGCTACTTTCGTCCAGGCAACATGCTACATATATGAGCCTGGGAATGCGCTTGCTCCAGGTTGGAAGTCCCATATTCAGCGCGCGGTTGATTGTCTTGGTAGTTTGGGGTCTTCACATGATATGGCTCTCCGGGCCAGAGACGTGCTCCAGACGGTCCTTGGTATGCCAATCAACCCTCAATAAACAGATTTCAAAACTAAAGATACATAGAACACGGACATGGACTCGCCGCACCGGGTAATTTCACTCCGTACACCTCGACACAAATTCCAGCATCGTTCCGATCACTCTGGGCGCCATCAGACGACCAGGCAAACTTCAACCCGTTCTGCATGGGCCTCGACCAGAATATCCCGGGGTATCCGCAGGGATCCTTCAACGCAGAATTCCTAGACGCGACGGCCGGTCTGATGATCCAGAACTTTTTCGATAGTACCGATGAACGACAAAATAACTCATGCATGCCTGGATGATTACAATAATTAGTGATTAATGAAAAGGGTCTCTATATACCGAAGTGCAAGCCATCTATTTCTAAAACAATGCTCCACATACAACAACATCCTCAAGGGTATGCCATCCCAGGAGTCATTTGATACCCCATAAGCTCAGGCCGAGTCCGCAACTCAACCTCTTTTTCCGCCTGGATAATGGCGCAACAAGAACAGCAGAAAGATACGCAGCAGTCGCCGCAGCAGCTCCCTTCAATACCAAATCGCTCACGTGTTTCACCTCGTTTGACCGTCTGTATGATCCACTGCGAACCAAGTAGTGCGAGGAAAGCAAACAGTGAACACTAGAATTGAATGACCATCAGCCTAACAGCTCTGGATCCAGATCACTAAACAAACCCCAGTGTCTCTCTTACCTGAGTATTGCAATGGCTGTAGTCAGACAACTCCGGATTTCTGGTCCTAGTTTGTGTCTTTCCAAATGTAAGGCATGGGAGAAAGCAGCCCATAAGACCTGAAGAGATATATCAGCACAATTCGGACGGCGATAAAGCCGTATTAGGACAGGTACGTACAAAGTGAACCAGGTTCAAAGCAGCTAAATAACGAGTAATTCCACTGTCTATTGTGGGTGATTCCTTGTACATACTCGGAAGTCGCCTGCTGATATGTTGGCGGACCACTCGGCCATGCTCGATAGACCTTTTCCTTTTCTATATCCATTGCGTAGACGAGATTGAGAATGAGGTGGGAGAGGGGGTATGTAATATATCTATGATGCTCGCGCATCGAATAGTATGTGCCAACTGTGAAAACGGGCAATTTATATCTTTACAGGAATCGTTCGCCACGAGTATAATCCGAGACTATTTACAAATAGGGCCATTGCCGAAAAGGGAAGTTCGTCTTCGTATCCATCTTAGCTTCCGCTGTGGGGTGTGTGGAGCTTTGGGTCTACAATATAAGTGGTTGAGAATGCTTTAGGTTAATTTTTTTCCCTTTCTAATACAAAGCAATTCGCCGAATCTTCACCGTCACCAAACTCTGAATAGGAGGGTATCAGCCCATGATGAAAGTCCCTAATCGGAGACCTCCTATATAGGAATAGCCAGGGCAATTTATTCTCGAATACGACTTCGAACTTCCTTTTGCGACTTCTGGCTTCTTTCTCTTTTCCAAATCAATCCACCATGAATCCCTCCACCAATCGATACACGGCAGCCTCCGCACGTAAATCCCACCGAAAATCGCGTCTCGGATGCGGGAACTGTAAACGGCGCAGAGTAAAGGTACGAATCTGTGTTCTAAAGGTGAATAGTCATGTGTTGACGAATGTGATTAATTAGTGCAATGAAGCCAAGCCGGCGTGCACGAACTGTTTGCGCCATTCGATTGATTGTGATTATCAATCAGGCCAATCGGTCTCTCGTAATGCATCACCTTCAATGCAGGACGCAAGACTGGAACTGCGGCCACTACCTCGCAGGGTTTTTACCTTTTACTCCTCGTCTCAGTCAGATTTTCAAATGCCGAAAAGAGGCAGTGCCGCTCACAAGAGAGAGCAACAAGAGCGCCTGCCGTCCGTTACGCCATCTGGTGACATATCTTCTAACGCACCCTCTAATGCGCCCTCTAATGTGCCTTCTAACATGTCCCCTGACACCCCGTCTGACACGCCCTCAGAGCTAACAAGCACGGCGTTCAAGTTTACTGGGGCCGATATGGAGTTATTCCACCATTTCCTTACCTCAGAAGAACTAGGCGCGTCCAAGAGCCCCGAGGCATTGCACTCTCGACTTCCTCGTTTGGGATTCTCGTTCCATTACATCTTGCACCTCATCCTGGCGTTTTCGGGGTTTCATCTAGCACGTATACAAAAGCATGGATCGAAATATTACTTCGAAGCTGAAAGGAATTACGCGACTGCCCTTCGAATGGTGTCAGCTGCGGTGCCCCTTCTTGACAATCACAACTGCCAAGCACTTTACATGGCTGCCGTACTCATCTTGATCTGCTCGTTCGCGAAAGGGCACCCGCCAGACGAGTTTCTGGTTTTTCGTGATGATGGAAGAGCTGGTTCGCTTTTTCTTCTTATGGGTGTCCGGTCGATATTGGAGAACTGCTCACGTGAGGTGCTGGAAATACACTCAGAGCATACAGAGCGTAACTCGCAACCTAGCTACCTGTGCCATCGAGTCTCTGGGTATAGCAATCAGATAGAACAACTGCGCACCTTGATCGCGGGCAAAGTACGAGCCGACGACAATCGTTATCCGGCTTACATAAATGTTCTTGACAGACTTCATCACTGCTTCGATTCCATTTATGGGCGCCAGTCGTTAACAGATGGGGACCTTTGGCCGCAAATATTTGGCTGGTTGTACACACTGCCCGATGATTTCGTTGTTGATCTGCAGCATCGAAATTCAGTTGCACTGGTGATCTTTGCCTTTTATATTGTTTTGCTGAAAAGAATCAGCTCCGTGTGGTTTATACAGGGGTGGCCTGAACATATCATGGGTGGCATCCGGAAATTTGTTCATGAGGAACATCGACTGTTTATACAATGGCCGATGGAGCAGATGAAATGAAAACGCTCTTTTTTCACCTTATTGTCTACCTCAATATACAATAGACGTTGATTCCGCCATTTCTAGGACAGTATTCTTTAGTCAACGCAACGGAAGTTTTCGGCAGACGATGAGTTACCGTTGCAGTAAACAGCATTGGAAGGGTAAGAACAAAGAATACGATCCTGCGGAGACCCATCTTCACCACTGAATTCAATCGGCAGAGTATCAAGTGCAGTGCCATTCTCCACCCATGAGCGCAGTGCGTCAAACACGGTCTTTAGCTGTCCTCCGTTTCCACCAGAGCAGTGTCCCAAACCGGGGACTTCGAAGTGATGATAGAAATCATGCACGTGAGGGAAACATTGACTGCATTATAGTAGTGCTCTGTTCCCTTTGTTAGAATTGCGTTATCGGCCTAGTCTTTGTCAGTAACTCAAAAGAGCTTCGGTTTAGTTAGGGAAGAGATGATGCTTACCATGCCATGATAAGAGAGTAACTTGCCTCCTGCATTTTGGAACTCGGTGAGGTCAGAGTCAGCCGTACCGATGATATCTGTGTATTCCTGTATCCCAAGACGGAAAAGCCAATTAATATATTCATGATCAATGACGGAGTTATTGTAGTTTTGCAGTTTCTGCAAAAACTGCCCTATCCATAGACCCTGCACACCCGAACCCTGGGTATTTGCCCCGTTGTTCCCAAAACCACTGATATCTGCCCCAGGGTTCAATCCGTACCACAGGAAATTCCCTTGCGTAGACCGAGCGCCCGACCAAATCGCGTCGGCTAGCATTGCTGCACCATTGCTGAGTCGCATCGTCTGTCCGGTGGAGGAGCAGTTGGACGTGCTGCTCACGGCACGGAAAGGGTCATAATTGCAAAGAGACATGTTCGAAATAAGGCCATCCACGACACCATCCATCAGATCGCAGGACGTGACCGCTTCAGCGGCAAGAAACCCCAACTCGCAAGATCAAGGGTATAGATTCAGATTTCTGGGCCCAGTTACTGAGTCAAAACGGATAAGCGGACGAGCTCACGAACTGCGGCCAGTATATCACCGGCGCCGACGCGGCAATTCCATTGTACACGGTGGGATATCACTGCGCAAGCATGAGACCCTGTCGACCACCCTGCGAACAACGACTCCAATACGAGTACGCAGGATCACGACCATAAAAGCTCTTAACTAGGCTCTTCCCAATGACAGCCTGATCGTACAAAAATTTGGATCCCAGATCCTGCAGCGCATACAGATCAACATTTTCATCACCCTTCAAAGCCCATGTCCTCGGAGACTCCGCCAATCCTGCGTCAGTAGTCGTCGCAGCATAGCCCTCGCCAATAGCGCCGGCCATGAAGAACGGGGATAGCGCAAAACGACCCGCTTGTCAGCCGCCGCCGCCGGTTGCTTGTAGGCGCTCATTCCAGTTGCTTAGAAGAAGCCAGGTTTCGACACTGATAAAGTCGTTTTGTCTAGGATGAATGTATGTTACTGTGATGTTGCAAAAGGATGCATTGGTGACTGAAATCTCGCCGTGGTTGTAGTTGAAGGCGCCAAATACGTCGAAAGAGAAGTTAGTTATTGGGGAGGCTGAGAGGGAGAGTATCTCAGCCCCGAATATGCTTAGAGTATCTATGGCTGAGGGAGCACATGCTGTCGTGGGGATGGTGGAGAAGTGCATGGGGAGAGGTGTTGTAGCGCGAATAACGGGTGTCTATGGGATACAGAAGGCGAGCAAAGTTGTCGATGGTGCCCATGTGTATACGTATCTATATAGTCGATACTGCTATCCGGGAATCTGAAAATGAATTTGAGTTTCCTCATATGCAACAAGAAATCCTTTGGTTCCTCCGTCAGGTGAAGGGTCCATAGATTGCCCGAACGGGAAACTCGCATTCGCATCCAAGAGGAAAAAGCAACATAGCAGACTACTGGGGCTTACAGGCTGGCAAAACTTGTAGCCATTTCTTATAACAACCTATTTCAACCTCGGGCCAGGCTTTGGATTTCGGCCTCGATTGGTGCCTTCAATCATGCCATTCTATGATATTGACAACGCTCACCCCACACCAAACAAAACTATACACCGGCCGGAATTCGCCGGCGGCCATCCGCCTAGCTACTAACCGGCCGGCGTGTGGCTTTAGGATTGGTAAGTCTCCCAGCCGAGTTAGAGGATGTAGCTATGATCTATATTTGAATAGTTATGGCTTTTGCTTTACTATGCGTAGAAAAGCCCTGACGTCATATGGCCGGTTTTCAACTTCAATGACATCATCGAGCCAAGCCCTATGTACTTTCTCCAACCTCAATAAAAGAAAGACATCTCGAACAATTGAACGAACAACTAAACCCGCCTGTCACATATATCAACAAAACTTTACTATCCATGATGGCACGCATATTCATAACCGGCTCCAGCGACGGCATCGGCCAAGCCGCTGCCCGCATCCTCGCAGAAAAAGGCCACTCCGTCGTCCTGCACGCCAGAAACGCAGACCGCGCCGCCTCCACCCACAGCGCAGTCCCCAAAGCCGAAGCCGTGCTCGTGGGCGATCTGCGCTCAATTGCCGAGATAAAGAAACTAGCCAAAGAAGCCAAAGGGCCATTTGACGCGGTTATTCATAATGCCGGGATTGGATACGGCGGTACATCGAGTCGAGAAATCACCAGTGACAAGCTATCTGCCGTGTTTTCTGTTAACACGCTCGCGCCGTATATTCTCACTTGTTTAATGGACAAGCCAACATCACGGCTGTTATTTATGAGTTCAGATAGTCACTACGGTGGCGACGAAAGCTTGAGAAATGTGACGCAGAGTCATTCATACAGCGACAGTAAATTACACGACACAATGCTGGCAAATGCGTTTGCGAGACGGTGGGGTGATATTCAGGTCGTGAGCATGCACCCTGGTTGGGTGAGGACTAAGATGGGTGGGATGATGGCTCCGGGGGGGATGGATAAGCCGGCTAAGGCGTTGGCGGAATGGGCTGTTGGACAGGGGAAGCTGGCTGATTTGAGGAGCGGGGCGTTTTTCACTACGAGTGGGGAGGATTCACCGCATCCGGGGGCTGGGAATGTGGGTAAGCAGGAGGAGTTGTTGAGGATTTGCAGGGAGGTTTCTGGGGTGGGGGTTCCAGGTGAATAGATAGATGAAACTTAGGCTATGAATGTTATGATTATTGACCGTTCGCTTATTGAACTCGCCAATTCTTTTCTGAAGGAAGTAGCAAATCTATTAGCTGCGAGTAGCATACTATACAAACTATTGCCTCACATATACAACCTCCGGATATACCGGCGACGCCCTGTTCAACAATCCAGCTTTTTCCCCCGTGACAAAAAACTCACAAGCAGCCGTGATATACTCCGCCAAAATCGTCCTGACCCTCAACCCAGGCAACGTCCCCAACCCAGGCAACGACCCCAAGTGCTCTGCACTCTCATTCCGAAGCACCTTCGCATTCGGCGCACTATCAAACACCAGCGGCAGATCCGTAAACCCCAGATGCTTAATATCATTAATCCTTAACTGAAGTCTGTATCCACGCAACCGTTCCCATATCACATCCCAAGCCCATTTCTGCTCTTTTGCCAAATGCGGATCACCGATGTTGATAAATGGGCGGTCGAGGCCTTTGTGTACAACGGGGCCGAATAAACTGCCGTCTAGGTTAACGCCTCCTGCAAAACGCATGTCGTTGAGCATTGTTGCTGCGGCGGTTGCACCGCCTTCTGAGTGGCCGACGATGGATACATGATTCAAGTGTAGGCTGCTCGAGAAGGAAGGGGGCGTTATAGATTGAGTTTTGTGTTGGAGTTGGTTTAGAGTGAAAACGACATCGCCAACGCGGGTCTGCAGGGCTAATGAAACGTTGTGTGGGATACTGGGGTTCATGGGGATGACGTGGCCGTCAGGGAATTCTACCGCTGCCGCATCATGGGGATGGTCGATGGAGATGACTAGATAGCCCGCGCTGGCGATTTCTTCGAGGAGGTTGGCGTAAATGAGTCGGGAGCTGCCCATTCCAGGCGAGAAGAGAATAACGGGATATTCCTTCGTTGTGTTTTGATGTTCCGAGGGTGCAAATGAAGGTAGATCAAAAACATTCAGAGTGCTATTTGGAAGTTTCATTTTCTGGCTGGCTTCTGGGAAGATTCGCGGAGGGATATAGGGCGTATACTGCAACTCGCCGCAGTTGACAGGCGCAAATGCGCTGACCATGATCGCTCGGGCATCGTGCGTGGGACTGTAAGGGTCGACCCGCGAGTGGTCGATTAATTCTGTTGATTTGATCTGCACCTGGCAGGGTCCGGAGGGGCCAGGAAGAAGAATTTTGGAGTGGACGAGATGGAAGAGGGCGCAGAGGAGAAGCGCAATGAGTGCCATTATGTCTATTGTTCTGTACTAACTGTGGCTAAGAGCTTCCGAAGCTGTCTATATACATAGGGTACAGAGTACTCTACGGAAATAAAGATGCCTGGACTCGTACGCAGGGTACGAATGATCGACAGATCGTCCCCGGTGATCACCGACTAGATACTTGGTCTTGAGCTTAGCCTAGACCCGACCTGACAATAATAACGCAACGGTTCTTCCTCATGGGGAAGCAAAATGTCGCCATGAGAAGAGCGGCCAATTGGTGCTCCACGATAGGCACGAAAATGTGCATCCCACGCGGGTCGGTCTCATATCGGACCCAGAACTCTGTCATCTACGTCCAGGGGAAGTTGGTTCTCAAACGACGTACTAGCCCGGGACTCATACTAGGCAGCAAGCTCAACTGAAACCGCCATAATGAACAGCCAAAGTTGAGTTGCCAATAGAGTTATGTCCCTGGCGTAGCCGGTACCCGAGCGGGCCGCGCAAGCAGCGGGTTACCTTTCCGATCAATCGGACGAACGGTTTGACGCTGGGCCCTGTAACGATTGCGAATGGATGCAATGGCAAGCAGAAGATTAGAGAAGTATCAGAATAGTGGGTGGTAGCGTCCCTTTAATTGGGTCGTGGTTGATAGTGTTGTGTTGGCCGAGTTCCACACACGTGTGGAACTCGGCCTCACCTTATCTACAGGGGTAGAGAGTTATATTACGTTAAAATTTCAGAAAGGCGCAACAGCAACAACACCCTTATCTCCCACAAATTTCGTCCACAGGGCTGCCACATCACCAGGAACCTCCCACTTTGCTTCTGGCATAAGTGTTACATAGCATCCGGTCGTACCCTGCTCGACCGTCTTATGAGGAAATCGAAACCACTCGGGATGCTCTCCGGTCTTCGAGCATTCAAATGTAATACCATAATGCTCCATATAACCCATCCCGATCGAGAACAGGAAATTCTGCAGTCGGGGCATCCGGAGTACCGCAGTAGCCTTTGTCTTCATAAGGGAATATATTACTGTCGTGTGGTGGAGCATCCTACGAGAAAAAAGCCATCGACTATACCGGAAATTGGCTCGTCGATTGAGATGTGTGAGATGACGGCGAAGGAGCCTTCTGGGGCTATGCCACCCTAGCTCGAAATTGTGGTGCTCACACGAACTACTATGTGTTTCGGCCTAACCCAACTAATAAAGATGCTGCAATTTTGTAGAGTTTGGACCAACATGGATTCTTGGTACAGGACGCAACTCATATGAAGCACTGGCCCGGAAAATCCGCGACGCGAGTTTGGCCTAACTGGACATCATGATCGACGGAATCCAAAGTTTATTGTCTCTGGGAAAAAGGAACAAGAAGCATGAAGCTTGGTCGGTCGTGGATATCGAAGACAAATATGTGGTCTTCTCTATGGAGCCGTCAATGGTCCTCCTGGGAAGACCCATTTGTATGCTAACGCCGGGCTGACCATAAATACCCCAGACTTCATGGACAGCATATGGCTCCGCACAGTCTCTTGGGATGACGACAGGGTTTCCAAGTGGGTTCTGGATGAGCCGAGGGAGATGTAAGCTATTCGTCTCCTTGATGAAACTCATGGCATGTATGTTAAATTAGCATGGTTCCTGATCGGATGGGGAGCCCTGTTTTCCAAGTCCTATGGTCGTATATATTTATCAGAAAGTAAGAGGACATGATATTTCTATAGTCTTCCTTGTAGTGAGGTAAACACCTCATTCAATGCTATACAAGTAATCCCCAGGTCGGGGCCTGAACCATTGGTTCGGGGTCTCTTCAATGCTGATATCAATACCTCCACTAACCACTGTACCACCAGTTATCATGATCGTAATCGTCGTTTTATCGGTGTTTTCTCCGGTTCCGCTAAACTTCGATCTCACCATCTCGCCACCGATTTAATAGAGTATGCAGATGTAGGCTGAATACAGGGAGGTAAAAAGAGCCTTTGAAACAGGCCCCTAGCCGGTGGGAAGTATCGCGTAGATATTGCCAGCAGTTAACTTGGACGTTGCTCGGGAAGGGACATGGAAAAATTTCTTGCGATAGCTTTGAGCTGAGATTAAGATTTTGAAATATGTCTAGTATACCCCCCACCATCCTCGCCGCAGTAGAGTCGAACAACCTCACCCAACTCAAAATCACTCTTGATGTATAGAGTGCCCAAAAAACTCCTGAGTCCCCCAAGGTACCAGGTCAGCCCATGTACTCGTTTCAACCTGCCTTGGAAATTGCATTGAAATCGAGATATGTCGAAGTTGCTGATGAACTGTTGCATCGCGGTTGTTTGATCAGTCCCGGTACAATCCTTGCCTCTATCTATGCACCATGGTTATTGATTTTAATAAAGGACCGACAGATGCTGTCGTAGCCACGTCGGCTGGATGCACTGAGCAATCCGGATGGGATACCCGGTCATTCGAAGTCTTATCCAAGCATGACTGGGATGTAAACGAGTGCCTTGGGCACATTGCTGATGCCCTGATGTTAGTTCTTTCCTTTCATATAATATCACGATCTGGGTCCCTATCAACGATACAATAATGGCAGTATGGCGGTCGGTCCCAGCAAGCTCCTACTGGTCACATATCTGCTCAACCACGGCGCCAACCCCAACGCGAACCGTCGCGGAGAAATAAACTCTGTTCTTGAAACGGCCGCCATCTCTGCGAGTCCGAAGATTGTTCAGTTACTATTGAAGCATGGCGCTGAGTTCGTAATAGGAGTTCCCTTCACAAAGCAGCCAGCGACGGTCGACTTCAAGTCTGTCGTCTTCTTATTGATGCAGGGGATGATACTAATGCTATTCCGGATAACGAAGACCTCTTCGAGAATACCACCGAGCAGGATGATTGGGGGACACCGCTTCATGGGGCCGCGGGAAATGATCATACTGTGTGCGTTCATTTCTTGCTGGAGAGGTTTGCGAGACATGACGTCAGGAATCCAAATGACTTGACGCCTGGTGAGGTGGCGCAGCGGAGAGGACACGCTGAGTGTGCAGCTATTCTGGCTTAACTGGCCGGATTTGCAGCAACCGATATATAAATTAGATAAACAAAAAGTACCTCGAGTCGCTTTGGTGTCGAGGTCTGATAGGAGCGAGCGCCCTAGACCCCAATGACGCACAAAAGAGTCTTGTAACAACGTGAAAATTGATATTATTTTCTGAAACAACCTGGCGAACTTCAGAAGGAGACGCATGGCAGTCCCAACCCCGGCTCCAAGTCGTTATTTCCAAGAATATGACAGGCGAAAAGCCCTTGGCACTAGCGAATATGTTAGACATATTCTGTATTTTGAGGTCTTGCTATCCGAGAGAGACTTCAAATTCGATGGAAGATTTTCACGGGGAGGAAATGTAACAAACATAGCTGTTTCATCAACGATATATGAGCCTAAAACCAAAGCATCAAGCTCCAAGTATCATTTTGAGGGTATATTTAGGAAGTTTCATGTAGTTTTCTGGCTTATTCCTCCGCCAAAATTAATCGCCTCCAACTCCCGTACCCTATTCATGAACCAAGTATGAATATCATCCAAAGGCATTCCTTGTTGGGCAGCAAGAGCACGGACATGAGACCGGTCGTTGAGATAACTCTCCTGCAATTCTCCAATGAGTGCCTTCCTTTTCTCCTTGTTTGAAGCCTCCTTATCTATTCGCAGCCAGCCCGCCAGAAGTTCCAATCCGATGGGAGACTTAATTATCTCAGTTCTCGAGATTCTGTAGTCCTCGCATCGCGTTTCTCTCGTATCATAACCCAAGTCTGGAGCTTCAGCTGGGCTTCGAGTCGTCCGCTGGATGCTGTACCATGTCTCTAAATTTTCGCAGTCCGTTGGCGTGTCTTCCCCGATGATGCAGAGAACGTCGGGGTCGGATTCCGGAGATGTGTGCAGTCCCTGGAAGCTCATAGTTAGCAATATATTTGATTTATTGACGTTCAGGTACTCGCCAGTATCTCCTCTAACTGTGAGGCGCACATCAGGGTCACAATGGACCCTAGGTGGGGTGCAGCCCTGGGGCCCTCTTCTAAATTAAATTAGTAATATGCTACCTTGGATCGTCAAGTATGCCAACCTTTTTGGGGCCCGAAACATGCGAATATCGAGAGCAAGATGGACAAGAGGCTGTTGAATGGTTCCATTTTACGAATGAACGAATTCGGAGCGACTGGATTAATATCGATCAATCAAAGGAGTCGACGAGGTTATGGAAAACAGGAGAAAGATGTTTCAGCAAAGGCCTGTGGTTTCGTGTCTCTTGACATGGGTGGAAGATGGCACTCCAGTGAGGGTTGTATGCTGCGAAACACAGCCCTGAGATTGCCAAAGCCCTAATTTACCAGAGAAACTGAGAATATATCTCACAGAAATATAAAGCTGTGATACAATTTGAGAGTAACAAAAGTACAAGAGCCCCGTTTACCGTGAACAGAATAGATAATATATCTTACAGCCTATATGGTAATCATAGTATAGGTTACACGAACATGTTGAACGAGGCCAGTTCCCTTATTTAGCGCCCGACATTCAAACAATGCAGGGGTAAGCAGAATTTACAGGGAAGGGCGCAGCATACAGTTGGCTGCGTTTAGAACGCTTTGGGTATAAGTATATTTACGGCGCGTAAGTAGCAAACTTGCCTAAAGCAGTTTCTCATTCGCATTTGAATAAACACTTCATTCTCATACACAAATATAAGATGTCCTCGGAAACACTTGTGAATGCGCTAGTGATTGCTCTAAGCGTACCTCTCCTTCTATCATATCCCAGGTAGGTGGATCATACTTGTACTTGTATTGACCGGGAGTTAAATAGGTTATGGGATTGGAGAAGTCTTTCACGAATCCTTCTCCAGAGGGACACAAGAAGAGGTAGATCAACGCCTGCCTCCTGCTCGCGAGTTTAGGTTCCGTTCCTCAGAACAACGGCCAATCAAGTGATTTGAATATAACCAAGACTGACCCCGAAATAAACCTAATGGACAAGACCCATAATTACAACAAAACCTGGGCCGCTACCAAGGGCATACGGAAGGTCAGGCCGCATGACCTGCAAGTGTATAGAGAGACTTGGGCCGGAACATGCGGAACGGAAATTTAACCCCACGAACCCCATAGGTTGCTACCTCACCTTGTAGAGCATCCTCAAGGCCTATAATATGGATGCTAGCAGGACTAAGATTAAACGGTGGAAGGCTTCTCTCCTGGGGTTCCATGAACTCGAAGCAATTCACAAGTCTCTTTATGAAAAGAGGCGCGGCCAGAGGACCACCACGTGGAAATTTGCTATGCATGAGCTGGACAAAACGAGGGAACAAGGATAAGCACCGGTCTATCTACGAGTACACGAAGTGTCGTCATTGTGTTTTTGTTTTGAGCAAGTAGGGCCCGGTCCTCTTCTGCTGCTGGGAGAGCAAAATGATTCCGTGGATCTGTGAGTGACTGCCCTTATCAACCTCTCTTTTTCTTTTGGGGCACACATTGAGAGATGAAAAAGTGACCTTGGTGCTCGAATACGCATGGGGTTATACAGACTGACCCTTTGGCCTACCGCCTTTGGCAGGCGGAGAACCCCAGAACTACCCAGAATATCTGTCCTACCCAAGATAGGGCAGGTGTGACCTTTCTGAAATGGGCTGAAACCTCCTCTATCCATATTCGTCTTCACTGGTGGCAGCTGCTTGAGTAACTCAGATGGTTCAGCCAGCACTGGATAATATGGATTTTGGGAGAATGGAAGCTGGAATCGACCTGTGGTCGCCTCTGCCTCCCTAAGTATGCAGTCTTCAATGCAGAGGCTACCGTAGTAACTGAGGGGCTGAAGGCTGCCCTTAATAGTGCCCAGCCTTCCCGGTCACACAGAGCCTATACGTTTTCCTCGGCAATCAAGAAGTGGCACGTCAACTGCAGGGCCGCCCTAAAGGCCCTAGCCAGGGCTCCATCATGGCCTTCCAAGAAACTATAAATGCATGTCCGAGTTGCTCCCTTTGATGCCTGGCCATCACACCCGTACAGGTGCATGTTTGCTGGATCCCCGGACATGCAGGCATTACAGGGAACGAGAATGCCAATGAACAGGGCAAAAGATGAGCTAGGTCTACCCACAAACTAGCCGCTCTCAGACAAGACATGCCTGGGCTCGCCAAACTTTGAAGGAGGAATTCTGGCGACAATTCCAGTCTTTTTGAGCTGAGAATGCGCCACAGCAATATCAGGACCTCTCCATTGGCCTCAATAAACGACCTCATGAACTATCCATCCCCAAAGCCAATCTCGGCCAATTTCTTGCTGCCTGAACAGGCCATGGAGACTTTGCCCAGTACCATGAGTGTTTTGGACATGAAGATGCAAAGGTAGAATGCTCATGTGGGAGCCTAAAGACCTCCCATCACATCTACTACTACCGAAAATGCCGCAAGGCTTCCTTGTACCCATGGAAGACAGAGACAGGTTGATGAGATCCTGCGATCCAAGTCAGGGATAAAGGACTTTTATGAATGGCTTCAGAATCCTCACTTCTACCTGAGAATCTGCCCCCTACGTTGATCAAAATCCTTTTCTCTCCCTCCTCACGTACGTCCATTCCTGCGGCCCAATTTCCATCTGAGCTCCTGCGCGGGAGTGTTGCCAGCGTACACGATAGAGTTAGCTTAGCTACTAGATAGGCGATTTTGCTTCGCCCGTCGTATGTCCTGATGAAAGTTGAGATGGATTAATAGCTGGTCCGATTACCGAGGCCGACAGATCCCATCTGTGGTGTCTATAGATATCAATGCCCACCCTCCGTGTAATCTAAATTTCCTCTTCATATATAGCCTCGTGCAGTCCGATAATCGACTCCCCGACTTTCCCGACTCGGAGTTAACCGCCTTATTGGCTTATTCGTTTCACGAACTTAATGGACGAAAAGGTATCAAAAGTACTAATATCATGTGACTGCTGCAATTACCCCACGTTCATCTCATGAGATGAGAACCTGCATTTATGTTCTGACTCCAATTTTTTGTCTCCAGTGTGCAGCTTGATCTTACAAACACCCGGGGAATCGACGATAAAACATATCGTAAGTGGAATGATTCTATCTACTTTGCCTATGGTTCTGACACTACTAATAGACACGCAATACTCTACTCCCCAAATACGCGTAGCAATGTTGGTTTCTACCACAGAAAGGGACAAGTGCCTTACCCCAACCCACACCAGCAACTCAGACGAAACGACTAGCTATACGAGTATAGGCATGCAAGAACTGACATCTGATGCCAAAACCCTTCCGTTCAAAGACATGACATTCATAATCCGCGAACCCAGAACCAAACGTGTCATCTGCCTCAAGGAAGGTTCACCGATGATGGTACACTTAGACATATTTCACTATCAATACAATGTTGCGAGTCACTGGCATTGTGTTGAGAACGAGAAGATGTGGCTTGGATTTTACAACGACGTTTCAGGCACGTATCTCGGGCATGACAGCAAGGGTCAAATTAGAGCAACGGCGACAAAGCATGATGCGTGGGAGTGGTTTTGTCCACGACAGCATCCAGATGGCGGTCATCTACTCTTGATAAAGAACAATGATGGTTTCTCGCCGATAAAGATCGGGGAAAAGAGAAACATGGAGTTGGTGGTCGATAGTCAGAGACGGGAAGGGACCACGTGGGAGTTTATTAGAATTGACACTTGATCTTAATTTATGGCCTGATCATGTGTTCGGCGAAGGAATCCTGTAAGACTACATTAAGGTGTATGTTAATGGCTTAGTCTGACATAATTGGGCTGTATTCTGTGCCCAAAAGTTCTCTAGATCATCATTTATATACATTTACGAGTATCAAAAGAAACTTATAAACCCACTATGCAGCTATGCGCTCCAACAATCTCTATACCACTGGAAAATGATGCGTAGATCAATCATATCCTGTTCCTCCCTAACACGGAGCTTCTATTGGGGATTATCGGAGCAGAGGGAACACCATTCTCAGCTGCTAGCCTCTAGATAGGCTTATAGTCGATAACCAAAGCTATATATCAAATGCCTTGTATTGAGACCGGGTATAGCAAAGCTCTTCGATCATGACAGGTAACTCCTCTAGTACAGCTGCTGAATATGTCACAAACTACCCCTTCAAGCCAATCTTTTTAAACTCGGATATGGTGTCCTTAATGGCTACTTCAACAGGAAGTCTCTCCATTGAACTAGCCCCGTAGAAGCCGTGCAAGCCCTGCACCTGACCCAGCACGAATTTCGCATCTTCCGGGGAAGCAATTGGCCCACCGTGGCACAACACAATTACATCTTTATTGATTTTCACTGCCACATCCCGTATGGCCTGTATCTCCATAACGCATTGCTCCAACGTCTTTCCGGTCTTCGCCCCGATCACCCCCGAAGTGGTCAGACCCATATGTGCTACCAGAATATCCGCTCCAGCCTTCGCCATAGCTTCAGCCTCCTCCACATTGAAAACATAGGGCGTCGTGAGAAGGTCCAACTCAGCCGCCTGCTGCACCATCTTCACCTCTTTGCTGTACCCCATCCCAGTCTCCTCCAGGTTAGCGCGGAACTGGCCATCGATCAGTCCCACAGTAGGGAAGTTCTGCACACCAGCAAATCCCAACTCCTGCAACTGCTTCAGGAACCGGCGGATATGCTTGAATGGATCTGTACCACAGACACCCGCGATCACGGGGGTGTTTTGAATGATAGGGATGACTTCAGCAGCCATTTCGACTACTACCTCGTTGGCGTTGCTATACGGCATTAGCCCCGCGAGACTTCCGCAACCCGCCATGCGAAAACGACCACTGTTGTAGATGATGACTAGGTCTCCACCGCCAGTCTCCACCGATTTGGCAGAAAGGCCAATGCCTGATGGTAGGTTATCAGCCAAACTGATGGGCAGAGAACCAAGGGGCGGGCGACAACAGGTACGTACCGGTTCCAGCTCCAATGATAGGCTTTCCATTTCCAATTTGACGGCGCAGGCGGGCTAGAATCTCACTGCGACAGGTAGGTGGTGCCATATTTAAGGAAATGGAAGTTTGTATGTTGGATCAAGTGTCCAAGCAGAATAAAAGGTAGGAAGGTACGTTATGAACTGAGATCAAGGTGGTACCGGCATGGTCATTTGGCTCGGTGTATAGCCCTATTTATTGGTGAGTTCTCGAGCGACGTACGCAATAGGGCTGTGGCGAGACAGTGTGTGACAGATATGGATATTATTCTGTCGTTCCACTCGGAATGGTGGAGTGCGGACTTTAAACTGCGGATGGCGGAGATATTCAAGGAAACAGCCTCCAAGTGCGGAGACCATGGCGGAGATAACTGGGACGGCTGTCGAGTGACTTCACTCACGGAAAATCGTCGAGGCAGGAACTGCCGAGTCCAATTTTTCCAGATTATCAAACCCATCCCTCATTTGTTTAGATATTAGCTTGATAGAAATTTAGCCATATTTTTATGGTGTATGAATTAGGGCTAGCGGGTCAAGGGTGGAACTTGGGTTATTGTAGGGGTCGGAGAGGATGAATACTTAACTAGCATCCCATAATCAGGAACTTCAGATCTACCTGCCTCTATTTTGGCTCACTTTGGTTCCCTCTCTATTCTCCCAACATGTTGGGACCATCCACCACCGCACCATACCAGGATGGAGATAAAATTGAGGCATGTCCGGACAGTGACTGTATCGAGCAGCTCAAGACACAGGGTGTCCAATTCCAACCCCCGCCCTTGCCCTCCATGCATCGATCCTTAGCTAATTCTTGGCCGTTAGGATTGCTCTCCTTCGCCACAGATACATTCCTGCTTTCCAGGCTGGGGGTGCACGCCCGAAGCATCGAGCAAACCAACATGGCCATTGGAGTCTTGCTGTGCTTTGGCGGTATCAGTCAATTTCTCTCGGGAATTATGGAGTACATCAACGGGAATACGGTGTGCTGACGACAGAAGTTTTTCGGGACGGTTACTAGATTGGTGTATATGTTGATTGTTTGTCTATCTGTTTACAGTTTGGAACCACGCTCTTCCCGTCTGATGGAGCGTTCAGTCTCAACTTTGCCATGAGTATATGTCCTTCCTGTGACCAGAGATTCGGGGCTGACAAATATTTAACAAATATTTCTACCTGGAACTGGTATTCAATCAGGTATACCTCGGAACTACTCTTCCCTGTGAAACGGATCCCTCTAACCCAGCATCCAGCCTATACCGATGCTAGCGGCAATATCCAATCCTTTTTCTACGACGCTGTGGGTGCATACTGCTGAGCCTGGTTTATCCTGTCAGTCATCTACACCATTGCGGCTATCTGCAGCTCGTGGGTCTTGTTTATGACGCTGTTATTCCTGGACGTGGAGCTTTTGTTGTTGGCCACTGGATACATGGTAAGCAGTGACAAGGTATTCGTTGCCGGGAACTCGGCAGGGTTTTAGTGGCATCTGCAGCTGTCGGTTTTTTAACCTGATTCTCCCATCTCTATCTAACAAGTGGACCGACAATGATCTCGTCGGAAGATTGGGCTGGCTGCGCCGCGCTTTGGTCGGATGTGACCGTTGGATATTACCACGTTTCGCATGGACGGCGGCCAGTAGGCTAGGCTCGACTCAACAATACAAGTGCACGTTTATGGGATCATCTTTGGTTCATTGGAATTACCGTTCTTGTTATTTCGCATCTGTTGTGTTGACCTTTGGGCATCCTACTCTGACTGAAACCTTTACTGGGCTCTATCGTTTAGGATTCTTTGATATTCTCTATAAAATCTAACTATCGATTTATGTCGTACTTCTCCTGATCCGATCTGTTTGAAACATAACAACTAATTCATCAGCGTGTAATAGTACAATCTACAATACCGATGTTCATAGGTAATTCCTGTAGTTGCACAAATGATATCTAGGTATACCTTAATGTATTTATATGTTAGAAGCCCTCCCTACACCCAAGACTTAACCCGCTTATTTGGCACTCTCCCCCCATCTCTCCAGGTTGACAGTTGCTGGCTTTCGTCCAGTCCGCGTGATAATCCATTTCACCTCTTGACCGGACTCGTTAACTTCCTGATGTTCAGCATACCTGCGCCATAGTTATCTATCACACGCTCTGTACTCTAGCAACGATGCAGATCTTACGCAGGAATTATAGCGAAATCACCGGGTGACAGGTCTTCTCGACGCTTTCCCCCATCAAAAAAAATGCTACCGTAGCCATGTGCGGCATACACAACAGTGTCCTGGTCGCCGTGATGGTGCACTGCAGAGCAGGAATGGGGCTGCGCCTCCATCACTGGATGGCAGGGTCAGGGCTTGAATTCCCAGACAATTGGTCTATAACCAACGGCGAGACAAACCTAAAGAGCATATCTTGTCTGATTTGTCGATAATTGCGCCTTTCCGGGCCATGCCTTGTGTCCATCCTCCTGTTGAGACGCTTGTATTAGCATGCGATGCTTTGAACCTATCGGGCGCGTTCATTGTTACCGGTTTGCTCGTCGAGCTCCGACGCCCTTGTTACTTCGACTGTGTTGGCCATTGCGATTAGTTTCTCAATTGTGCGGGTTGTTCAGGTGTCTCCGCTTTCTTATATAGATTACAGAGTCGTTAGAATCCACGAGCTCAACTAATAGTGCTGACGTCACTGGTGACCGGGTTCTATTTAATACCACTCGGCCGAACAGGTTACAGGTAAGCCGCCCCTTGGAGAAGGTCGGGTGCCCCCAAACTGATCATGTGATTAGGCTAGCGGATCACATGTCCGGTACCACTTATATTTTTAATTACAGCGCACGTAGGCTTTTCAATACATAACAGACTTTATTTACTCCTAGCTAAGCAAATGTGGTGTAAGTACTTTTAAACCAGTTAATAACTACTTGTCAGATAATATTTAGAGCATCTCACTATTAACATTTTGTAACCTTGCCCGCCTTTCCATAAGCTCTAGCTCTTTTTCCTCATTTTGAAGTTGTTTCTCTCGTACCCGTTCCTCTTTTTCCTTTAACTGAAGCTCAAGTTCTCGAAGCTCTATGTTTTGCCGCTGTTGCTCAAAACTTAATATATTCTGTGACGAAACCCGACGAAGACTTTGAGAAGATATCGAACTGTTTATCAAGTACTTAGTAACCCTTTTTAAAGTGATTAAAAAACAAACTCACCGACTGCTACCTCGACCTTGAGGCTGTGAACAGGATCTCCTTTGTCCTAATTCAGGCTCAGAACTAGAAGAGAAACATGTTGATGAACGGCGGCGTTTTCGTGATACTAAGTAATAGTTAAGTGGTTTGTTAGCAGTTAGAAAGTGGTGAATATAATAAAAAATAACTATATATATAATGTATGAGGATGAGACATGCGGTGATATATATACATACCTTCACGGGCCATATGTCTTAAATAATTCGTCTCCATATTTGCTGTTCGATATGAATGATGAATATTAAAATCAGTGCGATTTATATATTGGAGAATGTCTTGCCTATCCAGCTTTGCAGAGCTAAAAAAAAAAATGTTAGCAATTATTGCTTAACCAGTTATCAACTGTTTATTAAATACTTACTTTTGGATTGCTGCTGTCAATGTCAACCACCTTCCTGCTGCATTAGCCTTATGATGAGACTGTTCAGCTGAATTGGTATGATTCCGAATAGAATCATAAATATAGACAGGAATACTAGAGCAATATTTATTCAGCCCAGCCTTGATAACTGGTGATTTCTTATGCGCCGCCCATGCTTGGACCTTTTCATTCTCATGTTCTAAACAGTTAGTATCCAGTTAATGGCCAGTTATTGAGTACTTACCAATTAATAAATTGCATAGATGATCATAATCATCTTCTGACTTGCAGTCAATTAAGCCAGCCATTCGACTCCATACACCTGAGCTTTTATTGGTACTCCCAACTGCTTCAGTGATTGTACGAAAGAAGTGAACCCGGCAAAATATAATGATTCCTTGTAACTGCCATAATATTGGTCGGTGAAGAGGGTCAATTTCTTGAAGATATTGGCCAAGTCCTAAGTAGTTAGCAAGTAGATAGTAAGTACTTGGTGATTGATTATATACCAGTATATTGCTTTGTATCCATATCCACGATAATTCCATATATTCCATTGGAATGAATGGAATTGAATTCAACAGACTGGCCAGTCATTCTTTGAACAAGAGTAAATACTCTTGTAAATAAAAGATAATAGCCTTCTGTTGTTTCCTGATCGGTAAAAACACGCAGGAGTGTGATGACTATATTTTATAGTTAGTAAGTATTGAATAAGTGATTGATAAGTGCTTACTCTTTCCATGCTCAGGTAGATAAGTTGCGAACACAACCTCATTCATTCCCTTTTGTCGAATGCGCTTATAGGACATATCAACTTCAAAGGAGGTTAATGTACTTAAAAGCCTGATTTGTTCCTTAAAGCCACATAGAATCATAGTTCCATTGGGGTCACAGTATTTTTCTTGAATATATTCCTATAGTTAATTAGTTATCAAGCAGCTAATAGGCAGTTATAAAATCCTTACCTTTATGAATGGATTGGTATTATACAAATATATTACCCCATTGAAGTTTTGACCAGCTGGATAAGAAAGAAGCCGCTGTTTTTGAATAATAGCAGAGATACGATCAGTGTTTGAAAGTGAGGCATGGATTTCAGCTGGTGTTGATGCATTATATTGCTGGCAAAAGGCTTCAAGCTCTGGACTTCGCAAGAATTGAGCTGATAATCAGTTAGTTACCAGTCTTTAAGCAGTTCCCAACCACTTATAAACTATTTCACATACCTAAAGTCAGGCTGGGGTTTCTCATCTGCTTGATAATTCTTTCAACCCCTCTGAGTATTAACTCTGGTGGTTTGTGTGGAGGTGGTGGAGGATGTTGATGAATTCCATGAGATGTAAAAACTATAAAAGGACAGCTTTGAATGTCAACTGGTACAAGTGCAGTAAATATAACACCGCACTGAATATGCTCCAGTTTACCAGGTCCTTGGACATGATCAAAATCTAAGTAATATTTAGGTACTCTGTAACTGCTTGCCAATCACTTTCAAAGTACTCACCACAATATTTTCGCCGTGATGTTAAAGGTTCAATCACACCACATTCTTCCTGGGATGGTAGAATTGATTCATTGAATAGTTGCTCCAGAAAATAAAGATCCATAGAGGTGTAGCCTTTCACTGAGGTATAATAATGCTTCTGCAGAAAGCTTGATGATGCATTTACACATCCAATGTAGGGATGATAATCACCATTCACATCCTTTAAACTAGTTAGTGAGTACTTGTAAACTACTTATCAACCACTTACAGGATAGAAATGACGCTTGAACCTGGGTGTGCAGGAAGGCAATGTTTCAAGACAAGCATGTCCTTTCTGAAAAAATGCTTTTTGTGAACGGTAAAAACTATTTTGTTAGTACTTAGTGAGTACTTAACAAGCAGTTAGAAAGTACTTACCTATATGCATTCCGCTTCTGAATATCATTCTCAACAAGATCAATGTTCTTGCGAATATTCTGGATTTCTGCCCATGCCACCTCATCCAACGAAGTATGATATAAGGTGCGAAGACTTGGCTTTAAATATTCACATACTAAAGCCCCAGAGCATTTCCAGATCCATTTTTTAACAGAACAGTTTAAAAATGTTGAGTTGATATTCTTCTTCACCCCACGCGCACTTGCTCGAGAATATTGTATCTAATACTAATTAGTTTATAAGCACTTGAAAAGCACTTGGAAAGCACTTACATCCTGAACTAAACTCTCAGCTTCTTCTTGTGATCGGTCATTAACAGCAACAACATAAGAGTATCCATTCATATCCGACCTTGGATATTCAGGTAGGTCATCCGTATATTCAAGATATAAAGTTTGAAGTGGGTTTGACTTTGCATTTATTAGTTGTATAGGAGCAGTTGGGTTGTCCTAAGCAATTAAAAATTAGTTAATAACCATATTAAGGTAACTGATTGTTCTTATATTATTACTAACTTCCTCATGATTTTCTTCAGTAAAAATATCTTCGATATCATCCCAAGTAGTAGAGAAAGTTTCAAAATCCATAATGAAACTTATAAAGTACTTGATGAGTGCTTGATGAGTGCTTGAAAAGTAATGTAGAAAATCGTCGGCTAGATATAAGAAGAAGGAAAAGTGAATGTGTATTTCACTGTATACATGACAATATTTAAAAGGTGAGGTGCCTCGTTGTGGGTTGCCAAGACCTGAAGCGAGCGCGGGACCTTTTTCAAGGGGCACCTGACCTGTGTACTCCTCGGCCGAATGATAATCCACTTGGTTAGGCAGCTTTATAAGCCTCGTGGGTCCACATTGACCTATATAATATCTCATGTACACAGAGCAGGCAATCAACTACATATCGGTTCGGCAACAGCACATTTGCTGTGTTTCCGGGTCCTCGGCCTGAATCGCAAAAAAAATATAAGGGCCCGGGACGATCATGATGTTAGGCACCCGAGGATCGCCAGTATTCAGTGAACGCCCCCGTTCTCATAGAACTGAATGCCGGCCACCGTGAGCCCGCCCGCGGCAGAGTACCGTGAGATTGCCATGAAGGTTAACTCTAAGGAGGCCATCATCGAATACGGCCGGTCGCAGGTTGAAGAGTACTTGCTCGACGTTTGACTTGGACATCTTGCTTGGTCTATCGGTTGGCGCCGCCGAGCACTACGCTCACCAACATTGCCAGGCAAATGATGCTGGTGAGTCCTCGGGAGAGGTGGCATGGCTGTTGAAAGGTGTCCGCGTACCTGTCCAGGAAGTGAACAGGATATTGTAGGCAATTGTCAGATACAGTGCAAGTGGCATGAAAATAGGGTCGCTGATGTTCAGACGCATGTGCAGCTGCATTAGGTGATTTAGGCTCTTCCGTCAGTTTCCTGAGGTGGTGTGCCTTCCATTTTAATAGCAGGGAATCAGAGGACTCCAACCATGAGCCACTCTTTTGTTCCTCGGTAGATAATTTGGTGTTGGTTGCAGAGGAGAGATCTTAGAAATGCAAGGAACCCAGAATTCACCGTGCTATCGGATGAGAGGAGGCCCTTTATATACTAGTTTAATAGCCTTGTGCTGCTCAGACCACGTTTTACAGAACCAAGCATCTTTCATAATTACACTTTTCCCTTAATATACTTTAACCCAACCCCTAAGAGTCTCTGGTAGTTTACCATAAATCACGGAGATTGAGAACGGAGAACAGAGCGGAGGGCGGAGGGCGTAGGGCGGAGTTCACGGTGGATGGGGCGGAGATTCTACAACATAACGGGATATTCCTGGTGCTTCAACTGCAGTCTTACAATTGGACAAAAATCTACATTATTTTGTGCAATTCCGAATCTACCGATTCACAAAGTGTAATAGGTGCTAGTCGGTGCAGATTAAGATGCAGTACCCAACGAAGCCATTATCAGATCCCACTGGTTCCAATCCATGTTCATCGGGTTGATCCATTGCTGCGGCTCAATCTGCCGGGCCAGACTGGGGAACCCGACACTCTCCGAGTGGAAACCATAGTCATTACTAGGATTTTCGGGCTGCTCGACGGCGTTTATCTGAGTATTTGACTTGGCCCCTTGAGAGACTGGGGTGCGCGGGCCATAATTATCTAGTCCACCGGACACCAGCCCTGAGACACCCACCCACCTACTAGACCTAGAAAATTGTCCGTCAGTTCTGAGTCCAACACATGTCGAGCATAATGGGCGACTCACAGCATCTGGCCGAGAATTGTTGCAGTTCGGGCGCACAGCTGACTCTGCGCCTTTGACACCCTGAGCCGAGCATGGCAATCGTGCAGCAGCCGCACCACATACGAGGGACGTGGCGCTTGGGGATCCAAAGAAAGAATGAGTACCAGGACAAACGCGGCGTGGAAAGCGTGGAAAGCACCCCGGCCCCGGATATACCAGTGGAAGGGCGTGAAGTGGGGCAGGTGGTGGAAGTCGGCATGGAGCTCTAAGACACGCTGTGCACTTTCCATACAACGCTGTTTTGACTGATTATGCTGCAATCGGTAGAAGGATGCTTCATTCAGTATATTACTGTGGAGAAGGAGGACCAGGTGGTGGGCAAAACTGAGCAGAAGATTAATATGAGCAGCCGACGAGTTGGCCCCAAGCATCGAGGTGTAACTCTGCTCCAGTGAGTCTAACTCGGCTTGGATGGCCGCGTCCAGAGGGTGGAGGTCAGTCGTATCGTCTGGCCGTGCAACCAGGACAGCATTACAGATCTTCGAGGATATTTGATAGAGGTGCGATTTCCGAATCAGATACGAGACGGGTGTGATGCCTGCCGACGTTGCGAGCGGTCCTAGCTGTCCCTGGACGATGTCCTCATCGAACGTCTCAGCAGGGAGCAGGACACGCGACGAGAACACCGATTGATAGATGTCAAACCCGGTAACCGCCATATTTTGATTACAAAGCAGTGTCGTCAAGCCTAGCCAACAACGACGACGCTCCTCAGCTTCAACAATATCCAAAGAGAATGCGGTCGGGTCAACATGGCAACCAATCGAAAGCGCCAGGTGATAGGTCAGGCCCAGAAGAGTCCATGTTTGGCCATGGCTATGATGAATCCCATAGATAAGATTTAGTAGTGCCTGCAGTGTCGAGACGTTATGTCGCCAGAGATAGCGATCTGCTTCGAGGCATTTCATCGCCGCAGTGTAATACCGTTCCGAGAGCTCTATGATTCGGTCCCAAGCAGTACTTTTGCGACTGAGGGCCTCGAGTAGATGGTTGTCATGTTCCAGCGCAAGGACAGCCGTGCCCATAATAGTAAAAAGGAGAGCAAGCCATCCTAGCGAGGCCTGATCTGGATCCTCGAAAAATTGACGATACCGCTCTTGAAACGTAGGCCTATGTAAGATGGGGAAAAGCTTTATTGTGTTACCTTTCAGCCATGTTGATAATGTTTGGAGTCGGGAAACATACCGGTGCAAATGACTGGAAATAAAGATTCTTTAGCTGGTCACAATACTCCGTCGGGGGGAGCTTTGCTAAGAGATTAGGTCTGTTTTCAGCGTCGTGTTCGCCGAAAGGATATGGCCCGCTAGGCGTATCAGCCACCGTACTCTCCTGGCTTGGAAAGGGGCCCTCCTTAGAGGCTCGGTCCACAATGCGCCAGGCGGAGCTAATGGGGAGGAAGCGCACATGTCCCGAAGCGGACGAGGTGAGGGTGCCCGTTACAGAAGCTGACGCTGGCGCTGATATCCGCCTCCTTTCTAGCTCTGGATCTAATTGGGGAACACTTGGCGAACGCGATTCTGCTTCTTGCTGTTGGTCCTTTGCGTGCAACAACTGCTCCAGCTTTTCTATCCGAGCTACAAGATCAGAATTGGGCTCCCCGGTGGGACCGTGATAGCGGGGTTGGACAGGGGTGTTTGGAGATGCTGAGCCGTTTCCCAGTGGCTGAGGTTGTGGTTGGGACAATTGGGACTGTTGCGGTTGTTGTTGTGAGGGTATCGGTTGTCTCCTGGTACTATAGACGCACTGCTCCGGTGGAACACGACGCCGTAAGCAAGTGCCGCAAGGAGGTGTATCCCGAGGACATCGGATTTTGCGAACGCGGCACGGCTCACAGGAGACTGGAAGACGCTGGCGCGGATGGTGGGCTGACATATCCGATAGAAGGATGTAGAGAATGGTTTGGGGTCTGGCTGGACGAGGTTGCAGTCGAGGGGCGGAGACGGATACACGGAGAAGGCGGAGATAATTCAGGATGCCCGTCCTTTGCCACTGACATTCAAGTTGAGCCCATTCTTGTTGCAATGATAATACCGAGTACGGGGCTCTACCTATAGCATGCAGTTGTCGCAGTTCAGTTGAATTTCAAATTCTAGTTTCTCGCAGATATTCTAGTTAGTATAGTCTTCTACAAGCCCATTCACCATGCCACGCATCATCCTTCTGGGAACCCTCGACACCAAGCGTGCAGAGGTCCTATATCTATACAACCAACTACGGCAGAATGCCACACGCTTTTCCATGCCCTTAGAGATCATCTTGATTGACTGCGGCCGTCAAGCCGTCACCGACGACGCCATCACCATTAACCACACCGATCTGCTAACCAAGTATGCACCCGGCGACAGCACCAGCCTATTGAGTCTGCCTCGGGGCCAAGTGATTGAATTTCTCATAAGCTGCGTCACTAGGTGTGTCACCGAATTATTGCAAACAATGGAGATCCATGGCATCATCGGCACTGGCGGCAGTGGAGGGACTAGTCTGATCTCTGCCGTGATGAGGACGGCCGCACCTATTGGCCTGCCCAAACTGATTGTCAGCACAATAGCGTCCGGAAATACAGGCCCGGTGGTGGGCGAATGCGATATCACTTTGATGTACTCGGTCGTGGACATTGCGGGGACCAACCAGCTCCTACGCGAGGTGCTGGAGAATGCAGCTGGCGCCATCTTCGGCATGGCATCTACATATCAATATCGTCTGGGTCAAAACCGTACGCGAAGTGCGCAGGACAGCCGACCAGAGGAGAAGAAGACTCGTGTCGGTATTACCATGTTCGGTGTGACCACCCCGTGTGTAGATCGTGTTCGACGTCACCTGGAAGACATTTATTTTGTGGAAGTCTACGTGTTCCATGCCACCGGTCACGGGGGAAAGGCCATGGAGCGCTTGGTGGAGGAGGGCCATCTAGACGCCATCTTGGACATAACAACGACCGAAATCTGCGACCTCATCGCTGGCGGGACCATGAGTTGCGAAATCAGCCGCCTGGAGACGACACTGCGGTGCGGAATCCCCAATATCATCTCTGTTGGAGCCACGGACATGGTCAACTTCGGTCCGGTGGACAGGGTGCCACACCAGTACGGCAATCGCAAGCTGTTAGTCCATAACCCAAATGTCACCCTCATGCGAACCTCTGCAGCCGAATGCCGGAAGGTCGGGGATTTCATTCTCGACAAACTAGACCGATTTGCCCAGGACCGAAGTATAGTTGAGGTGTGGCTTCCTAGGGGGGGAGTGAGTAGCATTGGGACAGCAGGGTCAGCATTCGCAGAAGCTGACGTCGATGCTGCCCTTGCTGATACTCTGCGATCCGGGTTAAAGGACAGCCAAGTTCGAGTAGTATCGGATGAGCGAGATATAAATGACGATGGGTTTGCACTTGATATTGCGGACCAGCTTATGGCTCTCGTGGTGAAGCGCTCTGGCAATTTCACGGCACACTAGACGGGTCTCGTGGGTTATTTGACAAACAACTTTTGACTTCCGATAAACTTCGATAGTGGATTCCCTGTTTTTCCTGCTGTGGATCAAGTCCTTTCGACTTCCCAATGTGGAAATGGGAAAAAGTACCCGCTTGAAGAAAATTCGGTGAAGATGGAAAATTCTTCGAATGTGTCAAGAGGCGAAAAAAAAATACAAGTTTTTTTTTTTTTTTTTTTTTTATTTTTTTCTGTCTGTCTCCAACTGCAACATGATTTGTGTAGAGGATTCGTCCGAAACTTCAAGGGCCAACCGACATTTGACATTGTCACTTGCCCTCAACCTCCAACGAACTTCTTTATAGACAATGTACGCGACAACAATGCCCTTTCCCTGCTTTACGCTGGCAAGCTTGCCGGTCTTTCAAGGTCTGGGGCTCCACTTACAGTATCCTGTGCTGTATTTTGTACTTTTCCTTGGAATTGTCTATTCATGGTGACGCAATTGTGGATATCATGGCTTTGGAGTATTATTTCAAGCTCTTCAACGGCGCCACCAGACTGAAATGGATTTGTGAGGGCATAGATAAAGCAGTTGGGCTTGTGCTTCTGCGTTTGCTCTTGTTTCTGCTTTTGCTTTTTGTTTTTTGTTCTTGCTTTCCATTCTTGTCGGTATTGCGTATAGCCCTCATAATGTCCTTAACCGAACAACAAACCACCCTCTCCCGCGGAAGCGGACCCGGAAGCCCAGAAGAACCATCCACGGGCCCCAGAAGTGGCATGCCATCCACAGACAACGAGCACAGTCTCAACAACCAGTCGCAAGGTCACGATATCACTGCCAACAACAGCAATGTCAATACCAATACCAATGCACATCACAAATCTAGCCACAACACTCTAGCAAACGAACCCGTCGCCCTAACAGAAGAAGACCGCCAGAAGGAAGACGCTACGGGTACGAATCCGGACTTCTCGCTTGCGGGCCCGTATAACAATCCGCAGAATGTCTATATCTCGCCGGAGTACCTAGAGAATAACCCGGGTTATGGTAAGCCGCATGATGAGCCGCTGTGGAGTTTGGCGCAGCCGTTTCCTAGGGTTGTTAGGCCTGGAATGAGGATGAGGGGGGAGAAGGGGGAGGAGGTTGTTGCGACGCAGACCGTACGCTTATCCTATCGCTGAGAATGATAAAGAGAGAACTAACCATGTATAGGGAACGCCGGAAGAAGCGCAGCAAACTGCTACATCGCCTGAGAAGGCAGACGGGGAGCTTGGGAAAGAAGGGAAGGAGGAAGACCCTGCGCAGAAAGTTTCAAAACCACGACATGGTGATTTTTTCAATACATGGGGTCGTATCCGGAATATCTTCCGCGAGTTCCTGGGTGAATTACTTGGAGTGAGTCCCCTACGCCTGATTGAATACTTGTAAAGATATACTGACACAACAGTCAACAATCGCCCTCCTAATCGGCCTGTGCGCATCCCTCTCCCGCGTAACCTCTCAAGAACAAGCCGGCACCTTCGAATCCCAATCCTGGGCCTGGGGCTTCGGCTTCATGGTCGGCATCTACGTCGCCGGTGGTATATCCGGAGGCCATCTCAACCCCGCAATCAGCATCTCGCTATCCGTCTTCCGAGGATTTCCTGTTCGTATGTGTCTGCAGTACATGTTAGCGCAGATCCTCGCCGCGCTAGCCTCAGGGGGTATCGCGTACGGTATATACTACAACTCCATCCATTACGTCGCAAGCATCAACCAGCAAACGCCATCGCAAATCATGGATAGTGTGTTTTATACGATGCCAAAGGAGTGGGTTCATCCTGCGGCGGCATTTTTTAATGAGTTTGTTGGAACGGGGATTCTGGTTTGTACGATTCTCGCGCTGGGTGATCATACCAATGCGCCGCCGGGAGCGGGTATGCAGGCGTTTTTGGTGGGGTTGTTGATTATGATTTTGTGTGTAGCATTGGGGTATAATACTGGAGGGTACGTCTCCCTTGCCTCCTTCATGTTGAATATCATATACTAACAGCTTTCCTGTAGTTGCTTCAACCCAGCTCGAGACTTCGGCCCGCGCCTCTTCGCACTCATGGCCGGCTACGGCGGACGATTGTTCACACAGAAGCACGCGTGGTGGGTCTGGGGGTCTTGGGTCGCTGATATAGCTGGTGGCCTGTTTGGCGCGTTCATTTACGATTCGTTCATCTTTACGGGTGGTGAAAGCCCGGTGAACTACACTCCGAGACGACGGAAGCGCGCTTATCTGATTAAGAAGATGAAATTTAGGAATAGGCTGGGACGCAAGAGACATCAGAATGCGGATATTGAGTCTGCGATTAGGAATGTTGAGAATGAATAATCTGATTTGTATTTGGTGATAGTGATATTCATTTCATAGAAAAAAGAAAAATGGATATCTAAATACACGCAGTGTCCATCCATAATGTTGGACGGGAAAAGATACAGCAGAAGTCCTACCCTAGGTCCGACCAATCGACCAACCAAACACACTCATAGTGGCATGTTTTCAATCCTCCCACTCTTCGTCCAACTGATCGATCAATCGATTCTCGGCATCCAAGTCATTCCGGTTTCCGCGGTTGACGACGTTGCCGCGACGAGTGTCGGCTGTGTTCCCGTTCATTCGGTCGTAGCCGCTGGAGGGTCGTTTAAGGCGGAAGATGTTGCCTAGGGATGAGAAGAGGATAATAGCCATGTCCTGTGTTTGAAAAAGAGTTGTTAGTTTTGTTGGAGTGATGGCTTTTAGAAATGAGTGCAATGATTGAAACGGTGACAGTGGCAGTTAGATCTAATAATAGAGGGGGAGAGGGGAGATAAAAGTCCAATGTCCAGACATGGTTATTGACAGTCTATACAGACGTAGTCGCTATGCAGAGTACAACAGTTTCAGGTTTCAGGTTCCAAGGAAGTCATGCAACACCCATGTTCAACACAGGCCAACCCCTTCATAGCCCAATGTATCCAGCTTAGTCCAGCCAAGACAAGACATTCAAGTCTAATCCACCCTCGAAACCGGTAACTTTGCACTACCATACTCCTGGAAAGAGCCTCGGCCACGACATCTGGACGAGAACGAATTTCGGAACGGTATCAACGCCAGGATACTCACTTTGATAAAGTCCACCATGCCTGCCCAGAGACTGTAATTTGGACATTGTCTCCAGCCGCGCTGGTGCATGACGGTTCTTTGGTAGGCGCAGCCTCCGAGTAGATACACTGCGACGGCGATCAGCGCACTATGCCTGTCAGCTCCCTAATATCAAGAAAAATGTGTGTGGTGTTGACTCACATAACGCCAAACACACCCCCAGGTCCTAGTCCCTGGCCATCCGGGCCCGGGGCCATGCCTCCACATGCAACTGAGCTCCGGACTTCGAAAAAATATGTGCACTCATCCATTGTACCAACGTAGGATACAGCCGTTTGAGAGGCGTGGGCGTCGCGATCGCAGAGAAAGGACATGATGGAGGACTTGGTTCGGGTATCAACGTCTGAAGAATAGGAATCACTGGAGCAGGGCGAGCCATCAGTGTAATTGAGGACCAGTTTTCGGCCGCGGAAGAAGGGGTCGGATGCTTGTTGTCTGTCATCATCAGTCTGCGTTCTCCTTCCATATACTTGTAGCAGGATACACACCCAATCGAATAAACCTCCCCATCCAACTCATAATAAGCACTAACATTCTTCCACCGTGCCTTCTCAACCCCCACCACATCCTTGAGCTCCTCGACAACCGGCGCACATATATTTATCGTAAAATTGGACGGATAGTCATGGCCTCTGGCGTGCCAGCTCTCCGGTCCTCCCTTGTGTGTTTTCTCCCCATCTTTCGACTCGGGCGGCGTCAACGAGATTGCGCTCAGATCGTAGTACAAGCCGGTGGTTGGAGAGCGTGCAACGCAGGGGGCGAGCGATTCCGAGTCCGAGGCTGCAGTGACTGGGATATAATATGCTGCTAAGAGGAGGGCGCTCTGGATGAGCGAGCTGGTTGATAGCTTCATGGCGATCCAGACCACCACGACACGGCAAGGCGATCAAGAGTATAGCAATCAGTGAAAACTCGAGAGATAAAGACAAGTAATATAGATAAGATTATGAAGCCCAGTATCAGAGGTGGAAAGAATCAAAGTCGAGACAGTAGTAGTGATAGAGTGAGGGAAGGAATGCCCAAAGACGTACGATTGCGGAGAAGCTCCGGCCGAAATCCGCGAGATTTAAATCATCCGTCGTCACTCCCAACAACATCCTCTTCATTACCAATTCTACACGGGAGCGCATCTTACTACTATCTGTTGGCAATTCATTTCAAAATGCCATCCAAGGAATCCAAATCTGGAATTCCCATTCAGCCCGTTCCTGAGAAGCGCGGCTACGAGTTCGGTGGACCGTACGTGTCCTTGATCGAGATCTTGGGGAGTATAAGCTGACGTTGTGATTTTATAGGCTCGGGGCTTTTGGAATTATCTTCGGTCTCCCTGTTCTGATTTACGGCTTCACATTTCTGTGTAACGACGTCTCCGGTTGTCCTGCACCATCGCTGCTTCACCCGTCCTCCCTGACCCTCGATGCGTTGAAACAAGAAATTGGCTGGCCGGAAGGAGGGATCGCGGCATTCTATGATACACAGGTCACTTTGGGAGTGCTGAGTTATTATTTATTGAGCCTTCTGTTGTATGTGTTCCTGCCTGGCCATGAGGTCGAGGGTACGGAGTTGGCTTGCGGGGGAAGACACAAATACAAGTTCAATGGTATACCTCCTCCAATCATCAATTACGGGCCATAACTGATGCGTGCAGCGTTTTTGTCGGCCGTTTTGATTCTCTCGGGCTGTGGTGTCGGCACATACCTGTACGGGGCGGATTTCGTGGTCTGGACTTTCCTATGGGACAACTACCCGCAGGTCATCACGGCCAACCTGGTGATCTGCACCGTGATCGCGATCTTCGTTTATGTTACGAGCTTTACCGTTCCCTCGCCCGGTGAGATGAACCCCAATCTCCGGCAATTGGCTCCCGGCGGACACACCGGCAATGTCCTGTACGATTTCTTCATCGGACGCGAACTGAACCCTCGTATACGGTTGCCTATCCCGTTTGTCAGTGAGAGCTCGCGCACCATCGACATCAAGGTCTGGAACGAGATGAGACCCGGTCTGCTTGGATGGATCATTCTAAACCTATCGAACATCGCCCGCCAGTACCGGGAATATGGCTACATCACCGACTCGATCGTCCTGGTCACCGTCTTCCAGGCATTCTACGTTCTAGACGGCCTCTACATGGAGCCCGCACTCTTGACCACCATGGACGTCATCATGGACGGTTTCGGCTTCATGCTTTCCTTCGGAGACCTCGTCTGGGTGCCCTTCATCTACAACTTCCAAACCCGCTACCTCGCCATGTTCCCCTTCGAGCTCGGCCTCCAAGGTCTTGCAATGGTCCTCGGCGTCACCGCAATCGGCTACTCGATCTTCCGCGGCGCCAACAACCAAAAGAACCGTTTCCGCACCAACCCCAACGATCCCCGCTGCAAGAACCTCAAGTACATCGAGACTAAGAGCGGCTCCAAGCTCATGATTTCCGGCTGGTGGGGTCTTGCTCGCCACATTAACTACCTGGGTGACTGGACTATGTCGTGGGCTTACTGCCTGCCTACCGGTATTGCGGGTTTCGTCATGGTGCAGAGTGTGAACCCGGCTACTGGTGCTGTGCAGAAGCAGGCTGTGCAGACGCCTGAGGCTCGTGGGTGGGGTATGGTTTTCACTTACTTCTACATGCTTTACTTTGGTGTCTTGCTTGTTCACCGTGAAATGCGGGATGAGGAGAAGTGCAAGAAGAAGTATGGAGCTGACTGGGATCGGTATACGTCGTTGGTTCGCAGCCGGATCATCCCTGGCATCTACTAAGACCAGCGATGTATATGCATACGGGGTCTAATAGGTAATTTCGGTTCTTGTCTATGGATTCACAGTCCAGCTATCTGCCAGGAGACAAAAGTTTTGTACCATTAGTCATTGGTTAATCTTCTCGTTAATATAATTCGTAATCACTGCACATTAATGCGAACACTTCTGCTTCTTGGGATCAATCAAAACATCTATCCCCCATTCCTCATCCCCCGAATTTGGGACCCATCCTTTCAAGACTTTCCTGGCATCTTTAATAGCCTGTCCTCTTGCTTTCAAAGCCCCTCCGATATACTCTGGAACACTCTTAAACTCATCATACGTAGCCGCCGCAAGAACATCCCTCCATAAAGCACCTCCCCCATACCCATCCCCATTCCGCCCTAAAACCAAGACATCCCTAACAACCCCCCACAACCTCGCCCTGCACAACGCACTCGCCCCCCTCGCCAGCGGCGCCAACGCCCGATTCCCCTGCTTCACGCCATTTATCACCGTCTCATACAAGCCCGTGTTCGAACCGCGTAACTTCGGCAGCGATTTAGGGTTATGATCTGGTAACGGAGAGGCGTGTGATGGCGCGATCGTCCAGATTGCCGATACATTGCCTGGTTTTGTTTTTGGTTTGCTGGGCTTATCGTCCGATGGACAGGGTGGTGGTTTACGGAAGGGGTAAAGACGGTCTATTTGACCACTGGGAATGGAGAGGATTTGAAAGGGCAGGAACCGATACCCATATCCCGAGCTGTCCTCTTCCCGATGGGTAGCGATAGGCCACCCCCGCCCACGGAGGGCCTCCATCCTCCCATCCGCCCCAAACGCCCTCTCACACGCAACCCGACTAATTTCCTCCTCTGGCAAGATAACACCAGCCAAGTAGGCATTCGCCGTTGGCGCAATCAGCAAGCTCGTCTCCTGACATAGTAAAGAGGAGACCTGCCGCAGGGCCAGTTTATCAGAACATGATTTACTGCGCGTGGACTCTGCGTCTGTGCGTGCGGGTTTGCGGCGGACGACGCCTAGGAGTTGGAAGTGGGCGCGGCCGATTAGTGTTGCTTCGTTTGGAATATTCTCTGTGTCTGTGTTGTTGGATGCTGCGGGTACAGGTGATGGAAGCTCCCATGGAGTGGGGTCTTCTTGTGCCGCCATGCAAAGCTCCATGCTTGCGTCGCCGCAGGGAGCGCAGGTGCAGTACATGTAGATTTTGATGTCAGGGTGGAGTTCTAGGGGTGGCCAGTCGCCATTTTCATTATCGTTGTGTTGGCGGCAGCGGACGTATGGCGATGACTGCTGGCCCAACACACCACGACATTCACTTAGAAGCCAGTAATTGAATGCGCGAATAGCTAGGATCTCCGCGTGGCAGTCGTGAAGAACTAGACCCCTACATTGAGGGATTTGAGAAGCGGATACGCATTTTGCTCCGGTTCTGGTCTTGTTAATATGTTTTCATGCCACTGGGGGGGACATGGACGTACGTGACAGCCACACAGGTTAGTTTTTCTGACAGTGTGTTTTCGCCTGTTCAGTCTCTTGATCAGTTAGGTCTTGAGATGTCAAGGTTTATTTCTAAGAGGTACCCTTGACAACGACAATTCCCGTCATCGGGATCCATTCTCGCGATCCATCCGGGTGGATGGTTGGTTTGCTGCGTGCGGGCAGGGCATCGAAATGTTCGTGGACTAGAGTTGCTATTCTGGACGGTAATGTGTCTGAGTCCATATCGCTTGATGTAAAGATATACTCCGTAGAAAGAGGCTGCGATCGTCAAAAGATTTTCTTTTTATAAAAATCACGTGACGTCCAACTTCTGTTCTGGAACTGCATCCTTATCGCAACCAACCAACAACGAACTCACCAACTCGACCCATCACAACCACCTAAACAATAGCAAGCCTCAAATCAAGCCCCCCAATAAACCACCAAAATGGCTGACAAACTCCGCACGATGCAAAACCTGGAGGCCATGCAAGCCCGCTACGTCGGCACTGGCCACGCCGACACCACCAAGTACGACTGGACCTCCAACATCGTGCGCGACAGCTACGCATCGTACATCGGGCACCCGCCGATGCTGTCATATATGGCTGTGGGAATGGGCGAGTCGAAGGAGAAGGTGCGCGCGCAAATGATTGAGAAGATGGTTAGGGGGGCTGGGAATCCGCCGGAGGTAGGTTGCGTCTTTGGTTCAGGAGGGTAGAGTGGGCTGGACTAATCGTTGTATAGACGCAGGAATAAGCTGGTTGGCGTATGAATTTTTGTTTGAACTGAGTTCGAGTTCGAGGCCGCGTGTTACGATGATATCCTGAGTACAGGATATACGACAACGCCACGGTCATCGATGACTGGTAACTCTCACGTTGCGAATCGGATGCTATCACCATACCTCCGAACAGCCCTGCCACGAGAGCCTACATCATGGAAGAATATCGGTTCATCACCTGCCTGGATATCGTTCAGCTGTATCCTCCGCATCTTCGTCGCGCACCTGGGGATGTACAAGTCCAGGCGAAGGGATACTATAATGTATGGGAACAGTGTCTATGTGCAGATGTCTGTCTGCTAGTGTACCAGTGAATATCACTATATCATTATATAATAATTCTTCACTTATGAGAAACAATCAGATGAACCATTTCTCGAATAACTCCCTGCTTTCATGGCTTGCACTCCCGCCATCCTATTCATCTCAATAAAACAATTATAACAGCAAATATCTTTATCATATACCTGGATCAAACTCACGTCTATCCCAAATCCAGGACCTTTTGAAGACTCTATTCTGCGCCTTGTACATGGGAATGAGAATAAGCTATACGTCCCCTCAAATAAATCCAGCGAACATCACTCCGCGTCCGACCCATGCCCTTGCAAAATTCGCAAGAGAAGAGAGTCAGCCCCCAGGGACAGCTTGTCCCACCCTTATTTTCTCGGGGCCAGAAGAACCCCAGTTGTCGAACTTCGAGAGATACACTCTGCCCAGAGTTAGATGCGCAAAATCTCGAGTGAAATTTGTGACTTATATCGGTGCCTGCCCTAATACCTTTCACGAAGTAAATCGTTCGGGTCTTTAATACTGTTATGCCATTCAGAACTGTGAAAACGACACGGACAGAAGCCGTCAATTTTCAAGATTTGTCAAGTTATCGCATCTGTGTACAAAAGGTCAACTGAGATTCCAAGTACACAAACTAGATTGTTCTTGTCCCAGGAATGTAGTCGTCCCTGGGGCCTTTTTATCTGAGCAGCCGGGCATCCTGTGGTCAAGGTTGGCCAGCAAAAGAAAGTTCAGTACTTCTATGTCATGAACATGAATTCAAAACGTCTATAATACTCAAGGCAATTGATAATAGAACTGATAGTGAATTGTTTAATCCACACATCTTGAAGACGCACGTCCCCGGATAATAAGGCTAAACATAACTATCCCATGATTATGATTACGAGATGTCTGCATGAAAACTACAGCAGCATTTGAATGTCATGCCGTGCAGTCAGAAGAAAGCAGACACTAGCACCTTGCACAAGAATTGATGAATCTGCGAATCTAACTTGGTTAGCATTGGCGAGAACCTCACAATATTCTACTACGCATGATTTTCAATTCGCGAAGGAATGGCTTCTTTTGGAGAACACGCGCCATTTCTGAGCGCAAGATAGACTCGGCATTTTTGGTACATCCGTTAGACCATCTTTCGGAAACAATTTGAACACATCTTGGAATCTAAGTCATCACCGTGACGTTAAAACATCTATACGAGATTCGTGAGCTAACCCGGCGGTATCATCGCTCACTTCTTGAGCTAACCAAAGCTGGATGCCCAGTGCAAGCGATGAGCTACTATGGACGAGTTCAAAGACGAGATCTCAAAACTCCCCGTGAGGGAGTTCGACGCTCAACACCTCGACTCCACGTTTAACCTAGTCGACGTGAAGCATAAAGAGTAGAGGAATGGTACAGATGACGCTATCCGGTAGAGAATGTGATTGGATTATCCTATCCGATTGCTGTCATGCAGCATGAATTTCCATGAATTGAATTGCATGATAATACCAGTGTGAAATTTAGTGCATGCTGTATGCCTGACGAAACCCCAGCAGACTTACATTATTGTGCCACTTTTTCGTCATAAGATGCAAGAACAAATGGTGGTTTACCGCCACAAAATTGGGGGGGAAAGAGTGTGTCCCGTTCATCAGACTGTTCGCACCGAGTGCGAGAGAATTTCTCATATATTTGCTGCCATCGTATCAGTTTTCTGGCCGGCTTGCGCCGTTTGACTGACATTCCATATGGACTTTCTTTGTGGAACTCGTATTACGGTACTAACACGGTGATAGCTATTTCCGAAGTGCAACCTCAAGGATGACGAAGAACGTGGGAGGACCAGAATGTGTACAAACTCTCGAAGCACCGAGTTCAGCGCTGTCTGTATCAGGTAAATCAAACGTAAAGCAAGCTTTCGAGCAAGGTCAAAAGCCATATTCAGCATCGTTACTGGGTGCAAGATTTGAGGTTATCTTATATTGTGCTGCAGAGGTATCTGAGACTGGCGTGTAGGGCCTCGGTCTAAAAATCTGTATTTAACGTGTCTTAACCAAACAAACTGTACAATCAATCCAAATACATACTATAGTACGGTATAATACATCCAAATATACATCCAATCTCACCCATTCAGTATTCAACCCCCAGCCTCAACCTGCCCACCTTGTCCCCCCAACCTCTGATTCTCCCCCTGCAAACTGGCCACCAAATCCTGCCACTGCTGTCTCTCATTCCTCAATTTCTCAACTTCCTTCTTCAACTCATCAACTTCCTTCTTCATCCCATCCATCTCCATCCGTGACCTAGATTTCTCCTCCTTCTCAACCTGTTTCTTCTGTCTTGCTTCAATCTTGGAAGCTTCTTTCAACTGGTCTTGCTCGATTTTACCGAGTTGTTTGAGAAGCTTGGATTCTTGAGCGAAGAGGCCGGAGGCTGCTTTATGAATTTGTGCGGCGGAGCGGTGCGATGCTGTTGATACTGTGCGGTTGTGTTTGGGGCGTTCTTGCCTTTCGCTGAGTCGGGGGAGGTCTTCAGAGGAAGGCGGCTGGTTGTTGCTTGTTGTGGTACTCTTGGATTCAGAGTCTGGGGCTGGGGTACTGTCGAGTTGGGGTGGGGCTTCGGAGGGAGGTTCTTCTCCAGCTTTTCTGCTCTTGCGCTTTTCCTGTTTCTCTCTCTTTTCCCTTTCCTTTTCTTCTTTCTTTTCCCTTTCTCTTTCCTGCTTCTCCTGCTTCTCCTTCTCCTTCCTCTCCCGTTTCTCTCTCTTTTCTTTTTCTTTGTCTGTTTCTTTCTCTTTTTCATCACCGGAAGCACCGGTGCTGGCATTTGCGTCTAACCGCAACGCTTCAATCTCCGTCCGTACAGTCTCCAATTTAGCCTGGACATCGCGCTTCCTTTGCGCAAGTTTAGCCAGATGTTTCTCGTGCGAATTCAGCTTTCCGGTTTTCTTGTCCATCTGCATTAGATCAACAGGTGTAGCATTAGTATGGCCGATATCCAAGCCCTCTTTATGCGATTCCGTCCCCCCACGAGTCTTCGAGCTACTCCTTCGTTTTGAACTAGACCGCGTGCTTGCAGTAGACAATGCGTCGTCGAATTCTTCGGAACTAGAGTCAGAGCTGAGTGAGGATCTGCGCTGGTAGGGTACGTAGTCGAGAATAGCTTGTGGTGCGTAACGCTCCAATCCTGCATTAAGCAAGTAGGCAAAGTTGGCGATGAGGCCGTTGCGCTGTTCTTGTTCATGGATCTCGTCTTCTCCATTCTCGTCTTCGTCTTCATCGTTAAGATTTATGTTCACGTTGTTGGACCCCTTGGTGCCGCTGTGCAAGCTGGATGGTTTACTATCATCCTTCTCGTCGTCTCGACTAGCCCAGTCAATGAACTTGACTGTATCGCTCCAGATACTCTTGGGTGTTCCTTTTTCGATCACCCACCGGGGAATACTGCCCCCGGGGTCACTCCTAGTAACCATGATCCATTCAACTGGATACGGGTTCGCTTCATCATCTTCAACGATGCCGTCAGCAAACTCACTGTGTTTCTCTTCCGCAGCAGTATCTGTCTTTCCCCTCTTCCTCCCCATCTTGCTATCTTTTGACGACTCCGAGATACCCTCATGCTGGGCAAGATTCGGATCACTCGCAGTCACACTTTTCCCATCATCTGCAGCCACAGGAGGAACCTCCCTAATAAACTCCAACGAATCATACTGCCCCCGAATATACCCATCCTGCGGCGGCAACTCCGGATGCGTGCACGGCTTTGAAATTGACAACCAACTCCGGCACCGCCTCCCCTTCCCTTTGTCCTCATCACCACCATTCTCAGGTGTATCAACACCCTCCTCCCAAGAAACACTAACCTGCACGAAATCTCTTGCCGTTGTAGGTTTCGGGAAATGTGCACAGATATCATATACTTTCACACCCCCAATCACCTTCCCCCCCTCACCACCACTCTCACCCTCTTCGTAGACATCAACACTCTCAACCCTCCTCGCAGCCCCCAATCCTCTAACAACCTTATCCGGCGCCAATCCATTCTCAACCCTCCCCTCATTCAACCGTAGTGTCTCCTCGAGCTCACTCGACATCTTTTCCCTCCACCGCCCGAACGGCATGCCCTCATGTACACTCCTCCGTCCAAACCACGTTGCCTTCCCATCACCAGCCTGCAATTTAAACAACGGAATTTCCTGAGGATTGTCCCGCGAATTCCCTGGTTTCAGCGGTTTTCCCCATTGTCTCTGTAATGAGAGGATCTCGTGGTTTGTGGTGCCCAGGCGGGCGGGGGAGGGTTTTACGGTATATGCATGCCCGTATTTGTGTTGCTGTTCTTTCTTGTGGTGGTGCTCATCGCCATCATGCGAGGATGAAGGGGGAGGTTCAGGGACGGATGCGATGATGGTGCGGGCTTGATGGGCGAGGGTGGAGAGATAGGCGCGGAGGTCGGGTTGAGATTTGGGGATTTCGTCCCATGTTGTTGGGCCGAGGGCTTGGAGGGCTTCGTGGAGGGACATTTGTCTTTTTCTTTTGGATATTGGGGGGTTTGGTCGTGTTGTGTTGTGATGTGTTTGTGGTCCTAGGTATGTTGGTTGAGTGGTGTTGGTCGTTGGATATCTCGGGTGATCTTCGAATGTGGATGCCTGGAGCTATTTGTCGTTAAGACTAGAATATGTACAATTAGTAGTGCTAGCAGCAGTATTAACAAGAAAGCAGCACCCCTGAAATCTTCTTAACAACCGGATTTTGATGCAATTCTTTGAAGGATGCAGGTTTGTTGCGCTGTTGTCGATGCTACGGGAGTTGGTATGACGTCATTACTAATCCCGAGGCAAACCCCTACAACTGCCACTATCACTATCACTACCACTACCCCTGGGGTACTACATCTAGTGAAAGAATTGCCACTTTCCAACATATTCATTATCTCCTGAATACAAGCGAGGGACGATATCACAAAAAAGTCAATAAAAGAAAGTAATTCGAAGACCAGCTCCGCGCAAATGCCAGCATCCGATTCTCCGCCGATTCCAACCCGGGAATCTAAAGACGGAGCATACCCAGGAATCATATACAAAAGAAAATCCAGCCTGGACGATAGGAGATGACCCTATCATAGACAGGGACAGGCGTGTACAGTCAGCGACTGCAACAGACGTAAAGAGACAAAGAGGAGAGGGAGAGAGGATTGGATGCGCCGGATGACCGGGCAATACATGTACGGTCACAGACCGCTTGTACCGCTCAGGTATGGATATCCTGACTCGCGACCAATCGCGGACGGGTATTGCGAGTCGGGCGCAGGCAGTGCCTCTTTCTTTTCCGCCTTCGTCTCTTTGTTTGGTCGCATCACATCGTGTCGCCAACTGTCCCGCTGTGTGTCGCAAAATTGAGACTACCCGGCATCGCAGATGTCAGGTAGTCATCGTCGCCGCACGAACTCGTCCATCCTCCTTACCCGTCCGATTGAACAGACCAGGACCAGTCCAGTACACTGTATTGGAAAGGAAGACGTCGACAGGGAACCAGGCACAAACACTGATAGTAGTCGCAGACAAACTATTGTGTTTTCCCCTGGCAGACACCTGTCAAGTAGCGACAAAGAAAGGAAATCGTTTAACATGCTTTCGTCCAAATCATATCCCAAGCCGCGAGGCTCACCAGTCTTTATGCGGGATAAACAAGAAAAGAACAACCAGATAGCCGACCCGCCGCTTCTTTATGCAATCAATAAAGGCAAAGCAAAATCAAAAGCAAAGAAAACAAAACAAAACAAAACGCTAGCGCTTGCTCGTAAGGAAAGGGCAAAATCGAAACATCGCAAACAAAAAGAGAGGAGAAGCGGATTATGCCTGTTGAAATGCAAGATGGAGTATCATAATGTCGCAGAATCAATCAAACGCCGTCAAAGAATATGATGCCAATTAGTCTGATGTTGTCTGGTCGCGCGAAAAAGGTGTCGTATCGTTGCGATGGTCGTAAGTATTCGGGTCCGGATGAGCTTGGGAAGCACCAAAACCGGTTGCTTGCTGAGGCCAGCCTCGAGATCTGGTCGAAAGAAAAGAAAACGCACGCGAAAGTCAGGAACACCGTTCCACAGCATCATACAAGGTTCATGGGCACATTTACATCGTGGCCCCGTACGGCAACGCGAAATCCTGGTACCGCTCACCCCATCCGAAGCCTACCATGCTTGCCGCCGTGCTGCAAGGCTGCACGAGCATACTGGGAAGTGGGAGCGGGGCGATAGGGGCTGTCGTGGCAGCAACTGTCGTCGGGTAGTACTGCGTAGTGTTGTACGGCGCCGTCGTGGTGTAGGGTTGGCTGTATGACGGTGTTGGGGAGGCAAACTGAAGGTCATTCAAGCCGCCCAAACCGGCCCACAGGTTGGGATTCGAATCGGCTGTGGTGGCGGCTGTGGTTGCGCCGGACGAGAACATAGAGGAAACCGGTTGAGGAATAAGATCTTGCCACCACGTCTCGGGACCCGTCGAGCTAGGCAGAAACGGAGTCGGTCGCAGCAGGTCCATCGGATTGGTGCGCGGTGGAGGGGGAAGCAAGGGAACGAAGAGGTTCGAGATGGCATTCTTTGCCTCCTCACTCCTTCCTCCCAGTAGCTCTCCGGCCCCATCCTCTTCAATCCCTTCAAGGGCATGGGCGTTGGTACGGTAGACAAACTTGTTGGCGGCTTGATTGAACTCCTCCTGCATCTTTTTCAACTGTTTCCCTTTCTCTGGCCAGTCCCATGTGTTGGCGTTGGCGTCAGTGCAATAGATATCCCGATGGAAGTCAACCAAGGATTCGATCGTCTCGGGGGTTAACTTGAAAGCGACTTCGTTCTGCGACACCATATCGACATGGACAACGTACGCCTCAACGTGGATCATCTGATAGTTGAACAACCCCTCAACAAGGGGATCTTCGTCCTTGCGAAGCTCCGCCTCGGGGGCTTTGGGAAACATCATGGAGCAGAGAGTCCAGATGGCGTTGGTCGACGACAGGGTCTCGGTCAGACATCGCGTATGCTGGGTGACATTGTTTAGTGGACGCTTGACCCGGTTAACACGCTTGAGTGCAGCTGTTAGCCATGGCTCAACTTTGCGATTCAAGACGACATTAGGCGACGACCGAGGCGCGAAGGCAGCGGCCGACGAAGGAAGTAAGACGGTTGGCATAATGATACTGCGCAGATACCACTTGTCTTGTTTATAGGAACGAAAAGAAACGATTAATTATAAAGGCGACATTCGCCCATACACAAGTGAATTTATTCCCACACTGTCGTAGTTCCAGGTATAGAAGATACGAATCGCGGATTGTCAGTTAGGCGCAGCGAAACCGAATCACTGCGAGAGAAAATCGGCTGCCTGGCCACACGGGGATAGAATGGATTCGCTTTCGGAACAGGTTCAGAATGGAATTGGGATTGTAGGTAAACCGGAGATCCCAAGGACAGGGTACGGCGACTGTATAGGGTCAAAATTACTGTGCGGGCGAATGCGCGAAGGAACGAAACGAGTCAACGTTATGGGAAAGAAAAGAGAGGACGTGGAAAGTAGAACGGTTAGAATGTAAGAGACGAGGAGAAAGGAAAAAGAGAAGAGAAGAGAAAGAGGTGGAGGAAGGGAGGTGGAAGAGAGAAATAAGAATAGAGACAAGCGAGAAAGAGGGGGCGATAACCGAAACAGGAAATCGGAGGATGCTGGCGGGGAGGGATTTGTATAGAATAATGGCGCCGCGATCCAGGCCGGGGGTTAGACGACATATATATCCGGGTAGATAGAAAGATCATAATAGCATCATTATTATTTTATATTTATGTTATTACTTTAAACATGGACAGGCATACCTGTTCCATAGTAGCAGTGGGATATATCCGGCAAATTTTTTCTCAACGGATTCTCTCACCCGATCGTATGGTGCTCTGTACAAAGAAGTGGCCACCGTCCGTCCGGCTTCCCCGACTCAGATCTACCGGAGCATGAGAAAGAGACCAAAGTTACAGAGTCAAGGGCGACTCTGCAAGTGTCCGGATTGGTATACTTCTGACTACGACTACAACTGGCCAAATAAAGGACCCGAGATCCATTCTGATGCAGTTGAAACAGCATATCTGTACTTGCACAGTATAGGAATTGGATTCAGGAGGCAGCAAAACGTAGTGCAGATGCCTATTACTTGTACGGGGCAGTATGTATGTATTCCTGCTAAGCCCCAATGGTCCACTGTCTAAACGGTCACTCCGAAAGGTTGCGAAGATCATTGTCTATCCACGAAAATAGAGCAATTCCATACAGAGTAATGGTCAGAGAAGAGGGTTCCGGAGGAGTTGCCGTTTCCATGGGGGTGCAGAATCTACAACGTCGTATATCCAGTGCATGTCTGTATAACAATAGAAAGTTTCCATCGGGGGACTTGGTTGCCACTGGACTCAGCTGGCATTGTCCGGTCTCCGGCATCATCAGCATTAGCATCACTGGGGCGTATAAAGTATACTCTGACTCTGCACGCGGCATATCTGCACGGCTGGGTAAAATAGGCAGGTAAAAGTCTGCGATGGACAGTGCATGGTCTACTCCATATAATACATTGGTGATATAAGTGTTGCACGCGGAAAAATCTAGTGGTGCCGTACCAGAGTACTGTCATATACGGAACGGTTTCCGTGTTCCGTATATCCAAGATGCCACCTATGATCCCACGAAGAACATATGAATATCTACCATAACTCCCCTACTCTAGAGTAATATCTCGGTGGTCAAAAATACCGTATGTAAACAGAATACCACTGACATCGCGAGATCTGATTAGCGAACAATCTCAGCTGATGGAGGGCGCCATGCGGTGGGCCTTGCGGTCTTGGGCCACTTATGGGCTATTATTGGCCTGACTAGCAGAACGACGGACGCCGCTGAGATCCCCGCTGGGATCGGCCATTGGACTGAGCCCGGTCGATGGTCATCTCCAGACTTTCGGGTCTGCCTCGATACTGTATCTTACGAGATAGGTCACAACAATATCAGGGGGGGGGGTCTCTGTACTCTGGACAAAAGTTCAGTACAGTCAGGACAGTCCTTGAGAATGAAGACTCGTCAGCACTCGATGCATCACTGCCGGAGTGAGGCCGCTAATGCATTTACATTACTCGACAGCCTTAGCGAACTGCGCCACAGTCATCGCCACAGCCACAGCTGTCACTCGCCACAGATCACGTTTAATGCACCGATGCCGGCTGAAGATTCTTAGAATAGTACAGCGTAGTATCTTACATCATGAGTCACCGAAAAATAAAAAATAACATACTATCTAAAAATTCGTCCTGCGTAGTGGGATGTCATGAATGCGGTGCCCTATACGGATAGTGGGGGGCGTGAATATGCTGTTAACCATGACTCCATCATGCCCGAGTCGAGTATTCCTTGACCGAGTCATCCAACTTGCATACCCCTACATATTATCAAACAAACTCAAAAATCAACTTGGAAGCCTGGAACTACACCACATCATCCTGTAGAAAACATATATTCTACGCGCCAATAAACCCCTCATCCCGGCGCCTACATAAACATTAAAACTACCAACCGCCGTAACTACAAACACAAACTGTCTCAGAAAATGCAACTCAGCACCCTTGACTGGCCCCCGTAGTATCTCACAAACATACCAAACCATAATCCATAATGCTGACATGCCAATACAGCGCTACGGGCAACGCCTGCCCTGCCCCGCTACCCTCCCACAAAGCAAAGACAATGGCCGGTGACACTCTGCATGACAGCGGACAGAGACCAGCGGGAAAAAGAGGTTCCACAGTAACTTGCTGACAGTGCATGCGCGATTGATCACCTGAGCAGACTATACCGGATTTGTTGTTGTTGAGCTGGGATGTGGATTTGGCGAGACCGTCGGAGGATTTTCTTTGGACATTTGGTGAGTGCGTTGGTTAGGGGGTTAGTCCCGGTGGTACAGGGATGGTGGATTTGGTGGGAGGTGTCTATTTTTGCTAGGTTGTGATACTTGTGTGATAATATGTGTGTTTCCTGATTTGGTAGGTCTATGTATATTTATCCTTGGCCTTGGACTTTTGCAAGGCACAACGGGGTCACTTTGAACAACTTTCGTTGTCATAAATAGACTATGTTAGTTGTTTCATCCCACTTTGTAGTCACTAACTCAAAGTGGTGGTACAAAGCGTTTCTTTGATCGTTACCTTTGGCCATATCAAGACATCGCTGACAGCTCACAGGAACCATAACGTCAGACGGATTGTACGATCCTTTTGACAGCCAACCCAGGCACTTCCAAGGTTGCGCAAAAACACCATGTCCAACCATCCGGCTGATATCACGCTTTCACATGGTTCCGGTAGCATTAACAGATCTACGACAGAAGTGTCAGCATGGGTTCTGCTTATGACGCCCAGATACACGGGCCATCTCGGCAAGGCCCCTATCGAATCCTGATAACAGTTTGCTGCAAGGGCTTTCGATGCTCGATTGATTGGGCTTGAAGCGTCACGGCCTACCAGAGTTCTTTGGTAGCGCTGTCACTACATATGACAGCCTTCGGAAATACTGCACCGCATTCGACCCTTGTTCTTGTCACTACAATAAGCATCAGAATTGCATGCATCACGGCCTACTGGTATTGCGACTCTCTTATGTCGGCTTTTGTCGGGTTCTGTCGGGTCGTTCCTCGACGGTGAATGTGGAATGAACTAGAACTTGTTCGGAAATGCAACTAGTGCCTGGTCTCGAATCATTCAGATTACGATCTTGCTGATGAGTCAATGTACCAGAATATATAGATACAATCCGTTGCGATTCGCAAAGAACGCATTTCGATACATACACTGGCCATGGGAAAGTCCAAGATATCGATCTATCTGACCACGGCGTGTCAAGTTGTTTTCCCCACACAAGGCTTACTCTGCTAGACAAGGATCGCTATTCATTACCACGATGCTATGAAGGCTACAGCTAAATGTAAACCGAATAAGATCTTGGTTTCTGTTTAAGCGTGTCCGGGATGTCATCAGTTATGTCTATTCAGGAATGGCGATTATGCCATGCAATGATATACTCGTGAATTCTCTGCCTGCACACGGATATAGTAGTAGCAGCAGCTGTAGGCATATATCTGTTCGTACTCAAACATAATATCTGCTCTTCTTGCAGCTATACAAGACGTTCTATATATATGCTCTTTTTATGCGATGGCCTATATATGGCTATGTCGTCCAGCTGTATTCCGCCTAAATCAGTCCATTGATTTTCTTTATTAACGTTCACCCATCGTTCTGTCTCTGGCATAGTCCTTTCGTATACCCCGTCTTTTGTCCTGTAATGGTCTCATTATATACCCTTAAATGTCCAATTCATCGGAATCATACGCGCCAATGGTTGAGATAGAGGTACACTGGCCGTCATGATTCTCAGTTACTGACCTCAGTTATTGGCCAATCAAGCAACGAATGTTAAATCTGTACGAAGCTGTGGCGTGGTAAAGGGGTTATATGGCTCTCGTACTGTCGAGAATAATCTCTTCTGAACCTTATCTGATAATGTACTCGAAAGGACTGGATTATGCTACTGATCTACGAGGGATTGACAGGGGCAAGGCATAGTACCTTGGTGCACACTATAGAATGGCAAGGCATCTCACTCATTGTAGCTGAGACGCTTGACGCTTGGTTGACTTATCGTGTACCACTAATTTGGGATTTTTTCGATGTTACTTCACTTCATTATCGAAGCGCTGTCTCTTCTCTCTCCCCATAGTTATCGCCAAGGCTAGCATTATTATACATAAATGCAGAGGCTAGCCACTCCGTTGAGGCAACATCAAACCTGGAAGTTTGACACCATTCAAATCCCGGTGTGTTGGCAGATGTATATCAGTCGATGACAATCAACTGCCTGTGCTCATTTTCCAGGAGCAGCGGCCACTCTGACTTGGTCTCCCAAAGCAACCAACGCAAATCTGATCGTCTGATCATCACCATGCAAGAAGCGATGTTCAACGTGCTAGTGAAGGCTAGCTCTGCAACATCGCTGAATCCCAATGGGCTGGATCAAACTGTCAATGGCACGAGGGTCGATGCTAGTGAGCAATAATTGGTATTAGAGCAGGTCGGTTAGACAGAAGTCTGATAGTCGAATTTTAGTCTGAAGCTTCTTGGCAGTTGTGTACATTCCAGAACTTCCGCACAGAAGATCATCGTGGAATTGAAGGCTAGTGGGTGCACTAGAGTACAATACGTTGATTGAGCTTTGATATCTGAACTAGGACAATAAGCTTTGGCAGATGAACCGTTCTTGGGATGATAGGTGCGTTATTGACCGTGCTGAACTAGGAGAATCCATTAAAGTCAGAATGCACCATTTCTATCCGGAAACTACTGGGAAGTGTCAGTGTCGTCTCTCGGGTTGACAGGAACACAGAGGCCATTTTTAAAGCAAGACCAGAGGGATGTTCTTCCAAGTGTGCTCTGCAGAAACAACTGATCAGTCCCCTCACCTACTTTGTACAGAGCACTAGATAGGAACAATATATGCGTTTTGGGCGGTTAGAAAAAAAAAAAAAAAAAAAAAAAAAAAAAAAAAAAAAAAAAAAAAAACTCCCTACTATTGCTTATGGCAATTGAGTAAGAAAGAATACATGGCACGAATCGAACACGGGCCTAGTCATGTATTCTCAGGACGCAGATGGCTTGACTCTGGTAAAGCGGGAAAATCGCAATAAGCCAGTTGTAGCCGCAGTTAAGCTTTCCGGAGTCCGGCTCCGTATTCTTCAACCGTGGTTGTTTAAATGAACTCCTATTTATGTCGCTTCTTCCCCTGGTTCACTACTTTTACACCCTTACTACAGAGTACCAAAAGCTGCCCACCGATGGTCAACACCGGCTATGTTCATCAAAATAGCAGTCCGTTTCTTGGGTCAGGAACAGAATCTTCCAACTCCAACATGGCCCGAATTGCCCGCTAAGTCCTTTAGGTTGAACTAGTCCCTGCCGCTAGCTTGGCGACCCATAGAAAAATATATACAGGGCAGTATCATTGGGGGAGAGCGTACTTTGGCAATCCCCCGCCTGTGTGTCTCACTCGTACCAATCACGGAGACTCGGTTAGAGTGCTCAGAGCGGACATGGTGAGATATATCGAAGACTGCCGGCATATTTGACAGATTATAGCCAAGGATTAGGGACAAGGCTGTAATGCATGTGCTTGTCTTATCGCAGTGCTATCTACTCTGGGAGTATCACTACTACATACTACTATGCGTGCTTTAACGAACACTGTGTCAGTGGTACCCAGAGGACATGGCACTGAGCAATCTTCCGAATACGATGCCGATCGTAACGTGGTTGAGTCTTGTCTCTGTCCTCTGTCCTCTGTACAGCCTCAGATCACATGCTACCGAGATGAACCTGGGGTTGTCTCCATTTCCTCCAGATTCTTTCGATTCTCGTCATTGCTACCGTCTTCTCCGCATCGTTGGACTCGATCCCCCGCATTTCTCTCTAACCGATGCTCCATTGTATCCATCTCTCGTCTATCAAGGTTCGCGGAGGTCTGGAGGTCACGTACCGAGTTGACCGGAGAATGTGAATACGGTGCATCCGTGGTTCCCCCGAGACCCCTGATCGGAGATGTCATCCAGATATCACCACATCGTTCCATAGAGATTCAATTCAGGTACACACACAATGACATTGGCGATATTTCAGTATCGCGCTCTACATTTATCTCTACTACAACTTGTATGTGTCGTGTTCTGTTGACTGCTAACGGGACACTCGATGGACACTAGCACTATGGAGACTGCCGATCCCGAGGCAGTCGGCTCAACCTTGGGCCTAAAAGGAATATCGCCGCTGCAAGTCGCAATTTCCCTATGCTCCTCCGAAAAGACCGTCTTGCGCTAGCTTTGATTTTTGGTGCCATTTGACCATGCTCTCCTGGCTCTCTCCGTGCTCTGGATTAGCAATGCTACCAGGAGATTCATTCGAATTGGGCAACTCCCCCGGCATATCCCGGTCCAAACGAGGGACCGCCTCTCCCTTGTGCCATTGACATCAGCAAAGCTCGGAATCCTCTAAATGGAGGTGAATAAACTAAACTAGCGAAGGCCCTGTGGGGGGCCGCAATCCTCGGCTGGCTCCATTTTCTCTCTAATTGTGGGGAGAAATTTTGGTCCAATTGTTTAGTCTAATGCTTAGGGGGGTCAACATTATTTAAAAAGCATGCTCCCCGCCAGGAAAGAGATCTTCTGAGGCTTTGGTTTGTCGGATTTCGGGCTCCTTCTCAAGTCAAGTTACTGTCCTCCCCTTCCCTCCCCGTGAACCGCCAGCATGCGTTTCTCCGCTGTTATCACAAGTACTCTTTTGCTGTCCAGCACTGCGCTGGCTTCCCCGGCTTCGTCGCCTGCGGGAAGTGCTTCGGCTCAGGGCGCCTCGAGTGAATCGACAGCCGCTGCCGTTCACCAGAATGTGAACAACCAGGGCAACTCTCAGGCCAATGGTCAAGAAAACGTCCCGCTGACCACTGCCACCCAGCAGCAGCAACAGCAGCAGGAACAGCAACAGCCCACGTCGCAGGCTCAGGTTCATGTGCCAGCTCCATCTCAGGGCAAGTCCGAGGAGGATGAGTCCGCTTCGGCTCAAACCCCAACTGCGGATGCTGCCACGGGTGCCACCAACTCGGCAACATCTGCCAGCTCTTCTCCTAACGAGACGTCGTCTAACGTCAAGGCCACCGAGACTAGCGATGATGATGACCAGGATGGTGGTCTCCTAGGTGGTATCCTCGGCGGTGGGAAGTCCAGCAGCTCTTCTGAGGCTGCCACTCCTGCCGCCAACTCTGCCAACTCTGCCAACACGGCAGCAGCTGCCAGCCCTTCCCCTAGCGAGTCGTCGTCCAGCACCAAGAGCACCGAGACCAACGATGATGATGACGACCAGGATGGTGGTCTCCTGGGTGGCGTTCTGGGCGGTGGAAAATCCACCCAGAACACTCCCACTTCCTCCTCTGCTAAGAGCACCACGTCTCCCGGCGCAGCTGCCTCCACAGGCGCTTCTGAAACCACTGGAGACGGTCCTCTTGCTGACTTGGGGTCGTTGCTCGGTGGTGCCGGAGGTCTTCTCTCGCCTACCTTGCTCAAGGACATCGAGTCTTTCTTCCACCACGTCGCCTACCTGCTCGACGACAAGAGCACGGATGAGACCAAGACCTTGGTCGAGAAGGGTTACAACCTGCTGACTGATGAGTTGACCGACGAGGTCAACAGCCTCCTGAAGAACGGCAACAACCTCTTGACGCCTAGCTTCGTGAACGACACCCAGACTTTGATTAGCAACGTTGGACCTCTGCTCTCGCCTGACTTGTTCGAGAAGATCAGCACGCTGCTCAACAACGGCAACGATCTTCTCACTCATGAGTTTGTCAAGGAGGTCAACTCGCTCATCACGAACGGCAACAACTTGCTCACGCCCGACTTCGTCAAGGAGATCAACAGCTTGATCAAGACTGTCAAGCCTCTGCTTAACGACGACCTATTCGACAAGATTACCAAGTTGCTCGACAACGGTAACGACTTGTTGACTGCTGACTTCGTCAAGGAGGTCAACTCTCTGATCAAGAACGGCAACGACTTGCTCACACCCGACTTCGTCAAGGAGATCAACAGCTTGATCAAGAACGTCCAGCCCCTCCTGAACGACGACCTGTTCGACAAGATTACCAAGCTGCTCGACAACGGTAACGACTTGTTGACTGCTGACTTCGTCAAGGAGGTCAACTCCCTGATCAAGAATGGCAACAACCTGCTCACCGCGGACTTTGTCAAGGAGGTGAACTCGCTGATCAGCAACGGCAACGATCTCCTGACTGCCGAATTCGTCAAGGAGGTCAACAACCTCATCACCAACGGCAACAACCTCCTGACTGCCGAGTTCGTCAAGGAAACCAAGGGTCTTATCGACTCCGTCGCCCCGATCCTCACCCCCGACCTCCTCAAGGAAGTCGGCGGCCTCCTCAACAATGCCAACAGCCTGCTTACTCCGTCCTTCGTCAACGAAACCAAGAACCTCATCGACGCCGTCGCCCCCATCGTCACCCCCGAACTCCTCAACGGCGTCGGTGGCCTCCTCTCCAACGCAAAGGCCCTCCTCACCTCGGACTTCGTCGACGAAACCCAGGGTCTCATTGGCAACGCCAACTCCCTTCTCACCAAGGACTTCGTCAAAGACACCAAGGGTCTCATCGGCGACGTCGCTCCCGTCGTCACCCCCGACCTCCTCGACAAGGTCCCCGGCCTCCTCGACTCCGCAGGCAAGCTCCTCACTGACAAGTTCGTTGACGAGACGCAGTCTCTCATCAACACTGTCTCTCCCGCCATCACCCCCGATCTCCTCAAGGATGTCAAGGGACTGCTGGGTAACGCGAATACGCTGCTTACCCCTGGGTTCGTTAACGAGACCAAGGATCTTATTGGCGAGGTTTCGCCGATTATTACGCCCGAGATGCTTAAGGAGGTTACTGGGTTGCTTGATAATGCCAATGACTTGCTTACGCACCAGTTTGTCAACCAGACGCAGACGCTGATTGAGGATGCGTCGGAGTTGTTGCCGGCCGTTGTCAAGTTGTTGGGTGATATTTAAGCATGGTTGATTCATTATGATTAATGTGTTATTTTTCTTGTGTTTATTTCCTTGTGTTTTCTTATGATCTAATTATGTACGCATTTCCATGATGGATATGTTACGGGAGGATGTTCGAGGTTTACATATGAACCCAGATGGTATATATATGTACAGAGATGTTAATTGTCTTGTCATGCCACGTCGGATTGCTTGTCATGTCATGTTTGAATATTAATCCATGTCATCATTCGACTTGTATTGTCCAAATGTAGTGCATGTATGCAGAAACTGAATGCTCGTATTATGTACCTTGAAGGACTCGCTTCGTCAAGAGCCCTTCAATTGGATGTCGCGTATGGGTATCATTGTATTCAAAGGAGTTCTAATCCTGAGCTCGCCAGGTCCTATACCGTCTTTCCTCTGGCGCGTTCTAAACGGCCAGGACCATGTCCCCATGTTCTAATCCCAGGACTCCACGAGTTCGAAACACTGGCCTATCCGGACCCTTCCATAAATCCACACAGTTCTTTAACCAAAACCATCATACCCTGGTACGCGATCACGACGGCAAAATATCAGACGCCTTCACCTTAACCTCCTGATACTTTTCCAAAACCTTCATCTCCGTATCCCTCTCCTTAACCTTCTTATCCATCGCCCGCTGTACCTCCTCTCTCTTTTTAACAGTTTCTTCAATCCGCCGTTTTGCTTCGCGCGCTGTGGCTTCTTGCGCCCTTAAGGCGGCTTCGGGGGTGGGATGCTCTTCTCGGAGATCCGCTAATTCTTTCTCTTCTTGTGTTTCGATATTCGGGAGTTGGTTCAGAGAGGCGTTGGAGAATGGAAATGGGGCGCAGGTTAGGGGATTGTAGTGGTGGGATTGTAGTGGTTTCTCGATTTCATTGTTTGGTTGGTCTTTGGAGGATCCGTTGGATTGTGCTTCTGTGTCTGCGGGTCGGCCTGGGACTCGGATGTCTGGGAGGAGGGGGTGAATTGGTGTTATGCGGAGGGGGGAGTCTAGCGGGATGATATTTGCTGGTGGCTGGTCTGTTGATGTCATTCTCGATCCATGTAACGAGTATCTTGATCTGCGACGTGCGATGTTGAATAGACTGGACTAGAAGCATAGCCGCGGAATAAATTCGGCGGAGATAACTAAGCGGTCTAGAACTGCCTGACAATAGAATCACCGCCCTTCCATCCCTGGGCAATGATGGCTACATGCATGCGTCGTAGTGCATTCCATTGGATGGATTTCGAATAAGACGGCATTCTGGTAATAATATACGCTTTCAGTTGATTGAAGATGCAGGCGTTCGGTAAGGGACAAAATACCGAGTCCTATATGACGCTGCTAACATGACCGCAGTCCCGAAAAATAGGAGGGTAGGTCTCTACACTGATAAAGGGTTTATTGGATGCTGAAGTAAAGCAGCCTAGATTCGAGTTTGTTTTAAGGGTATCCCTCACATTACCTCTCAAGTTGTGTATACAGTTGAGCTAACCTGCTAGATAATCGACCTCAACAACATCCCCCTCGTCAGCGGCACGGCCTTCGTCAAATGGCGCCTTCCCTCCTCCAGTGCAGCAGAACACAACGGCTACACCGATAAAGCAGTCATCATTGACCACCGCGCGCAATGGCACTACGAAAAAACCCTCCAAGTCCGACTCACGATCGACCGAAACCAGACACTGCAAGAATGCGAGGTGCATTTCGAGATCACCCAGGACTTTGCGTCGGGGGGTCATGGGGATCGGAATATACTAGGACGCATCCGACTGAATCTGTCCGAGTATGTGGATAAGAGTGATGAGGAGGAGGGGATTGTGAGGAGGTATCTTATGCAGGATAGTAAGATTAATAGTACATTGAGGGTGGGGATATGTATGAGGCAGACGGAGGGAGATAGAAACTTTATTACGTGGGTTGATCTGTTGGTGAGGATGTTGTTCTATGCTGACTGTCCCAGGCCACCCCTGAGATCCGCCATGGTGTTCGGTGGAATTGCAGGCGTCGTATCTTCTGAACAAGGAGACCCCGATGACCACGTTAGCGGTGGACCCATCCCATCTCTCAGCTCGAAGAGCAGCGAGGTCTCCGATATGCAAGATCTCTATCGTCGCACGCTCGCAGCATCCTGGAACTCCCGGTCAACCGACCTCCCCGCCGATAAACTAATTGAAGACCTATTCTCCGGAGGCAGCGGCTACAACAATGGGACCCAAAACCAGCGTCAGAGCCGGCTAGACGATAGCCTGAATGTCGTCAGTGCGGAGAACGGCGCAAATCAGCGCGAGTCTCCGTCGGGGAATCATTTATCGCCTAGTTTTGAACGTCGGCCGAAGAGCTCTTCCAGTAATGAGGTTAAGGCACCGGAGTTGCTTTCTGCTATTGGAAGTATGGGCAATGGGCATGGGCATGGGAGAAGAGGCGGAAGCATTGAGCAGCAGATCTTTGACAGTCCGAAGGCGAAAGGGTTGAGAAGTCGAGCGAGTGAGCAGGAGGTGTCGGAGTTTGATGTGAGGGAGGATTTAAGGAGTTGGGAGATTGCTCCTAAGGTGTGATCTCTTTCCCGTTCTTTCTTTACTTTTCGTTTCTCGTTCTTGTATATATACCCGTTGTATATATGACTTAATAGCCTGAGGCAAGTATTACCATTTTGGGTTTAGCGCGATGCGGATGTCAGATGAATCGCCGCAACGAAAAAAAAAATCCCAAAAACAGTAAAAGAGCTCAATGCTCTCAGCATATAATTCTACATGTTTTCCCGAAAACCCCCGGGTTCTGTGGGCCTCATAAACCCTCAATCCCTACAAACATGCCGAGAAAAGCCATTATCCCTCGTTACCCGCCGCTACGATCTCTTCCTCCGATCCAAATCCACCTCCAGCAACAATGGCGACGACAAACCCCGACGCCGCCGCCAACCCAAACCAAAGCCCCAACATGTCCCAATTGATGTTACTTTCCTCGGCGAACAAGGTGGTGTCGTTGTCGTCCCGGAGACGAAAAAACGTCAGAAAAAGCCAGCGCTGGATATCGGTCCCGACAGGTTGAGCGAGAGGGGCGATGTCCCCTTTTTGCTACAGGAGATTGAAGACGAGATGGTGGAATTAACAGGGAAGATCGTGAATGAACGAGTTGAGAGCCTTCTTTCGCCGCATTCGGCGGGTGATAAGCTCGACGCGGTTGAGTTTGAGAAACTCAGGTGGAAGGTGCAGGCGTCTTTTACAGGGTATCAATTGGATGATTATGTATCGGAACATAAGCGGAATGCGGAGGAGTTTTATGGATCTGGGGAGGGGAGTTCACGGGAGATGGAATGGAGGCCCGGGACGCCTGGGTTTCTGGAGACAGGGCCTGTTGGGCAGGGTGGTGTTACTGAGCGGATTACGGCGACGATGAAGTCGCTCAAGGGCAAGCATTTGCTTGCGGAGCGGATATTGCGGGATTGTTGGGAGTTGGAGGTCGTTGGGGAGGCTGGGCAGATTGATATTCGGTTGTCTGCGACAACGTTGTCGTTATTGAAGAATTCGGAGATCTTTTCGTTCGAAGAAGTGGCCAGTCTTAATGATGCGAAAATTGATATTACCAATTCGTTGGGGTTGGTTAGGATTACGGGGAGTCGGGATGCGTGTGAGACCATTCGGGATATTATTCAGGACACCAGTTTGCGGATACGCGAGGAGAGGGTTGAACTGTTCCCGCGGGTCGGTAACCGGTTTGATGGGAGTCGCGCGTTTCATTTGGAATTCTTGGACTGGGTCAGCAGGGCCTACGGCATTGCGTTCGAGGGCGTGACTCGAGAAGGTCCGAAGAAGATTCTGTATCTCGCGGAGAACAGAAAGGGCATGGAGAATGCCCGGAGGACATTGAATCTTGCGCTCTACAGCACAAACCCGAATCCGTTACCGTTTACGAGCTATTTTTCTGCTACAGAGCCTGCCGAGGCTTACGATTTCAGCCTCGAGAATGATGGGAATTGGTTTGAGCGGCAGAAAGCTTGGTTTCGGTGGGCTACGCCGTCGACACAGGTGGCTGGGCCAAGTCCGTTGGATATGCCGCTCTTTGAGCAGCATCAGACGAGGTTATCAGATGGGCTTCTGAAGATTTTGCGGAAGCCCTCGCCTAAGTACCAGCTGAGCAAGAAAGTTGATGTGCACGAGAGTGTAACGGCGGCGGTTGGGAGATGTTTGTTCCTGCGCAAACCTACTATGAGCTGTGAACCTGTCGATGCGACAACACTAAGCAAACTATCTCTTCCTCGTTCGTTTACAACAGACCTCCCCCGAGTGCCTTCATTCCTGCGTCAACTACGAAACCACGAAAACAGTGACAAGCAGCAACTTCGCCGCGTTCTGCTAGTACCGTCAGCTCTCCATGCAAGTGTTTTCCCACAACTCGACCTAGAAGTTTCTCTACTCGAAAGCCCCAACTCCGAAGAGAAACCAGAACTCGTCGTGCAAAACGCAACGGCCATCATTTCCCAAAACAACGTTGATTACCTTCTCCCCGAGAACGGTTTGGACCTCCGCTTTACCAGAAAGATGTACTGCGATCTACCAGAGGAATCGTGGCAAGACAGCGCAGATGCTCTCAAGGCTTCTCTCCGCAACAACTTCATCCAGGCCAGACCAAACGACAGCGGCGACGTTGCACTACCGACATTCTTCCAACTCTCCCTTCCCAAAGAAATCCTCAACCAGAAGAATTTCTCTGGCTTAGACAAAGACTTCGTTACCGCAGAGTACATGAGTCTACCCCTCACCGACCGCCGCGGGACATATCTGCAGCGCTACAACTACGAGGACAAACGGCTTAACTACAGTTACTATGAGAGCGGGCCATTTTACCCCTCTCGCGCGACAGACTTGTTCTTGGATATGGACCTTCCTCCTGATGCCAAGGTGTCTGAGAAGGAGGGTGAACTGGACGAGCTGTTGCAGACGTTTAATTCTTTCTATGGGTCGGCTTGTAAGTTGGCGTTTGAGTTGGATACGGCTGGACGGGCGGAGCCTTAGACACGGCCTTGTGTGGTTTTGATTGCATTTCTCCCCTTTGGATGTATTACTATTATGTGTATTAGCGATGAATGTGCATACGATGGATCATGTATACTAAACCCCAACGACGGAGTAGAAATCACTAATACCCCTTCGGAATCCGTGCTCCCATTCCCAGCCCAAACCCTGATTCACCTCGCCCGTCTCGGTGATTCTCTTCCGAACCCACAGGTCAAGAGCACCGATTTTTTCCCCTCCCTCACGATGACCAGGGACCATGCCGTTGACCAACGCACCGAAGAAGTACCCTGCGTCGGCGTATCCGAGATTCCACCCGCGGGAATAGCGTTCATGTTCGAATTCTACGCCCGGGGCTGCGGAGTCCCAATACCCCACGTGCTGAGAGTATGCTTCTTCATGGCGATCAGTTCTTTGAAAGTCAGCTTGCCTCAGCCTCTCGCGCACTTCCTCTCTTGAGAGTGCCAGCCACGGAGGCGCCGGAATCGCTCCGGTATTAACCTGTTCCTTAAACCCCCAATCCCCACCATCCATCCAATCCATCTTAAACGTCCAAAACGCCGAGCCAGACGCTTTATCCGACCATGTCCGACTCTGCTCATTCCCAAATGCAACAGTCAGCTCATGCCGTTGGGCAGGATCACCATGCTCGAAACTATGCTGGTCCATAGCGCAGCTATACTCCCCGATGTACACCTCAACAGCTGATTTACGATCGAACACGCTCCCCTGACGCTCAGCTAGCTCCCCTAGTTCATCCGCAACACGCTCGCGAATCGCATCGGGGTGCATTTTTCTGTCATCTTCGGTGAAACAGTAGTACTTGTGTGTGTCCACGATGACGGGATTTCTCTTGAAGGGTAACGTGATGTTGTTTTTGCTTAGGGCGTAGTCTAGCGCTGCGGAAAGATTCCATGCATCGCTGATGTATATCGGTATAGATGGGTCGATGGCACTGGCAACTTCGATGACCTCGTCGTACCATTCGTGCAGATTCGGTGGATCCCAGGTTGCTTCATTGCATAATTCGATGCCAATGACGCCGTGGAGGGAATGGAATTTAACCTCTTGGATAACGAACGCGATGCTGTCTCTTGCTAGTGCGCGATAGTGCTCGTTTTCCCAGAACTCAGCTCGTCCGGAATCAGTCCCGCTATGGCCCTCGCCATTCGCACCTCCAGGTACACCGTGGAAGTCGATGAGTACACCGATACCGTGAGCGTGGCACTTCTCAATCAAATGCTTGACGGTATTCCAACAGTGCAGATACACTTGTCCCGGCTCCCCATCGAAATCCGTACCGATACAGAATGCCGGCCCTAGCGTGAAGTATCCTATCGGCAGACGAATGGAGTTGCAGCGCGCGGTGTGTTTCAGCCAGTGCAGGTCGTCGTCGGATAGGGCTGTTAGCCAGAGGGTTTCCCATTTTGTGCGAGTTTCGTGGAGACCGCGGATTTGTAGGGACCTGCGTGTTACTGTTAGTATTTGGATTGGTGTTGCTTTTTGGGGGTGGGTACCGTTTTATGGCTTCTAGTTCACTGGAGCCGGGGGTATCGTCGTCGTACATGCTATTTCGGAGCCATCTTTCTAGGATAAATACTGAGCCTAGGTTTGTCGCGTGCTGGTAGCGGTAGAGGAGGAGGTCTTGGGGTGATGGGGGTGGGGTGAGCATCTTGGTCTATTGGTTGTAGGTGTGAACGTATATCTAGATCACAATTGTAATGTATGTAGTAGGTCAAATATATAGTTCAGTGAGCGCAGATACAAACACCACAAACGAAGTAAATAAACAGACAGCATTCGCACATTTGTACAAGATTGCAGACATTTCACATTTATATATTTACTCAAACATAAACACTGATGCTGGAATGCTGTACATGTACATTCCATTGTCTCTCCATCTCCAATTGGCGGCTCCGCCTTTGACGTAGCTGGCACGAGGGGCTCCGCATCCGATCGAGTCAACCACTCTTCCTCCATACTACCAAGGCTATCTTTCATATCTGTTTCGTATTGTCTACACGGGCCAAGTGCTTGACTCTTTTGTGTTGGCGATAGAGATAAGACCATGAAGGTATTGCGGTTACAGTAACGGAAAGGCATGGAGAGAACACGGGTTGCTAAGGTTAGTCTCGTGGCCTGACTCCTCAACAACCAGAGGACCGAGAAAAGAATACTGACAAATCTCCAGGTTGATAATGTGACCTTGGCGCGCCGTGGTGACCAGGTCATTGGCAACCTTCACCTCACCCCTCACCACCTCATCTTCTCCCACATTCCCCGGGCATCCGACACGACGGGCCAAGCCCCAGGACAAGCGCAAGGAACCCCCGTCAGACCACGAGAACTCTGGATCACATACCCGATAATATCCCTGTGCACGCTACGTCCGACGCCCGCGGCCTCTCGTCAGCCGTCCTCGATCCGTCTGCGGTGCCGCGATTTCACCTTTGTTTGCTTCTACTTCGTCACCGAGAACAAGGCGCGCGAGGTATACGATACGATCAAGCAGTGGACATGTAGGGTCGGAAGGGTTGATAAGCTGTATGCGTTTGCTTATCAGCCTCCTCTGCCGGAGAGGGAGTTTAACGGGTGGGAGTTATATGATCCTAAGAAGGAATGGGCAAGGCAGGGTGTGGATGTAGAGGGGAATGGGTGGCGCATTTCGCAGATAAATGCGGATTATGGAGTATGTTTGGCTCGCTGTTTATATGTGATGGATGCATGCTGACTGTCAGTTCTCTCCAACCTATCCTGCGCTTATACCCGTGCCTACTGCTATTTCGGATAATACGTTAAACTACGCAGGACGGTATCGGTCGAGAGCGCGTGTGCCTATACTGACGTATCGACACCCGGTGAATAACTGCTCGATTACGAGGAGTTCGCAGCCGTTGGTTGGTGTGCGGCAGAACCGGAGTATCCAGGATGAGAAGTTATTAGCGACTATCTTTTCAACGTCGCGTACAGAGAGACCATTGGCAAATGTGCAAACACCTAATTTGGAATCAGAATTTTCGAGCTTGAGCCAAGGCGATGGGTTCGCTGGTCAGTCTGATTCTGACTCTACGAATGCCGAAGAACTCGAGGATGAAATGCTAGCATCTCTTCGCGGGGATCCAGAGGAGGGACGCCAGGTTTATGGCGCTCAGCAGCAGAACCTGATCGTTGATGCTCGGCCGACGGTTAATGCTTTTGCAATGCAGGCTGTTGGTCTGGGTTCGGAGAACATGGACAACTATAAATTCGCAGCCAAGGCGTACCTGGGAATCGATAACATCCACGTCATGCGAGATTCGCTGAATAAAGTGATCGATGCGCTGAAAGACTCAGACATCGCCCCGTTGGGTCCTAATAGAGACCTGCTTGTTCGGAGTGGATGGTTGAAGCATATTGCCGGAATTCTGGATGGTGCTGGCTTGATTGCTCGTCAGGTTGGTCTTAACCATTCTCATGTCCTGATTCATTGTTCGGATGGCTGGGATCGTACGAGCCAACTTAGTGCATTGAGTCAATTGTGTCTTGATCCCTACTATCGAACGCTGGAAGGATTCATGGTACTCGTCGAGAAAGACTGGCTCTCATTTGGTCACATGTTCCGTCATCGCTCCGGTCTTTTGAACAGCGAGAAATGGTTCCAGATCGAGAACGAGAGGATCGGAGGTGATCCCAACCGAGAGGGTAGCGGTGCAGGAAAAGCCCTCGAGAACGCATTTTTGAGTGCCAAGGGTTTCTTCAACCGGGATAACACCAGCCGCGACTCCCTTCCCGATTCCGATGGCGATACCCCAGCCAATGAATGCGAGACTCCTGGAAAGAGAGCCGGCTCTGTACCTCGAACCCCCATGTCCGAGAAGGAGGTCACCAAGGTGAAGGAAACCAGTCCCGTGTTCCACCAGTTCCTCGACGCAACATACCAACTGCTTCACCAATACCCTACACGATTCGAATTCAACGAACGCTTTCTACGACGGTTACTTTACCACCTTTACTCCTGCCAATTCGGCACATTCCTTTTCAACAGCGAAAAGGAGCGCATCGAGACAGGCGCTAAAGAACGAACACGCAGCGTCTGGGACTACTTCCTCGCCAGACGAGAACAATTCCTCAACGCTCAGTACGAGCCCACCATCGATGACAACAAGCGCGGTAAGGAACGCCTGCTCTTCCCGCGTCTCAACGAAGTCCGTTGGTGGAACGAGGTGTTTGGTCGAGCTGACGCCGAGATGAACGGACCTCGTCCGTCTGGTCCTGTCGTTGTCCCAGCTGCAGTCCAGGAGAGCATTACACCACCTGCTCCTGGGTCGGGAACTCCTGTTGTTACGGGTATTGAGACAGCCCACTCTTCCGTGGGCAGCGGTGTATCTGGCCAGGGGACGCAGAATGCAGCATCGGCTGGGATGGCAGCCGTGTCGGCGGGTATTTCGAACTTGGCTTTTACGCCGAAGAATAAAGATAATGAACAAGGGAGTGGGAAAATGACGGAGATGGAGGTAGAGATGCAGTAGGGATATACGGATTATTTTGGATGCATGTATAACGAATGTAAACTTGCGAATTGTTGATATGGAAGGTCTACGTGATTAGTAATATTAATGCCTGATACGCCAGGCATATATAGCCGACCAAAAACGGAAAAGCGCCCGCTCATACAAGCGAGGGTTAACCCTCTCCGTCCCAAACAGGCAATTCCAAACCCTATTCCCAAAAAAACTCCCCACTACCGCCTAAACCTCCAAAACTGATCTGACCGAACGACGGCACGACCACCTCGAACCGCCTTTAACGCCCAACTCGCCCTCTTCATCCTCGGCCGTTTCGCCTTTTTCAATAAACGCCAAAAAAGAAACGTCAAAATGGCTGCTGTCCAGGGAGCTATGTCGAAGCGCCGAAAGTTCGTGGCGGACGGTGTCTTCTACGCCGAGTTGAACGAGTTCTTCCAGCGCGAGCTTGCTGAGGAGGGTTACTCGGGTGTCGAAGTCCGTGTTACTCCTACCGTTACCGACATCAGTACGTTCCTTTTCGCCTTTCTTTGAAGTTGTTTTGTTTGTGGATTGGATGTTTGGGGTTGGAACCGGAGTTGTTGAAGGGGTGATTTCTGAAGGAGGAAGGAAAAATAAACACTGGGGAGAAAGAGATGGAAAACTTGCTGGATAGGATCAATTGCGACGGGAAATATACAATTATTGGAGAATACAGAAGCTAACAGCTTCTCGCAGTCGTCCGTGCCACCCACACCCAGGAGGTTCTGGGCGAGCAGGGCCGCCGCATCCGCGAGCTCACCTCCCTCATCCAGAAGCGTTTCCGCTTCCCTGAGAACTCGGTCTCCCTGTACGCCGCCAAGGTCCAGAACCGCGGTCTCTCCGCCGTCGCTCAGTGCGAGTCCCTCCGCTACAAGCTGCTTAACGGTCTGGCCGTCCGCCGTGCCTGCTATGGTGTCCTCCGTTTCATCATGGAGAGCGGTGCTAAGGGTTGCGAGGTTGTTGTTTCGGGCAAGCTCCGTGCTGCTCGTGCCAAGTCCATGAAGTTCACTGTACGTCTACGCCTGCTTTCGTCCTCAGGTTTTGGATGCAATGCGATACGATGCGCAATCAACTCCGGATAATACACCCATGGACTCATGCTAATAATATAAACAGGACGGCTTCATGATCCACTCCGGCCACCCCGCCAAGGAATTCATCGACTCGGCCACCCGCCACGTTCTCCTCCGCCAGGGTGTCCTCGGTATCAAGGTCAAGATCATGCGCGGCTCCGACCCCGAAGGCAAGGCCGGTCCCCAGAAGACCCTCCCCGACTCCGTCACCATCATCGAGCCCAAGGAGGAGCAGCCCGTTCTGCAGCCCATGAGCCAGGACTATGGCGCCAAGGCCGTCGCTGCCCAGCAGCTCGCCGAGCAGCAGCGTGCTGCTGAGCAGCAAGCTGTTGAGGCTCAGGAGGGTGCTCCTGCTGCTGCTGGTGCTGAGACTTTTGCACAGGAGTAAATTTGGGGTTAATTCTGATGTGGTTGAATAAATAAACGATTTCCTTTTATTTTTTATATCTCCTCGAGTTTTCTTCTTTTTTTTCTCTACATGTCCGACTACCTCTACGAACGGAATAAAAGTCAAGATCGGTTCCAAAAGCGGTTTCCAAAAGTGGTTTTTCCTAGTACTTTAGCGGGGAAAGTGACGAACCCTGGGGAAATAAAATCTGTGGATTACTATACCTACTCTACATCGTAAGACATGATATTGGGTTAAACCCGGGATACGACAGATTCCGAACTACTGGTGGAAGATGTATCCGCTGGCCGATTCAAAACTACGCAGTATCTACAGGAATACAATTTCAGATCCAATCATAATCCATAAACAATCACTCCATTTTGGTATTTCACTCATGTCATCTATCTCTGTAAATCATTTCACTCCATGATCATAAATAAACATCATCGATGAACCCGTTCACAGGAAAGTCTCAATGTTGAGCTCCAGTGTGCTAACAGGGTACTTCAGCTCGTACTTCTCCAACACCGTAGGGTGCAAGATACCAAAGGTACCGATGTTGTGCTCCTTTCCACCAATGCGCAGGTGGATCGAGGCGGCATGGCCGGGGAAGTAGGTGGGGTCTGATCGAATGTGTTAGCATACAGACCAATGAAGACTAAATAGATATGTGATGGGCATGTGGGACTCACCATCAAGCTCCTCGATCCAGTACTGAGAGTCATTGGCTGCCGTGCTCTCTAGTCCCTCCTCGGCAGTGATAAAGGCGCTCTTAAGCATAGCCATCATGCGATCCAAGAGACCGTGCACAACTTCAAACCCACTGGTCCGTCCATACCATGCAGCGGCAAAGTGGCGCTCGTTACGACTTTTACGCTCCAATTCCAAATCTTTGAAAGCGACATCGCTAACCTCGAAGATCTTCATGGGCACAGTGTGATGCTTGTTTTCCCTGATGGTCTTCAAAAGACCGGGAAGGAGACTAGTACGGACAACCTGGAATTCCAAGGTCTTAGGGTTGGCAAGCTTGACGGCGGTGTTACCGTCGTCCTTGCGGTTGAGCCAAGCGAAATTCTCGTCGTGCGAGCACAGAATCAGCGGAAGCGCCTCAGACCAGCCGGCCATTGCAGCTTCTGTTCTCACGATGTCGGAAAGCTTGTTGATGGGGAGAGGCTGGCCAATAGTGCCGGAGATGTTGGGGAAGGATCGGGGAAGTTTGTTGAATCCGTAGGCAATAGCAACATCTTCCATGATATCAGCCTGGTGAAGGACATCCGCACGGGTTGGGGGAATGTCAACATCAACGAGGTCGGGGTTGTTCGCGGAAGGTCTGGCATCATAGGACATCTTTTTCAGAAGGTCGCTGATCTCAGTCGCAGAGAGGTTCAGCCCACAGCATTGGTTAATGAAAGAGATTTCGGCTTGGGTGGTGCGGGGCGAGATATCCGGGACAACACGTGTCTCGCCGTTGTGCTCAGAAACGATCTGAATGGGCTCAATTCTATGGAAACGGATTAACACTTCGCAACCCACCTAGAATAGATGATACTCACGTGAACGGCTCAGCGGTGTACTGGGAGAACATTGTAACCATGACCCTGTTGACAATTTCAAGCTTCGTCTTGTCCAGTCCGGTCATTTCGATGAAGACGTTTGTCGTATTGACGGAGATTTTCGAGTGGTTACCGTTGATAATCGGCGGAAGAGAGCAGATGGTGTTGTTCGAATCGTGGATGACAGGGTAAACGGGAGAGTCGCGGACAATGTGAAGGTACTTTCCGAGGTTCTTATCTTTCTGTTGATCTATGAGTATCAATTTCGCATACCTGCTTCTGGCGCAACTCATACCTCGTAGAAGGCCATCAATTCTTCGCCGTTCAGCTCCTTAGTCTGGTTCAAGGGAACAAAGCTGAAGTTCTTGGGAGACAGAGCATTGTAGGTGAAAGGACCCTGGATGGTGTCCAAATCGTGGGTACCAATAGCAACGAGTGTTCTTTGTCTTGCGAGATTCTGGTGAAGCTTGTCTTGAAGGGCAATGAACGATTCGTAACGCGCCTGGTCGAACTTCACATTGCGCAGGATCGCGCCGGAGACATACGGCCTGACTTTTGTGGTCTTTCTCAGCCCATTAGCGTATGCTATATAGTAGACGGGCTATGATGACAACACTCACGTCTTCCTTGACCACGATCTTCTCAAGCTGCCCACTCGACGGCTCAACGAGTCTGTAGTTGGGGATAGGCTTGCGGCCCAAGAAGATGTTCAGCATGAGCTGAATACCTTCGAAACACAGCATGTCATATCTACAAGTCCCTCTCAGTTATGCGCTCCTCCCGTTATCTCAGAGTCTTGCCAAATGCGTACCGGTTTGCGGGGATTTCGATCTTGAGTTGAGGCGGCTCCTGCACGCCATCAACAATGGGGCGGTCCGTATCGGTCGTCTGTGAAGTCTTAGTATCGATAACGGCATTTTGAAACGGTGGGAGGGAGTGTTACGTCTTCATCGAGCTCAATGCCTGGTAGAACAGTCAGTCAGCGCGAGCCCCGCAGATGAAAAAAAGTGATAAAAGTGACTCACCGAATTCGAAGCAAAGCTCGTCGAACTCTTGCGTAGTGTATCTAGCGGTAGCAATTAGTAATTGTCTTCAAAGTCACTGAGCAGAAGACAAGCACATACTCGCGCCCGAGCTCCTTGAAGAGCGCGGCCTTGTCGACGGAGATGGTGGGCATGGTGAGGGGGGTCCTTCAGGACTTGCGCAAGGGGAATGTCCAAAGAAAAAGCGGTAGATATGGAGAGTCCAGACGCTAAGCTATTATCACAATAGCCTTGGCGATCTCCACGTTATTTAATAGCGAGACTGACGTTCTGCTGGCACCGAGTTTGCAGAGAAAGAATCAATGGATGAGTCCGCATGAATGTCCGTTGGGGCTTGACCCTCGCGGGACAGCCACTTATCGCACCGCCACAGATCCCCCTCTAAGGTTACCATACCCGTATGATAGTTACCATACCATACTGTATCATCATCCCCCTCACCAGCCACAGCTCCTCCCTCACCCCGTTGACCAGACAGCTCGCCTTTGCAAATATCCTTTTGCGGCTGAAACCTAGCAGCACTATTCCCTGCCGCCGTTGATATCTACCTAAAAGTCGTTATTCGAGGGCTGTACACTTCCAACCCAATTGTCTCGAGGTATGCCTTCTTGCTTATGACCGTGTTCTGCGGCGGCCCAAACCCCACGAAACCTCGCCCGGGGAGTCTCGCTCACCACCGACAACATCCCCTTCCCATATTATCTTGCTCCCCTCACCGACTACTACCAGTATTGATGATTCTGACACCCCCCGATGCTTAGATAGGCTCTCTGATATCCGCTTAATTTCTCTTTTAATCTCCCTCGACGATCTCGCCTTCATCAACTACTCCAAGAACCGAAAAAATATTCATTGTGCCTGCGTGGTATCAGGTTAAACAGCATCGCCTGATATCATTCCGTATTGTCGTCGTTGATTCCGGCCACCTTACCCAACTCCCTTAGTCGCTTCTTTCAATCTCCGGAACCCATATACAGTATCCGCGATGGAGGGTCAGGGCGAAAATGACGAGCTCTACCCTATCGCCGTCCTCATTGACGAGTTAAAGGTACCGTGGTGGTCAACCGTAGCGTGCTATCGATTCTGAAAACACGTCTGATAATTAAAATCTTTCCAGCACGACGATGTTCTCCTCCGCCTTAATGCCATTCACCGCCTCTCTACTATCGCGTTGGCCCTCGGTCCCGAGAGAACTCGCGATGAGCTCATTCCATTCCTTGATGGTTAGTAGTCGAAGCAAGATTCCGTCGATCGCGTGAAGACATCTAACATGCACCGTTCCAGACTCCGTGGAGGACGAGGACGAGGTCCTGACCGCACTCAGTGACGAGCTCGGTGACTTTACAGAATATGTTGGCGGCCCGGAGTTTGGGCATGTTCTCCTCTCTCCCCTGGAAAACCTGGCCGCCATCGAAGAGCCTTTGGTTCGGGAAAAGGTAGGAACTCCTTGGTTTTCATTATTGTTCAAACACTCACGTTGATGGCACGGTAGGCGGTGGAATCCCTCTGCAAGATTGGCGAGCAATTGTCCGAAAAACAAGTCGAAGAGCACTTCGTCCCCATGGTTCTTCGCCTATCGAAAGCGGACTGGTTCACGTCGAAAGTATCCGCTACCGGTCTGTACTGCGTCCCATACAAGAAAGCGCCCCAACCCCTGCAGCAAAGCCTTCGACAATATTTCGGCGCGTTGGTGCACGACGAGACCCCGATGGTGCGGCGACAGGCGGCGAATAATCTCGCCAAGTTTGTCAAAGAATTGGACACGCCAGTTGTCATCGAGGAAATGATACCCTTGTTCCAGTACCTTGCCAGTGACGACCAAGATAGTGTGCGTCTCCTTACAGTGGATATTCTTATTGCGATTGCGGAGGAAATTCCCAAGGAACAACAGCCCAGCCACGGCGTCCTGTTGACATCCCTGCGGAACTTGTTCGAGGATAAGAGCTGGAGAGTCAGATATATGGTCGCCGACAGATATGAAAAGGTTCGCATTCCCACTGCTATTCCTCTTCCCCTGTTCCTTTTTTTTTTTTTTTTTTTTTTCAAAACTGACTAACCTCTACGGCAGATCGCTAATGCTGTGCACGAAGAAGTGATCACTCGTGACATGGTGCCCTCATTTGTTAAGCTCCTGAAGGATACGGAAGCAGAAGTTCGCACTGCAATTGCCGGCCAGATCCCAGGTATTCCCCCCACCCTCTGCATTTCAATCAAGGATGCTCGCTAAACCCGAACTAGGTTTCTGCAGTCTGATCGACCGGGAGACCCTTCTTAATGAGATCATGACTAGCGTTGAAGACCTTGTTTCGGACCCATCTCAACACGTGCGCGCGGCTCTGGGTACGCAAATTAGCGGTCTCTCGCCACTCCTCGGAAAGGAAGAGTTAGTAGACATCTCACCCACAACATTGACCGCCGCAGGCTTCTCACAATTTCTGCAGGACTATTGCTCATCTCCTTCCGATGTTCCTTCAAATGCTCAAGGACGAATACCCCGACGTCCGTTTGCACATCATTTCCAAGTTGGAGCATGTCAATAAGGGTAAGGGAATCTACTTATGAGTTAACATGATCCGTATCTCTGACCATCACAGTTATCGGCATTGATCTTCTTTCTCAGTCGCTTCTTCCCGCAATTGTCCAACTGGCCGAGGACAAGCAATGGCGAGTCCGTCTTGCCATCATCGAATATATCCCCCTGCTTGCCAGCCAGCTGGGCGTTAAGTTCTTCGATGAGCAACTTAGCGACCTTTGCATGGGGTGGCTTGGTGACACCGTCTTCTCTATTCGTGAGGCCGCTACCACCAACTTGAGAAAGCTGACCGAGGTTTTCGGAATCGAATGGGCCCAGGGCTCGATTATTCCCAAGGTTATGGCTATGGGACAGCACCCCAACTACCTCTACAGAATGACAACCTGCTTTGCAATTTCCGTGAGTAGATTCTAACCCTTGGTGCGTAAGGTTCAGTCACTGACTAAATATTAGACCCTTGCACCTGTTGTTTCTCTGGATATCACTGAAAACTCAATTATCCCCATCATGGACCGACTCACAGCAGACGAGATCCCGAACATTCGGTTCAACGTTGCCAAGTCGTACGCCGTGCTGATCGACACATTGCGCCGTCTGCCGGCCGAGGGAACCCTGACCGACTTGGAGAAGTCCGGCCAAACCGGCCCGCCCTCGCCGCGGGGCCAGGAACTCATCCAGCAACGGATCCTGCCGAACCTGGAAAAGCTGCAGGAGGATGAGGATGTTGATGTGCGGTACTTCGCTACGACCGCTGCCGGCCCCCCAGAGGAGAACATGCAAACTTCGCCGTAAGCATCGCCGTACATCAGCATGTAGAAAAAAGTTATAAAGTAACGGAACGGCTACGGCATGGGAAGGAATGAATATGTTGACACCATCCTGCGCCACGAAAGGGAGGACCCGTTTGTCGGTTTAGATACATAGTTCGCATTTGATCAGTGATGAAATGCTTCATGGCCCATTCTTAATTAATGTAAATTTGATTTCCTACATAAAAAGCTTAAAACAATCTGATGGATGATAATTAAAACTTGTATAGCATCATGTGACTTATGCGTGTCATAAATAGTATTATTATTAATGTCTTTATGTGCGTTGGACAATTGACCATTTTTCCTGTTTATTCCATCTTTGGTTGCTATTTGGACCCAATGTCATTAACATGGCCTTGGCACTTTGCGCCGGTGTCTGCTCCTGATAAGCAGCAGCGTCGTGAACTCTTGGACGTCCGGGGATATGTTGCTCAACTCTCAGTGGTCGTCGTGGTATGCGCGATTCGCATATATCAAAGCTACTCTAAAGCTACTGAGGGTGCCGTGAAGCAACGGTCCCGGTGCAGAGACCAGCCCTGGTGGGATCGGCCACCATTTCCCGGATGGACTGAGACACGGAGGCAGTATGCCGTCTGTTTGATCTGGCTGGGATGGCTGTTAGGTTTATCCGTGTGGAAGACTGGCGATGGTAGGTGACCATTGCTCTGCTTCTATCTTATGAGACTGCGCGGGAAATATTATCTCAATTGATGGCATCGATGGCTATAGCGGATGCAATTCCGCTAATCTTTTGTTTCTAAACAGATTATCTCCATCTTACCAAGGCCTTGGGCCAAATCGGCATGTCTCAGCTGCCGATGCAGGTGATCCTTTCGCCGGCATTATATCTCTCGAATTCTAAACCAGGCGCTCCCTCGATTATTTCGTCTTTGACCTCCCTCCCGCAACCATTCCTAAACCCGTACCACCGTCTCTGCGGAAGACTCATTCTCGCGCCGCTCCTACTGGGCCACGCCATTCTATACTTCAGTTTCTTCCTACAATCCGCGTCTCCTCGCCCGGAGTTCAGTTCATTACTGGCTAAACGCTTGCGGGATCCGGATGTCCAATGGGGAATTGGTGCAGTGTGTTCGGCGTTTTTGGTGATATTCGTGTTAATAAGACCGTTTGGAGGAAGGCGAGGATTGAGTATCCGGCCGGCGGGCGCATCGGCGAAGGACAAGCGACAACGGTTTTACATTGCGCATGTGGCATTGGTGGGAGTGTTTTGTCTGGCGGCGTACGCCCATGTGGTACACACAGACCTTTGTGCTCGAGACAGTGGGTTGTTTCGGGATTAACGTGGTGTGGTCGCTTTGGTGTGGTTAAACGTGGTGCGTACAATAGTGGATAGCTGTTCTTTTAGTTGTTATTCGTATGGGGAACCAGTTAGCGACGGATTCGGATAGCTCATAAGGCTGACGGAAAAGACATTTTACTCGTTGTCGCATGTAAGAATAAAGCTGCGGGTACTACAAATAAAGTAGAACAAGAGCCGAATCGGACAGTGTAGAACAACTGGCAGCGTAATCCTTCTTGGACGGGTGAGGTCACCTGGAGACTTCCTTGATTGGGATGGAATGCTCTTGGCCCCATTTCCCTTCGTGTCTCTCTTTCTCCCTTCTCCATTCTACCTTCTGAACGGGGTTTAGTTTCCTTAATTCTCTTCCACAGACAGAGGCCTTCTTTTCTTCTATTCATGCCTCTCATCTGTTTATCTTCTCTTCTTGCCAGTTCCCCTCTGCCCATGTACCAACAATCCACCTAAAAAACAACAACCGCCACAACGACTGTCACCATCTCACCTAATGGCAGGATGCGGCTCCAACGAGTAGCGATCCTGCTGGGAGTCTTCATTGTCGCCTGTTTCTCACTTACTCTTCTCCGTGAACGCAAACCGAAAACACCCCCGATCCCGAGTCACCCTCAAGCTACACCCCCTACGCCACTGAAACCAATCGAATACTACCACCAAGCCGCTCAGCAGAGTTCTTACCTTCCTGGAAAAACACACCCCGTCGCCCAATTAATCCAAAATGCAGACCAGCATTTCGACCAGACACGATCGCGCCAGTCCCAGACGTTGCAGGATGCCGTGCGGGAATACCAGCGTCGCTACAACATGCACCCTCCGCCGCATTTCGACAAGTGGTTCGAATTCGCTCAAGCCAAGGGGGTGAAGATGATTGATGAATACGATACAATTTACCATTCGCTTCTGCCATTTTGGGCTCTGGAGCCGCGGACTGTTCGAGCGCGCGCGAGGGAGGCCCTTGGGTTTGATAACCAGATGATGGGGATTCTTATTCGCGGGGGTAAGGTTACGCTGGCAGATGGTGGTGGTGATGGGTATAAATGGCAGCGGGAAGCTACGATTGGCATGATGCAGGGATTCATCCAGTATCTTCCTGATATGGATCTTGTCTTCAACCTCCATGACGAGCCTCGTGTCGTTTTGCCTAGCGATGACCTTCAGCGGTTAGTCAACTCCGCCAAGGACCATGCGGTTCCTGAGTCGTTCGGGAATCGGTCTCCGGTGAATTCGTGGTCGCCTAGACCGACGGATGTGAACAAGGGTGATCGCATTGACGAAGTCCGCACGACGCGGTTCAATCGGTTCGCGCATCAGCCAACGTGGACGCATTCAAGAATCTCCTGTCCTGCGAATAGTCCTGCTCGTTCGCTCGAAGAGAACCCTGTTGATAATACCACTGCCTATGCGTACGGAGGGCTTGGATTTATCTACAATACCACTGCGGCCTCAGATATCTGCAATACTCCGTCGCTTCGTTACACCTACGGCTTTTTTGATCGGCCGAATGCCTTTGATATTGTTCACGATCTGTTTCCGGTGTTCTCACAGAGCAAGATCTCCAGTTTCCAGGATATTGTCTACCCTAGCCCGTGGTATTGGGCGGACAAAGTTCCGTATGAAGGGAGGAAAGATTATGAGTGGGATTCAAAACTCGACAAGCTGTACTGGAGAGGCTCGACGACCGGTGGGTTCTCGCGCGCGGGCGGCTGGCGACGACAGCATCGCCAGCTTTTTGTCAGCAATGCAAATGCGCTGGATACAACCAAGGCCCTGACCCGGGACGAGAATGGTGCCTGGTCATCGAAGGAGGTTAGCCGCCGCGATTACCGTGACCTATTTGATGTCAAATTTACGTTCATCGGACAATGCGACCCCGAAGACTGCGCCGCACAAGAAGAATACTTTGACGTGGCGAAACATGCCGGTCAGCAGGATGCCTGGGGATACAAATACCTAGTCGACATTGATGGAAACGCCTTTAGTGGTCGGTACTATGCGTTCTTGAAAAGCAACAGCCTGGTCGCCAAGATCGCTATCTTCCGCGAATGGCACGATGAGTGGATCAGGCCATGGGTGCACTACGTACCATTGGGTTTGCGAGGCGACGATTATGTCGAGACAATGCGGTTTTTCACGGCTGAAGAGGAAGGTCGCAGTGCAGCTCCCCGGATTGCGCAGCAGAGTCAACAGTGGGCAAAGGATGTGTTACGAAACGAGGACTTTGAGGTTTGGTTCTTCCGGTTATTGCTAGAGTATGTCCCTACCCAACGTGCAAGTGAAATTTGCTAACAATGGCTAATAGGTATGGGAGGTTAATTGATGAAAATCGCGACAAACTGGGATTTGTCCTTTAATGTGCATTTCGCAGGCGCTGCCATGTTTTTATTAGTTTTAGTTTCTCGTTTCTTCTGTGTATATATTGGTCGTTGGAGTTCGCCCAGTGTTTAATCTAAATACCCTTTTCTCAACCAGTGACTATATTATGGTGTCATTGCCTGTTGGGCTGCGTTTTATGTAACGATGCAATCGTATTCCGCATTCTGAAAAACGTGCCCTTGTGAATTGTGATACCAGAACCGTTGATATCAGCGCGGCTAATATGTGGCGGCAAAGCTGCCATGACGCCCGAAGCGCGCAAACAATGAGCTCGCATTGTCTCATCTCTTTTTTTTTTCTCCAAGTTTCTACTTCGGATCAACAATTGAAAATTTCTTTAGATAAGCCTCTTTACTCTAAACTTATCTTACTCTAAAATTATATAGCGCCGCTAGTTATCCTCCATCATTGGTTACTACATCATCTCATCGCAAGAGTATGAGCAGCGCCCTCAACACCATAGCCAGTCGACTCCTGTCGGCGGCGACCTTTGGCTATGGGCTCTTCACGATGCTCCTGTATGGCTTGCTGGCGATACGAAAAGGCTATTTCTTCAAAGGACCGTCGGAAAAGGAGAATTTGGAGCTGCAGTTGGGTATGACGTTTCTATCCCGCTTTCACATGAAAGACAGCTATCATTGTTCACTGCAATTGCTAAATATTCTACAGCTCGCGATCGCCTTTGGAATTTGTCAAAAGAATGGAATGATTTCACGCACCAATTCCTGACTCTTAGCAATGGCTTCCGGTTTCATTACCTCTGCAATGAGTCCACGCCCGAAACGTCGAAACCCGCGACGAAGCCGCTAATCATCTTCATCCACGGTTTTCCTGATAGCTGGGCTGTCTGGCGACATATAATTAGCTCCCAATCGCTCCAAGAGGCCGCCACTGTGGTTGCTGTCGACCTACCGGGCTACGGCGGGAGCGACCAATTGGAGAAATACGCGGCGACGGAAGTGCTTGATAATTTGGCAAATTTCATTGTCGGAGCGAGGGCTAGATATGGAATTGATGGAGAGGATATCGGGGTTGGGGTGCAGAGGACGGTTATTGTGGGACATGATTGGGGGTGTGCGTTGAGTATGCGGTTGGCGAGTGAAGCGTCGGTTTTAGCGGATCGGTTTGTTTTGAGCAATGGGCCTTTGGTATGCTCTCTGTTCTTTGTGATGACTTGGTTGTGACATTGGGCTAACAAATATAGATCGGTTTGGCATTCTCTAATGCCCGCCGTCTGATGAATTCGTCGATCAAGATGTTTAAAACATCCATCTACTCACCCATCCGTTCCCGATCTACTCTCCTCAAAGCTATCAAAACCCTAAAACCAGTCCTTATCCAAACTCTCCTTTCAGGCTATATCTTCGTCATGCTACTCCCCATGGCTTTCGTCCAATACCTTGGCACAGGCCGCAACTACTCCTTCCTCCGCCTGATCCACAAAGGCTCCTACGGCAAAGACAACAAAATTTTCACACCCCAAGACGCCGCAGAATGCATGGCCAGCACCTTGGGCCCCTCACAAGCAGAATGCAACACCAAAACTTCATCGGGAGAGGAATACCCTACAACCGTGAAGAACGAACGCGCCCTCAGCAACTTCCATCACATGGCCAGCTACTACCGCGACGGCGCAGTAACCCGCCGATGGTACAAGTCCGTCGAGACAGTTGCAAACCTACACACCATCTCCCAAGGTAACGAGCTCCGTCGCGCAAGCAGCGGAGCAGGTATGTTCGACGAGAGTCCTGCTGGTGTGCTCAAGGCTTCGTCGACGATTATCTGGGGTAAGAATGACCAGGCGCTAGAACCGCATTTGTGTCTTGGGGGTATTTCGGATTATATGGTTGGCGGGAGCCAGGTCATTCAGTTGCCAAGGTCGGGGCATTTTACGCCGATTGAGAGGGAGAGTCGGGTTGTGCTGGAGAGGGTTGCAGAGTGGGCTGTTAATGGGGAGATGGGGGATGTTGGGAAGGTTGTTGAGGGGTGTTATGAGAAGGCTGTTGTTACTGTGAGGAAGTAGTACATTCAGGTGAGGAGTTCAGTTATGAAAATCGAGTATTTGATTCTGTTCAAATGTGGAGCTGTACAATATGATGCATTCTTTTTTTGACTTTTCAGTGCTTAATATAACCAACCCTCCTTTCTGCTTCAACAATGCAAATACTCTTCCATTATCGCCATTTAAAGTGGACCTTTTTGTGTTTGAATGTATTATGCCATGTAGTGTCTTGCCCTAGAGAAAAAAAAATCTGCCCTAGGCCACAGTCCCCCAAGACCTCAAAATAATGGGAACACCCAAAACGACTAAACACCGACAACACTATTTCCAACGCCAGCAAATATGGATGACTACGGTTCCCAGACGGCACTACCCTTGACAAATATATTGGGATTGTAGTCACAATGAATGGACTAGCGGTTACTATCAGCGACATCCTCTCTGAAAACCTACAGCTCGAATCCAACGAACATCGTGGAGTATTCGAGGTCGTCACAGCGCAAAGTGAAACAGTCAGCTTAAAGCTATGATATCAGTAAGTCAACTCTTAGCAAAACCAACTCCTATAACCCCTAGTCAATCCCACTTACAACCCCAGACTAAGCAACCTCAAACAAATCCCCTACCCCGCCAAAGCCTAGTCCGAGTCTCAAGAGAGAACTCCGACGATCAACAAAAAATGCTATCAGCATGCCAGAACATTGACACAATGCCTCGACTTTTCTCCATTGGGGAGTTGGTCCAGGGGCCGGCAGACCCGTTTCCAAGCGGGTAGTTACGGACGATTGTGATGTTTAGGGCGCGGGGACAGAATGTAGATTGATATTTTTGAGTTGAGTGAGAGAGACTATAGGGTGATTCGTAGGCAGATCGTTAATGTGTTAGAGTAAGAGTTAGACCGTCCATCCCATATTGAATAGTCTACGGAGAGGATCGATGTTGTATAAAAACAGACGCATGCGACAAAAAGGATACTGTTTCATCGACCAACCAATGGAGCATATCTTCTTCGAAAAGAGGACTTCCAAGATGTATGTCCATCTCACTTTTTCCAAACCAAACCAAACTCAAGCATACGAAGTAAGGCTAAGCTAGATGTTGAATTGAAGCTATGCCGTTGGATTCTCCCGCGTCGCAGAGGACCGTTGTCCCCTAGAGCACGCACGGCCGATTACTGAGAACTCTATCGTTCTTGCTTTCAGGATGGGCTGGAAAGGGTCAATTGGTGGTTAGGGGTGCTTGGAGTATCTCTTGTGTTTTGCTGGTCTGTTGCTTTGGTTTGTTTGATTTGTACTTGGTGGTAGGATATCTACGATATCACTTGGTTAAGATGACGGAGTGAGCTTGTTACGTTGGCTAACCGTGGTATACGTTTGTCTCAAAGAGCCTATTTATCATTCCGAAGTGCTACTTTATACAAGCGAACTATGAGAATCTGGTACGATAAGAATATTTTGAACACATGAATACACTTAATTCTCACTGGGCTGACATTATGGCGCATTTACTAGCGTTTTATCCAAGTGGAATAAATGATCCTTAATTTATACACACAAGAAACTATTTGGGACTTTTGATAGCAGTGACTGGAGCATATACATTAATGAACCTGCTTCGCCTGTTTCGGTCATCATTCTCAAAATATTTCCTGATGCAGTTCAGGGCATGGTATTTGCCGTCACATATTCCTTCATTGGTGAAGTGTATTAATAGCCCGTTCATGTTTCTCCAAGCCTGGTGTGCTATGTCGTTTACTTCGTAGCCATCGGACATGCCTAGATGCCATGCCAGCATTCAGCAATACATGTATATTTCTCAGGATGAATGAACATACGACTCCATCTTTCATTCAACTCCATGCCAAATAAAGGTCTATCCTCCATACCCGATAATCACCTATGAAAATTTCAGGCAATTCTCGCAGAGCCTTGTGCAGGGCAATATAGCGTTGCATGGGTTGTCCCTGATAGTCCAACTGTGAGACAATACGGAACATCACCTCCCAGAATTCACTCAGAAATTGGCGAGGATAGTAATTGTCATTTTCTCCTAGACAGCTATGTGGGAAGAAAGAGTTGGCTTTATCAGCTGCTTGTTGAGGCGTGATTGTCGAGTCCGGAGGGAGGTAGACTGTCAGGAGATTAAAGAGGTTCTCTTCAATGTCCATTGGCTCATACATGGTATCGAGGTCAAGACCGAGAGGGTTGTTTGTAGTGGCCATGATTATTTTGTGTAAAAGAGTAAACCATTAATTGAAGTTACCGTGTAGGAGACAGTTGGTTCAGTTAGGTAGATACTTAATTAAATGAACATCTACCAGATATAGTCCTGTAGGCTGTGCGTGGATACAGTTTATCTGAGTCAACTATGATTTACCTGGTGATTCAGGTGAGTCAAAAGTAAATCATGTGAGGCTGTGCGGCTATAGTGGAACTTCTGGGCCCTGATAGTTAGCCTTACGGTGTTAGGGTGTAGGGTTAGGTATATAGATAGATAGGTTAGGCTATAGGTTAGGCTATCTATAGGTACATAAACAAGACGCAGCTCGAAGAGCTGCAATAGAGCCATGACCCTGCCTGCCCCGAATTCTCAGTATTTTTTTTGTATCCAAAATATGTTTACTCGATAGTTTACGAAGCCATGCTTAATTACGGTCAGATTATCATATCGAACTACATCCTTGTGCGAAGTTCTAAGTTGTTTATTTTTGCAATGATCACAATATACCATAACAAAATACCATGAATAAATCGCTTTGAAATCATATAGATTCTCATATAGGTCCATAATAATAGCAATTCGGAAGCATTACGAGCCTGAGCAGAAATTCAGTTGAGTGCTCTGCTCTAGAGTATATGGCTTGAGATATATATGTCAAATGTCACTAGTTGAGGTGATATCTGAACCTCCGGAATCGGAGATCTTCTCGGTGCGGAGATACCGTAAATGGCAATCGATCTTTCGGAGCCGACGGATCAGATAAGATACGCCACATGGTTAAGTATTTAGCCCTGCCGTATAAGAACCTTGATGGCGCCGCATCAATCGATATTCCAGAAACACTCTGCTTTTTCTAGTTGATCGTTTCAACTAAGATATCTACTCAATACACAAAAATGGCCAACACACTCAGAAATATCATCGTTGTTGGAGGATCCTTTGTGGGAAAGGTTAGCCGGAGCTGTCGGGTATCGTATATAGTCAGATTGTTGATATTGACCGTTGGACAGGCTACTGCTTCAGAACTGGCGAATGTCGTTCCAAATACGCATAGGGTGAGTTCTTCAAGCATCCTATATTGAACATGATTGCTAACACGACTCAGGTTCTCTTGGTTGAACCGCATAGCCACTTCCACCATTTGTTCACTTTCGTAAGCCTCTTTTCCCCTTCGACTTTAAGAATGACTACTGATCACGGGTATAGCCACGATTTGCTATTGTCCCCGGCCATGAACATAAAGCATTTATCCCATACACTGGGCTCCTTTCTTCCAACTTGAAGGGCTCTCCCTCGCGCCATTCCGTCATCCAAGCACGTGCTCTATCAGTCCAACCGCACCATCTCCAGCTAGACCGGGAATGGCAGGGGTCGAACCAAATCCAATTTGAGTACCTTGTCGTCGCAACAGGCACGCGCCTTGCGCAGCCTGCGGGGATGAAGCATGACGATAAACTTTCTTCCGTGTCGTATCTGCAGAAACACCAAGCAGATGTCAAGCGCTCCAAGTCCATCGTCATCGTTGGCGGCGGAGCTGTTGGTGTGCAAATGGCGACGGACTTGAAAGAATATTATCCGGACAAGGAAATCACGGTCGTGCAGTCCCGGCCAAAGCTCATGCCCCAGTTCCACGAAAAGCTCCACGAGATTGTCAAGGCTCGTTTCGATGAGCTTGGTATCAAGCTCGTAACCGGTTCCCGCATCGCAGTTCCCCCAGCTGGCTTCCCGAATACCGGCACACCGTTCAAGGTCCAATTAACAAACGGAGCCGAGCTAACAACCGACTTTGTCATCATGGCCACCGGCCAAACACCGAACAACCAGCTCGTCAAAGACCTACCACTCTCAGCAGCGTCATCCATCACGAACCCCGACAACGGATTTATTCGTATCCGGCCAACGATGCAATTCCAAGACCCGAATTACTCGCATCTGTTCGCTGTTGGTGACATTGCTGACACTGGGGTGCGCAAGGCTGCGAGGCCGGGTGCTGCACAGGCGGGTGTTGTGGCGAGGAATATCCAAGCGCTGATCGAGGGGAGGACGCCTGAGGAGAACTTTGAGAGAGCTCCTGGGGCCATTCATATTACATTGGGATTGGTAAATTTTGTTACTCGAAAATGGTAGCATTTGGGGCTAACGATGATTGCAGAAACATAACATTGTTTTCCGGAATCCGAATGTAGCGGAGGGCCAGACTGAACCGACAATTATTCAGAAGCCTGAGTAAGTATTCCATACTCTTATTCGGATGATTCGAGCTGACGGTTGCGCAGGGGACAAGAAGATATGAACGTGGAGGGAATGTGGCAACGATTGGGCGTTGCAATTGAGAGCCAACACCAGTATCATCTGTAAATATTTGCATCTTGTTAGATCTACGGTTTTGCGTCTTTATCCTATTTATGAGCCCGTTGGGGTCATTTGCCACGGAATATATAACCTAATACTCCCACCACACTTCAAACCGGAGGGGGATTCAAATCCAATCCTTCCACCGTAAGCTTAAACGCATCGTTCCTCGAATAACTCCCCGCAACATCCATATCTAACCGCCCTCTCAGACAATCATCAAGATCAATCTCCGCAACCGACAATCCTGCCTCAATACCCGCCTCATCATCCGTACTAGCCTCCCAAATCGGCTCAGACAGAACCTCACCTAAAGGACCAACGATGCACGAGCCACCGCGCGAGACGTACTCGTCTGCGGAGTTCTGACTCTGAGAGTACTTTGTGATCCACTCTGGCAAGTCTCTGCGGCGTACAGATTGGTTTGCAGAGAGGACGAAGGTGCGGCCTTCGCCGGCGACGGTGCGCATTAGCGGAAGCCAGGTGTCGCGACTGTCTGCTGTGGGGGCGAGGTAGATGTTGACATTCTGGGAATAGAGGCTTTGGCGGAGGAGAGGCATGAAGTTCTCCCAGCAGATTGCGGCAGCTAGGGTAATTGTGACGCCGTCGATTTCGGTTGTTACAGCTCTGAGGGTTGACGGGGATCCCTGTGCCCACACAAGGCGTTCTGACCCGGTCTGCAGCATGTCAATAATCACCCAAGTAAATATAAAGAGCGCAAGGGAAACCCACAGGCATAACCTTCCTCCTCTTCCCAATAACCCCACTAACAGGATCAACATAAACAACCGCACAATACAAACTCCCCCCCGCCCTCTCAATCACCCCCGTAACCAAAAAAACCCCCGTCTTCTTCGCAACCCTCTCCAACATCTCCCTTGTCCCATCCCCCCGATACTCCTTCCCCACCGGAAGCGGCAACTTCCTCTCCACCCACTCATCCCCCGCGCCCGCAGGCGTATCACCCAGATCAACCGCGGCGTTGAAGTATTTGAGAAATTGGTCGCGGCCGTGCGGTGCACGCGCGCCGACTGCTGTTCCGAAGTCACAGGTGCGTGGGTAGCCGCCGAGGTAGGCTTCCGGGAAGAGAAGTAGGCGGATGCCCTTTGTGGCGGCATGGGAGGTTATGGTTTCGAGGGCGGAGAGGGTGGCGGGGAGGGAAGATTGTGTGCGCGATTGCGCGACAGCGACTTTGAGAGTTTGGGGCATGGTGCTTGGTGATATGGAGAGTTATACTATGTAAAACTGATGGTGTTATAGAGAAAAATCTTGAGCGAACGCCGAATGGTTTCCCCGCATTAGGCCTTGGCATATCCCGATTGTCCACGGCTCGGAGTGCGGAGTATATTGAACTATACAATGTTTTGGCAACTCTTAGCATGACGAGCTGTAAATAGGCCAACTAGAGCTTGTATGGATGCTACTACTATGGCTCTTACTGCTATAGTTTCGGTTAATGTAGAGTCGGTGAAGGCGCTACTAAACATTTGTATTTTATGCTGCAGGATATTATTCTGCGACAACTCTGTCAGAAACTACATGAGCTAGATGAACCTGTTTCATTTTAAACACTGTAAGATACACTGTCCAATAAATACTCCACGAATAGCAATTTGATATGGAGCGGTATTATGCTAAATATTCTAAAATTTGCAGCATTAAGCCCCCCCCCCCCCCCAAAGAAGAATAAGATGCCGGTAATCCTCCAGCAGGAGACGCCACATACTGTACGCCACCATTATACCAATCTTGATGCCGAAATGGCTATGGATATCGACGACCAAGCCCATGTAAGCCTCGCCGATTACCCAGTTCCTAATACACCACCCGGTCAAGGAAGGGGAGGACCAACCACAACCTCAACCCCAAGAACTCGCCTATATGAGTGCCAAAGGAATTGCCCAACCGGCTGATACCCAATCAGAATACCCACACTCTCGCCGTTCAGAAACCGCAGATGATCGAGATGAAATCATTCGTATACTTCGTGATGAAGTTGATACACTCCGCCGGGCTAGACAGGCTAAGCTTACATTATTCGGAGGGGGCAGTCAACTCATTGAGCGACCATCAGAACTGTTTGAGCGATCAGATAGTCGATCAGCGATTGAACATGAGGAAAGGAGAATCCAACTGGAAGAGCAGTGGGTTCAACGAGAAAAGCAGGAAGTCTGAGAGGAAGAAAAGAGACCCCATGAACTTGCAAAGACTCACTGGCGAGGTACCTGACGCCTACAAGGCCGGGGTAACTATTCTGAATGAGAAAGAGCCTCTTGTTTGATGCAGACTATATCGGCGCGCCCGAGATATTGCGCCCCAATGATGTCTCTAAAGAGACACTTTTACAATAAACTACATACAACACACCTGTACGATTACTACGCACCCGTACATTGGACCGCTTGACGCGTGATATCCTTTATAAAATCCATGCAGACCATACCCAACACCCGAATGAGCTCCTACCACACTTAGACACTGTTTATAGTGTTTCTCCCGCGGAAAAACGCCTACTTCTTGTTAAGGCACGTTTGAATTTTAAGCCGAACGGAAACACCATTACAATGATGTGGCAGTGGCAGTGTATAAACACTAAGATAGAACAGGAGTATGTTGTCTCAGGGCTATGCCATGATGTAGGAATCGTTCTTTTGGGTGATTTCCAACATTCATTTGTCCATGCGCAGTTGGATAACATTGTCACTCCCTCCAAACGCGACAGTTTCCATTGGATATAGACGGTATAATCAATCAAATTGAAAGCCGAAGCGAGCCCTCAATGGCTACTTACCACCCAGCTTCATACACCATTTATCGACAAAAACCCTGGTATGGACCATACATCCCAAGATCGATCAGCAATCAATCAAATGCAGGTATGCCTGAGGGGGAGACTAGACGAGCAAACACCTCGGATGGCATCCAACCAATCGATGTCAAACAATCAAACAACCAATGAGTTACATGATTTGGTTAGTTAACTACATAAGCAGCCACGTACGGGACATCAACCCCAACCAGGTGTAACCAGGAGTGAAGGACTTTCTGCGCGAAAAATTTAAGCCTTTGTATATTATAAAACTTATATAGTCAGTACATACGACCATAGGGTGTGGAGAACAGGACTTCCCGTTCGCTCAGCCGTACTTAAGCCAGTATTATGAACGTGGTCAGAACATACCTGAGCCCTCAGGGGCTCGCCGCTTTTTGGGTGATGACTGCTAAATTGCAGGGTGAGCTCAGGTGAGTTGGGTGATGCTTTTCACAACTAGGGTGAGTGGGGTGATTTAAGGGTGAGTGGGTGAGTGCGAAACCAAATGGTCTCCTTATAGACATAAATAGGTTCAGGGCCCCTTTCTAAAATGACCATAGCCACATTATTCTAAAGACACTGCTTGAGATATCTGGGGTTGAGCACCCAAATCACACCTGTTTCACAACCACCCTCATTCCAAGTGATGTTGCCTTCTGTCGGAATCACAGTTTAGTCAGGGTCGAAAGTACGTATCGAGCGTGTACAGAGTATCTTTCATTCTGTTTAAATACAGCAATCATGCCATACTAGTCTCTTGACTGCTGATCCCAGGTTACACGAGGGAAAAACTGTCACAAACCTGATTGCATTCCCAGATGAAAACATGAACCATATAAAAACTGAAAAGTAATAACTTTCCAAGTATTGCGCACTATACAAATAAAATCAAACGAAGACCATGCAACTCAGTTCAAGCGTAGGGACGCCCAAGACTAGGTGCTATAGCATCAAGCGAAGAAAAGCTGCAGTGCCCCTCAGATTGCTCTCCTCCATCAGAAGAAGCATTCTCTCCAGTCAACAACTGCACCTGGCTTGCGTGACTTTCCTGTCCCTGCCAACTTAGATCCAGGGTCAAGGACCTCTCCCCATCCGCAGTACTGAGCTCGTGGTACCTTCCAATATCAAGACTGGATTCTGGACGTAAACCGGATAAAGAGCGTAGAGCTCTTTCCTCTTCGCCGGTCTCTACTTCCCCACTGCTTATTCTCGGATCGAGTCTGGCTGCTTGTTCTGGGATTTCACCCCACTTGATGGGCTTGAGTGGATCGCCACCACCAGGCGGAGGATGGCAGGCAGCGCTGATGGCAGCGCTGCAACTAACGGCGAGTGGGATGTTTGTTTTGTAACACTTCATTCCCATGCCGAGGATGGCGCAAACCATCAGACCCCCAAGGGACATGGCAAAGATAATGGCGATGGGGGAGTACCCACAAGCAACCAGCTGTTTTTCAGGTACAGGGTTTCCCCTTGCATCAAATGGGAGGACTTGCACATAGAATAAGCTCTGGGAAATAAGCCAATGTAGCAACGTGTGGGCAACCATGAGAGGGAAACTATATTTGTATGGAAGAGTGAGGTAGTAGGTCGAGCGTTGGTGCCCCTTCGGCCAGGAAACACGCAAAGACTTGCGTTGTTGGGCATAACCATCATACTCGGCAGCTAGAAGCATGGTGGTTAGTATATTGTTATACAGGAAATATGCCACTGAAACTGGAATTTGTGGGCAGTTTGCAAGCAAGACCGCGGATAGAGTTGAATCATCCCAGCCATATTCCGAAAGTTTCATTAATGCGTTTGCTGATGGAGTGCCAAAACCCAGGTTCCAGAGACTCGAAATCGAGGTTTCTTCGGCAGCAGAAGCTAGTGAAATGATGGTAAGCCTAAGAAGGTAGCCCGAAATCCCAAGAAGAAGAAAGCATCTGTAGAAGTTAGGCGAGCCATCAGAAAGGTGAGGTGAACATACAGACTGATTGTTCCCACCCAATATGAAATGCTGACCGATTTCATCCATCTCTTCTTGCCGGGTTGGAGGGTTGTAGATGATTGAGAGGATTTTGTGATATCGAACTTGGACAATAAGCAGTTCCCCTCAGTCATCGTATCCGGTTTGTCCATAAAGGAAGACACAGCATCACCGACAGTGAGGAGTATCTCTCTCCTTTCATCGTGAGCTGTCAAGAACATGCAAAAGACCTTGGCCGCATTACAAAAAATGACAGCAAGACAAATAGGGAGGTTGAAAACGAGTTGGCACTTTTCATCAATTTTTTGGCTTCGGCAGTGATCTACCATGTATGGCTCTTGGCCCATGCTAGAATAAGGATGTGTGGCACATACGGACCCTGCTGGCTGGACTGTAACATTACTCGCCCAGGCGCTGTTATTCCAGTGACTGGCATCGTCGAGATATCTTTGCATCTCTTCTGCTTTGGGATATTGGGCCATCAAGTCCAGGAGGGTCTTCAAGTCATTGGGCTTATAACTCAAGGGATTATCCCATGTAAAATCCGATACGTTTTCTTGATTGAAAGTATAGGTATCATTCGTGAACACGGTCGCGCTGACCAAGGGGAACGTCCAAGGCTCGGCAACCACAGACCAGTCACCGATCAAAAACCCTTTTTGGCAGTTTTGATTCCCTGGATCCGGGTTTGGTAAGTCGACGTAACGCAAATACTCGCACATCCATCCAAACGGGTTGTTTGCAAAGCCCGAAGGCCCATTCTGGCTGTCAGCCAATAGTAGCGATTTGTTGTCGACTGTCGAATTGTTGGTAATGATAATCAGATTTCCTCTGCCAGCAAGGAAGTCGACAGCATAGGTATCCTTGCACTTTTGCGTGTCGAGCTTCTCGAATTCTTCAGAGTAAAAATCCGACATGCTCATAGCAATGTTGTCTTCGAAGCAGTTCGCAAAATCTGTATCATTGTTTGGTTGGCGTTCGAAGTCGAAATCACTCGATGCAACAATGACATTATATTCATTGGTACCCAACGCATAGAAGACAGCAGAATTGTATCTGAGCTTGTCAGTTAGAACCAAAAAACAACGAGAACATAGATTTGCAAACGAACATTAGATGAATTGGTAGGGAGGATACCAAGAGCACCATCCATAATACACGTCTTCTCAAGCCAATGAAAAAGAGATTCTTCAGACTAGGTATTCCTATATCAAGCCATTCTTGTTGAGGGTGCAGGTCATCAATGTTTTGGCGTGACGGTGAACTTAAGCACTGCATGCAATAGTTGCTGGCTGCCAGCATAATTGTGCTGAGTATATTGATCATTAAATGCAACCCGCGAGCCCAATTCTTTTGGGTTGAGCATTTGCCCTCGTAAAGTGTAGCAGAGACAAATCCCTGGTCCTCGGTCCTTGAATATGCAACGGCAACAGCAATGATGGTTAGGATGATATTTATAATCATGACAATGGTGGCCGCAAAGGCACATAAGAGGACACCGATGACCCATTCTCTTTTGTTATCTCTGTCTCGTTGAGTGAGCTCTTCCACTTTGCTGGTCAGACTCTGAGGTAGTACACGAGAAGTAAAGCTTTTCATGAGAGACGGGCCGGAAGCATTGAGGTGATCAGAATGGCTAGAAGAACTGGGGGCCCTGTAAAACCGATTAGCAATAGTATTCTCACCTGTCCATTGGACTGAGAAAACGAACCGGTCGAGGTCAAACTCGTCATTTCTAATTTTCGAATGACGCCGTACCTGGCTATATGTGACTCGACCAAATGGCCAATACCAAGGACGGTCAGAGGATCGCGGTGATAGAGTAGTGTTATCCATAATCTTTCTCTCCAAATTTTCGAAGCGATGTAGACTTGCCACTAGCCAACACGGCTTCATGTTGTTAAATATAATTACCCCAGGATGTAATACGAGGCAGACACAAGGTTGCTACTCAGCCTTGTGTCTGTCAATTTTCATATTATGCCCATCATGGAAAAGATCTGCCAGATAGAAAATATCATTGGTTAGAAACAAAAAGCAATCAGCACCCTGCATCAATGAGCAGAGGGGTTGTTATTTTTAAAGACCAGGTTGAGTACGAAGTATGAACCCGGGCAATCAGCTTCCCCTTCATCAAGGGTCTAGCTTCTTGGCTCGAGACTTGATTTGCGTGGGAGGATTTTTTTGCTATACTCCGCGACTCTACCATAGTATTCCAATTTAAAAATAGAACCCAGAGTATTATCTGTTGCTTTCTGTCACGGGCTCGGAATAGTAGATAATAATGAATCAATGTTCCTATCTAGACTATTGCAACCATCGACGAGAATATCGAATCTGGAGAAGAAAAGAGAAGAGGAAATCTATCTAGGTAATGAAGGGGTTTTATAGAGGTTGTTGGCGACATGGCTGAGTAGCAGCATTTGCGATGTATCATTCACTGCTGCAGCGTTGAGCCGTCATATATGAGTCGTCACATATGAGTCGTCACAGGAAGTAGATCGCCTGAAGGAAGAACTCTCTGTCTTGCATCTCAAACAAGAGAAAACCCAATCCCGGGACCAGGGAATCATTGAATACCAGAAAGAACAGCTACAGGAATCAGAGCAGAAACGTCTTGAAGCTTAAAGGAAAAGGATGAAGCGCTATGTATAGTGACTCCTATGGTTACTACACCTGCCCGGACTCCTGAACCTGCTGCTGAAATACTGACAGTTGCCCTGGTGGGAGCGCCTGTGTTGATTGATCCCCCATCTACCAGCTCTGCCAGACTCTCTGAACGCTTACCTGACCCGGACCAATTCAAGGGTGATCAGAAGGACATTCGCTGATTTATCTTCCAAATCCACGAGAAGATGAATGTTAACCATGACCATTATCCCACCCCACAGAGCCGCATGACCTATGTGACCAATCGCCTGAGAGGGGCCCCATACGCCCAGGTTCTACCATATATCAAGAAGGGAATCTGCCAGTTGAAGGATTATGAAGAAATCCTACAAATCTTAGATCGAGCCTTTGGTGACCCAAACTGTGTGAACAATGCCTGTAATAAACTCTTCTGTCTGCGCCAAGCCAACGAGGAATTTGGCATGTTCTTTGCTGAGTTTCAGTGCCTCGCTCTGGACGGAGAAATGTCTGAAGATGTCCTGCCTATCTTACTTGAACAAGCCATCAACCAAGAACTTTGAGGAATGTTCATGCATAATGAACCTCCAAGCCATGAATACTACCAGTTTGCCAGTTTCCTACAAGATTTGGAAAACCGCCGCCGTCACTATGAGAATAACCCCCATCTGTTGCCCGGATTTACACCTCAGCTGCAAAACCTGTTCAACCTGTCTCCAAACCTGCTGAACATCCCGCTACACCCCAGCCCATCAATTATACTGTTGATTCTATGGATTTGTCTTCTGCCTGCTGGTACACTACATCCTGTTGAGACCGCGGGGAATGCTTCCATTGTGGCTCCAGGGACCATTTGGTTCGAAACTGCCTGCTCCCTGATAACCGTCCTATGGGGGTTTGCCCAGCCCAGAGTGTCACTGGCAGCCCCGTGACCGCACCGCTGATTTTTGGGGGCCCCGTTGGGGTAAGCTGGTTTGGGGCACCCTGCCTCAAAGCCCCACCCCACCCCGTTTACAAGGCCTTACGGGAAGGCATGGCTTTTTAGCAAACGCTCCATGCTGATTCCTCTATCTATCCTATATGTATACATACCAATATATATGTCTTTAGCTGGTCGCTCCATGTCAGGTTGATGTCGTCGATACGTTAATTGGTATGGAAATACAGAAAACACCGAGAATTTCGGGCGGGCTGGGGGCCTCGCCCCATGAGCTGCCCCGAACTAACTATGATTGGTGTAGTGCGATATCCGATTGACAGATTGGGTATAACACGGAGAGTCTCGGGGTTTTGGGGCGGGCAGCATCATGGCTCACCCCGCCCCGAGTGACACTCTAACCCCGGGGGAAGGGCCTGCTTGAACAACAGTCTAAGGTATCTCCGATATATTTTAACATTGCAAGTCCTGACAGACATGTGGAAGGAACGGAAATACTTCGACTCTGGTGATTACGCTCTTTCTGCGGCCAACCGGGCGACTGATAACAGTGCTATCCAAACCGGCACAGCTCGTCCTCTGCGGAAGAGAATTTCACACCCCTATGACTCAGTCCTCAACACTAGCAATGCCAATAACGATGCCAACAAGGACCTTCTTATCGAAAGAAACCTGGGTCCAGAAATGACAGATAGTCCTCTGCATTGGCGAACCAATATGGGAGATGGAAAACCCCGGAAGTGGCAAGGAACAGAATTAAAACATCAGCAATGACTGAAGACATACCAGAAAAAAAAAAGACTCTTGGATTCAACACAAATTAGGTTCCCATGGTAGGCTAGTATAATGAAACATTGGATTGATAAAAAGGAATTGCGTCTTTCACGTTCTTGTTTTATACCTTTCCAAGGCAATCTCTCGACTCATTTTCATGTAGTTACTTATTATGTCATATGTCAGATATTGAACAAATAATTCTACTTTCATTCTTTTTTGTAGGGATTACGTTGCGTGGCATCAGTAGAGTATGGTCTTCATCCAGGGTCCCGAGTTGTAAGCTTGTAGTTCTGGTGTAGGGCTTGCTAAAGTATGGAACTCCCCTAGAATTCTACTAAACAAAATAGCAAAGTAACTCGCTCTAACAAGCTGCTTGTACCCGTGCTGCTATGGAATTTTACATTACGTCTCTCTCAATAACCCGGGGAAATCACAACCTCCTCTTTTAGACGGTGTATTCGGACTCTGGGCATGTTGTCTACAAAGACATTGATCCCAACCACCCTGATTAGATAACAATAACCGCAAAGAAGTACCTCAATAACCCATCGAGGTCGTGTGTGTTCTTGACGATGCTGCCAAGAAGCTGCATGTGGTGGACACCACCCGTAAGGTTGTCTATGATGGCGATTTCCGGGTTTGAGCAGTGATTCAAATGGCCGAAATACCGGCAAATAACCCATCATGTCCTTTTCAGATTGCCAGTTTGGGACCATTTGTTGCGGAAGTGGAATGGGAGTTGGGTAATTATGTGCCATGTATTGGCATGACTTTGAAAATGGGTTTAAGGCTGGTATCACTGTGGAGACAGTATACAAGCACCGAGCACCCCATGTTGGCCTTTCTTAGTGCAAATATGACATGCATATCGGTGCCCGGATGTCTATCAAGATCTGTCGCAGTTCTTGACGGTAAACCGAATCAGCCAGTATAATGAATCCCGCTGGAGATGTTCAGAGAACTGAGCCTCCGTCAAAGCACTTTGCAAATTGATTGACCATATACTCTTTTGGGCAGTATTATCCTCATTTTGGGCCGCCGAACATTGTCCTGAAAGG